GCGAAATGATAAACCTCCGAACATGTGTTTAAAGATAATACTGTTTTGTTTTCCTTTAGCATAAGCTAACAACTAACCTTGATAAAACTTCCAACTAGACAAGGGTTTTTGCTTTACATGATTAGTTAATAAAAGGTTTTGTTTATTTGTGTTTATTCTCAGTTGATTAGAGCTACAGATATAGAGAGCTGTTTCATTCAAAATTAAATAAACAATGCTATTGATAAATTATCAATACATATCAGATATCCCCATGAAATAAAAAATATCTTAAAATATATTTTTTTATTATGTTTTAATGTGTTTTATTTATTCAAAGATTTATTAACTTCTGAAATTTATAAATTACTTTATTTAATATTTATTTCATACATTTTTTGTTACATTTTTATTTTGCAAAGCCACTTTACACATTGTGACTTATTTTCTAATTCTATTTTTCACTTTAAGCTCCTTTTATTTCATGTTCTTATATTCCAATAAGGAGGCGGGGTTTTATCTGTCGGGCTGGCGGACTGCATCTGCTTTGCAGACACTAAGGTACTTCATGATGACCAATCAAATCAGAGTATTCCCTCTTGCCTCGCTCTGTTTGGTCCTGTCACTATCCGATCTGTACCATTGGCTCTTATCTGCAAAGAGATATTCATCCAGATCGCCATTGATAATGTTATCATGGGCCTAAAAGTATTTTTTTCTATCCTCGGGGAGTGTTGGCCTAGTGGTTAGAGCAGTGCGCTTTTACTCTGAGATGGGTGGAAGTACCTGGTTTGATCCTCACAGTGTCCACTCTGGGTTCCTGAGCAAGACCCTTAATCCCACACTTCTCCCCGGCTGCCACACTATGGCAGCCAACTGCTCCCCAAGGGGATGGGTTAAATGCAGAGGTAAATTTCCCCACTGTGGGACAATAAAGGGATTTACATTTTAAAATCACCAAAAAATGCTAAACTACTTATTTAAAAAATGTTTAATTACTTTTTTTTTGAGTCAGTTGGAAAAGTTTTACATTCCCTCTGTAATACTGCTTACCTGACATCATCATGGGGTTAGGGTTAGGTCCTCAGAGCAGTCTGGCACAATATGATTATGCCGTTTGTATCTGCAGTTAGGTTGTTTTTTATTTAGATCATGCTTTATAAGCCATGAGTTAATAAGAGGAGAAAGGAAAAAAATCAAAAAGACAGAAGAGTGATATTATTTTCTCAATAAGTCTGAGATTCTTCTGTTTTCAGACATTGTAAATCAGTACATCTAGAAAGATCAGACACATTCTGCAAAATGCAGACCAAAAAATCTGCATCAATTCTTTTCTTCCCCGTTCAATTCGCTGAACTCTTATCAGCGCTGCCAGACAGATAAAACTCTGCCCCCTCTTTTAAATATAAGAAAAGGAAATAAAAGGAGCTTAAAATGAAAAACGGGTTTAAGAATATAAGTCACTGAATAGCTAAAATACCTTTACAAAAAAAAAAAAATCCATTGTGAAATGAATAAATAACCATAATGAATAAATCTTTGAATAAATAAAAAACATATTTATTTGTATATACAATACTAACATATTTTTGTTTAATTTAAATGGGAATATTTATTTAATGGAATATTTATTGACAATTTATCAATAGCAGTGTTTGTTGATTAATTTAATTTTGACTGAAACGGCTCTCCATATATAAAGGGAGGAAAGTTACTGTAAAGACTGTTAAAAGTTCATGGGCGCCCCATGCTGGAATACTGAGATTGCTGCAGCTTATATAGTTGGATATACACTATATTGCCAAAAGTATTTGCTCACCTGCCTTGACTCACATATGAGCTTAAGTGACATCCCGTTCCTAATCCACAGGGTTCAATATGACGTCGGTCCACCCTTTGCAGCTAGAACAGCTTCAACTCTTCTGGGAAGGCTGTCCACAAGGTTTAGGAGTGTGTTTATGGGAATTTTTGACCATTCTTCCAGAAGCGCATTTGTGAGGTCGCACACTGATGTTGGACGAGAAGGCCTGGCTCTCAGTCTCCGCTCTAATTCATCCCAAAGGTGTTCTATCGGGTTGAGGTCAGGACTCTGTGCAGGCCAGTCAAGTTCATCCACACCAGACTCTGTCATCCATGTCTTTATGGACCTTGCTTTGTGCACTGGTGCACAGTCATGTTGGAAGAGGAAGGGGCCAGCTCCAAACTGTTCCCACAAAGTTGGGAGCATGGAATTGTCCAAAATGTCTTGGTATGCTGAAGCATTCAGAGTTCCTTTCACTGGAACTAAGGGGCCAAGCCCAGCTCCTGAAAAACAACCCCACACCATAATCCCCCCTCCACCAAACTTTACACTTGGCACAATGCAGTCAGACAAGTACCGTTCTCCTGGCAACCGCCAAACCCAGACCCGTCCATCAGATTGCCAGATGGAGAAGCGCGATTCGTCACTCCAGAGAACGCGTCTCCACTGCTCTAGAGTCCAGTGGCGGCGTGCTTTACACCACCGCATCCGACGCTTTGCATTGCACTTGGTGATGTATGGCTTGGATGCAGCTGCTCGACCATGGAAACCCATTCCATGAAGCTCTCTGCGCACTGTTCTTGAGCTAATCTGAAGGCCACATGAAGTTTGGAGGTCTGTAGTGATTGACTCTGCAGAAAGTTGGCGACCTCTTCGCACTATGCGCGTCAGCATCCGCTGACCCCGCTCCGTCAGTTTACGTGGCCTACCACTTCGTGGCTGAGTTGCTGTCGTTCCCAAACACTTCCATTTTCTTATAATACAGCTGACAGTTGACTGTGGAATATTTAGGAGCGAGGAAATTTCACGACTGGATTTGTTGCACAGGTGGCATCCTATCACAGTTCCACGCTGGAATTCACTGAGCTCCTGAGAGCGACCCATTCTTTCACAAATGTTTGTAAAAACAGTCTGCATGCCTAGGTGCTTGAATTTATACACCTGTGGCCATGGAAGTGATTGGAACACCTGATTCCAATAATTTGGATGGGTGAGCAAATACTTTTGGCAATATAGTGTACCTTATATTTCATTTCCCTTCACACTGGCCTGTAAAATTAAACAAAAATCAAACGTTCCAAGCATGCAAAACATCAGTGCACTGCTTATTTCTCTGCTGCACGTTTTATATTTCCGTTCATCAGGTCTTCTACCAACATTTTTTAGATACAAAAAGAAGTCATCTGTATCAGGACACTTTGCTCTGATCTTAAACCAGCTCTTATTATTGGCAGATTCTTCAACTTTGATAACTGATTATTTAAGATAGTTCTCTATATATGATATAGTTGAGCCCATAAAAAGATATTTATTAACGTATTTCAGTTGTAAACAAAGTTCCTGGTCAATTTTAACGAAGAATAAGCTGGCTCAAATATAACCAAATTCACAAGCAGCGCAAACTTAGAAGTTTAAAAAACATACTTTCAGTTAAATAATCCTCTTGATATTATTTACCTCTATAATTAATCTATATTAATTTAAATCCTATAGGGAAAAAAAACCAGTGGTCAAATAATGGGAAAGAGAGCTTACATTTTTGCATTTTAAATTTTAATTATGAGACACAATCATTATAACTACAATAAAAGCAAATAGAGCACCCTTTTATTATTTTTGTTTCATTTATTTGTATCTAGGCTGAGATTTGTTTAGCCTTGCAGCGCAGATATTTAAGTCATTGTAAGATGCCTTTGTCCCTAAATCATTTATTAGATTAATTTATAATCAGATGGAAATAAATGGTACTCTATGGTTAGAGGAGGTTTGGATAGCTTGCAGCTCACTGACCTTACTGGAAAGATGCTCTAACAATTGTGTCTTAGAAATATTTTGTTTTATTTAGGAGTTAAATTTGTTTCTCTCGTAGATAATTAATTATCTTTGTATAAATATTTGCCCAGCCATCAGAATAAGATAACAATGTTCTCTAATATGTGACCCTTTAGCCACCAACTTGAAAATATATAAGAAAGAGCAAAATGTCTGAAAACTTTATTTATTTTATTCTCAATTATTTTAAGCTAAATTTATCCAGATTTAAACATAATTTAATATAATTGCATTTTATTCTCTTAGAAATGTTAAACCTTTTCATGAATCCTAATCCAAATCTTGATCCATTGATCTAACTGCTGTTCATAGAGTTCGAATTAATTCAGATTAATAAAGAAAATAACCTTTTTTGTTTAGCTTCCTAATGATTTACTTTTCTCTCGTCTGCCTGAAAACCAGAATAAAACGCCACTCGTCCTTTTATCATATTAATTTCCAACGGAAAACAGGATGTCTGTTTGACAAAAGGAACCCAGTGGTGAATACAATATATTTTATGTATTTATGTTAGATTAAAGACACTAACAAACTTTTCTGAAAGGAAATACATCTGGAAATGGCACGGTTTGAAACCTGAGCATAATGTCTTGCAGAATAAGCGACCTTAAATAACATCTGACTCTGCCTTCAGTTCAGAACCAATTTATTTTAGGATTTCATCAGAGCAAATTAAACTACATTTTATAAACGGCTCGGGGTTGAGTTCCCTTCCAGCAGGCGACTCTGTGAGACATTAATCAGGGTTCCTGTAATCATTAGACTGCTGTGGTTGTCTGTTAGTCAGGGAAGGGTTCCTGTTAGATCCATCAAAACATCAAAAAAAGGGGCTAACCATCAGCCAAACGAAGCGCCCTCAGCAATCATTGCCTCTGTTTCCCTTCATTCTTTGAAAGCTACGCAGCAGCTGCTTTATTCTGCACAGTTTGATCTCTTCTGTTCTTGTGATCAGTGTGTGCCGATTACTCAAAGCGATACAGGTGGGGTCTGGCATGTTAGGTTAGCCATGGATGGTCTTATATTGCCTTACATTGTAGTTCTGCTTGCTATCTGTGACATGTTGGCCAGGACCCTACTCTATCGCTTTGTACAGTATAAAGTAGTTTAAAAAGTTGAATAACATAAAATAACATATTACAATGTTATTTATGTTATTTCCCACGTGAAGAACTCCTGTAAACCTTGCAGTATTGAAACTCAGTGAACAAGGCATCTTAGACAAGCTGAAAAACAAATGGTGGTACGATAAGGGTGAATGTGGAACCAAGGACTCTGGAAGTAAGGTCAGTCGCTGCAGGTCTTTTTATACTGATGGAAAAAAATGCATTTTACCTTCACTGTTCATATGCAGACATGTAGAGCTTACAGACACGCTGGCATGAAACACAGTCATGGAGACTAGATTACTTTTGCACACTGCAGTTTAGCTCATTTACACCACAGGTGCACTGATGCATTACTCTACCTCTCTGTGCAGACACATAAAAATCCAGCATGATGATGACACAGTTTTTTATTCACTCCATTAAATCCTGAAAAGTTTAATGACAGAACTGAAACCATTATGCTGCTATTTTTCTTCCAAACTGTTATTGAAATTTACTTTACTGTTGGTCTTATTTATTTGTGTAACGATCTGTTGATGAACCCTTTACTAAAAAGAAAAGTAATAAACTTGGGAAGCTGTGCAGAGTTTTTCCCAAAATGGTGATTTTCAAACGGTATTTAAAGCAACACTGTGTAACTTTTAGCCACTAGGGGCGCTAGACTTATTACTTTCAGGTTTAGTCCTAATGAGATCAGCTGGCAACTTTGCACTGTGGCTAAATAAAACAATCTCTGTTGGAATCTGATAGATCCGGGGAAAATAAAGGTTATATTTACACTTAAGATCATCATCCTCTAGCAACAACTGTTAGCTTTGGTGTTTAAGGAGAACTCAGACATAAAGCAGCGCTTGGGTAGTATGACTCATTCAATGATAGATCTGAATCCTGACTAGGGCTGGGCAATAAAAGAATATAAATTAAATTATGTCTGATAGAGAGATTTATAATATCACTAAAGTCTGATCTAACACTGCATTTTGGGGGATGTAGGCAGACCAAAGGAGTGCCTCTCATCCTCTCACACCAGGCTACGCTAGGTTTTTAATAGGCCTGGGCTTAATTTAAACAAAAAAAAGGTTACGTTTAGTAAAGGGAAAGGTTAGGGTGATGCTTTTTTCTTTAGGCCTTTATTTCAAATGTTTAACTGTTTTTTTTCCAGATGGAACAACCTGTGGAGCTAGCTTACTGCTAGCTTTTCTAACATAGAAAGTATTTATCAGTCAGTGCTTCTGTGTTCCTCTTGTATCTCTGCTTCTATGTCCTTGAACCCCAGTCGGCCTCAGCAGATGGCCGCTCACTCTGAGCCTGGTTCTGTTGGAGGTTTCTTCCTGTTAAAAGGGAGTTTTCCTCTCCACTCTCACTACATGCATGCTGTGTGAGAGATTGCTGAAGAATTAATATGTCAGCTGGTTTCCCAAAGAAACTAAACCAATGTGACTGTATGATCTGGATGAATTGTTTCTGTAAAGGACTTTCAGATGACATTTTTTATGAATTGGTGCTATATAAACAAGCTGAACTGAATAAAAATATAGACTGATATAAAGGCTAATCATGATACATTTTCCGCCATATTGCACATCCCTACTCTATAGTTATTTATGCAAGTTTTCGAAGAGAGCTTTCATACACACAAAGTGCTTATATTGATACTAATCTGAAAGTTTATTTAAGACACCTTCAATTAAGCTAATAATTGGGTCAAAGGTCACACAGTGTTGCTTTAACAAATAAAACATTGAATTAACTCCGTGCTAGCAACATGTTTCATAAAGGGAGGGAGGAGTAATGTGTTTGACCTAAAGATGGGTTCAGTATGGGCCAAATAGGTAGTTACACAGGGCGGCATTAGAAATGGGGTGCACAGTAAAAAAAATGTTTCCTGTGTTCCTAACCTCAATTATGGTCATAAGATTTGGATAAAGAACATGAGCCTGGATGCAAAATGAAATGACGGTGGCTGGGCACTCCCTCAGATAGAGGGTGAGGGGCTCGGTCATTCAGGAGAGGCTCAGAGAGGAGTCCGCTCAGGAGGCTCGGCTGGATTTTATTCACCTGTGGTCATGAAAGTGACAGAGAGCAGCTCTTCTCTCCTCTTAATTGAGAAAAAGATACTTTCATTCACTTTTTATAGTGTAGTCTCTGTATAAAGTAGCTGGACCTAGAACAAAAACTAACCTTAAACTGAAAAAATAAAGTGCATTTGCCCTTCATTTGAGCCGTTAAGTGGAATAGATAATGCATTTATTTTCCTACAATGGGGAAATTGTGGTGATTTACCAACAAAATGATTTGCCAATCAATTGAGTAAAGATGAAATTATCTAAAACAAAGTAATTCTATATTAACTGCTTTTGAAATAAGATAGATTTTAGGTGCCAAAATATTACTCTGCAGATCGTTTTAGTTACCTACTCATATATACTTTTATTTTTTCACTCACTTTTAATTTACTTTTACAGTTTATATTTTAGAATTTATTTTCTATCTGTCAGACTACTTTTAACTGCTGTGTCCTCCCTTTTTGAAAACATGTTTTTATATGCCCTCAAACTATGTTGAACAACCATAATGGTTTTATAACTTTAAAGAAAAACAATATTTTTTCTTTTTAAGCGTCTTCTGTTGCTTCCCAACTTTTACAGAGAAAATAATGTTGTTGCTCTGAAATGTCCAACTGACCCTTAATAACAAGTTAGCATTTAGACTGTATTTTATGCCCCCCCCACCAAACTTTTAAAAGTTTATGCTGCAAAGAACTCTACTTGTACCGCTACCACTTTAAAGGTAATAATGACATCTTCCAGAGGTCACCAAAGGTCGTTCCTTCTCTAACCAAACAAAAAATGGTGGCAATCAATTCTGCTATTTTTGTGCAGCTAAGATATTTGTGAGCCCCCCTCCCACACTGTGATTTTTTCTCCCACTCTGTTAACATTTGATCACTGCTGCACTTAAAGAAATGGAAATGTCATGAGAGCTGTACAAAACGAAATTTCATCTTTTATTTACTATGTATATAAAAAACAACAATAAATGTTGTTTAAGCTTGATAAGGTCAAAGTCAATGGAGAGGCCTAACAAATAGTGACCCATACCCTAAACCTAACCATTATGGGTTCATACCTAATCCTAACATCTTAGGCCTAAACGCGACCCCTGACCCAAAAAAACCCACTCCCCTCATGGGGTCAGACACAAGGAGCTGTTCCACGCAATGTTCTGAATTTAAAGAAAATGGGCGCCACAGTGTATTCCAAATAAGAACACACACACACATTAACCAAATCTTAGAAAATGGGTGCCAATCAATTTAGCTATGTTTGTGCAGCAAATGTTTAAGTTTGTGCTGCCATTGTTTTAAAGCTGCTGGTGAAGTTCAAACTTTTCAACCTTTTGTCAGCAGCTTTAAAACAAAAGCAACACAAATATTTTGTTTTTGGCAAGGCAAGGCAAGTTTATTTGTATAGCACATTTCATGTACAGAACAATTCAAAATGCTTTACATAAAACATTATAAGCAAAAGGGAGAGAAAACAATTAAAAACAATTAAAAGCGTGATTCAAAATTAAAAACATTTAAGATTAAAAAGAGAGAATACAGAGACGTGCGGATTTTAACTTTTTAATAGAATCTACGTAAATGCAGCCAAGAACAGGTGGGTCTTTCTGCCTGGATTTAAAAAAACTAAGTGTTTCAGCTGATCTGAGACTTTCTGGGAGTTTGTTCCAGACAAGTGGAGCATAGAAGCTGAACGCAGCCTCTCCATGTCTGGTTCTGACTCTGCGAACTGATAAAAGGCCGGATCCGGATGAACTGAGGGGTCTAGTAGGTTCATATTTGCTGCACAAACCTAGCCTAATTGATTAACACCAATTTTGTTTGATTTTAGGAAGTAAGGGGCTGACCTTTGGTGAACTTTGGAAGTTTTCCTTAATATCTTGAAAACGATAGCTGCACAAACAAAATTATTCGAACAAATGTGTCAACCATTTTTGTCTAATTTGGTTAATGTTGGGGACAGGTTGATCTTTTGACCTTTGAACTTTTATCAGTAACTTTAAAACAAAAGCGGCAAAAAACAACAAAAAAACAACCTTGCTGCTCATATATAGCCAAATTGATTGAAACCAGATTTGCAGGATTTTTAAAAATGTTGATAAAGAATTTTGATGTTAGCCTAGACCAGATTTCAGAACCAATAAGTAAACAACAGATGTGAAACATAAACATTGGCTGTTTCTCAATTCACTAGAAACGTGAGTACAGACTCGTTTCCTTGCCCAAAAAGTGGGGACTCAGGGAGAACGGGAACATGTAGCATAAATATGGGTCAATTGGAACAGAGCGTACTCGTGACTTCACCACATGCTCTGGAGCTGCATTTCACCTCCTGTTATTAATAGTCTCCAGATAATAATAAATTCTTACTTTTTTCATATAGTGGGGAAATAATTAAAGTCAAATAAACACAAATCAAATTACCATTTTGCCAAATACAACCAAAAAATCACCATCAGAGCCAGCGGTACTTTACATGCAGCTATGCAAAGAGAGGCGGCCTAACGTTAGCCATGGCTGCTGCAGTAGTTATTCAGTTTAAGATCTATTAGCCGTATTTTAAATCCGTACCAATATTGTCTAATGAAACTTTGTGACAGAATCGATTTATTTTAACAACCTTAATCCTTAAAGCATTGCTCTATTAACTGGTAACAGTTACAGAAATGCTCTGTTGCATTATTGGCCCACCGTCCGCGCTGTGATTGGTCAGATCTATTTTAGATCAGAGACAACTGCGTCTTAAAAGATTTAATTACTCTCTGTGTCTTTCTGGACACGCTACGTTGACCTGTATTTAAAATGATAGCTGCACAAATTACAGACATTTTACTGCAAAAATGTTTGACACCATATCTATTTCATGGGGGGGGGCTTATATGACAGAGTGTCAGAGCAGAGCAACAAACATTTTAGTTAAATTAATTAGCAAACAGGTGCTCTGACCTTTCCAACAGAGGAGCAGAGTACACCACTGCTGGAACCGATCTATTGGGTTTTAATGCAAATGGTAAAACTTGCAGAAATGAATTTCAATATTACTGTTTGGCTTCTGATAGCAGCAAAATGGTTCAGTTCTCTTTTCTTTTACAGCTTGCTACTCTGACTGTACATATGCAGTGTAGTGAAGGTTGAGTTCAGCAGCTTTGGTAGTAAATTGCAGCTAATCTGTAGACCTGTACGACCACGACCGCCTTCCTCTATGCATGGCCTCGTAAAGAGACCATAAAGCAGGATAGTTTCTCTCTACATTCACCTTTGCAGGGCTTTAGAGGACAGAATGATTAATAGGAGGAGGTGCATACATTTATTTTAGGCAGAAGAACCAGTTGTACTTCAGGAAGTTTATACACATATTTAGCAGCCTCCTCTTAGTAACTGTTAGTGACAGAGTAGCCGTGTACATGTATGTGACTGTAGCCTCCTGTCAGTTTAAAGCACTTAATGGTGGTCTGTACCTCCCCCAGGACAAGACAAGTGCATTGAGCCTGAGCAACGTGGCAGGGGTCTTCTATATTCTGGTAGGAGGGCTGGGCTTGGCTATGACCGTGGCTTTGATAGAATTTTGCTATAAGTCACGGCAAGAGACAAAAAAACTAAAGCTGGCCAAGAACGCCCAAAACTTTAAACCAGCCCCACCAGCAAACACCCAGAACTTTGCCACGTACCGTGAAGGCTACAACGTCTACGGGACGGAGAGCGTGAAAATCTAAAGGTAGGATTTCTGCCCAGTTGTTCGTGATCGATTAGCGGATATTTGTGAATGTGGAAGCTTGTTTTTACAAAATCATAGAATTAACAAATATTTCTTGGTGGCACATTTATGTACAGATATAAAATATATGGAAAGACATTTTTCCCATTATGAATTTTAGTAAAGAATGCAATCTATAAATAAGCATTTGAAAAACTTCACTGCAAAAACGATCTAGAAAAAAGTAAAACATTTCTTAAATTAAGTGTATTTACCCTTAATTTCTGAGGTAAATTTGATAATTGGTAATTTGGTAAGTTGATGATTTGCCAATGAAATGAGTATTTTAACCCCTAAAATAAGATAATTTAATAATATGCACTTGAAATAAGACAATGCAATGGAAATTTCAATGTAAATTTTCTTATTCCATTGGCAAAGTGTCTTACTTACCTCCTCAAATTTAGAAAAAATGCACTTATTTAAAAAAAAATGACTTATTTAATTTCGATTTTTTTTTTTTTTTTTGCAGTGTTCTTAATCTAAAAATGGTTTGGTGCTAAATTTGTTGTTTTCTCAGATTTTTTTTATTTTGATTTTTACAGATTTTCTGTTGAAATAGCTTTTTTTTTATGGAGTTTTACAAATTGCATTCCTTTCAAGTGGTGTTTTTTACCGATCATGTTCCTTCACCCCCATGGGCGGGCTTTCCTGTGGAGGGAACATGCCTTGCCATCGCTCTGCTGATTAATTTTTAATGGATTTGAAATTAAGAGAATATGGCCTGGAAAATACCAGTGGAAAAGAGATTTGGAAAAAATAAAACAATATTTTAAAATATAGAAAAGAGCAGCAAAGTCTTAAGGTATAGTGCAGGATTTTTACGAATTTTTAAAAAACCCGCCCTCTCCACTTTAAAAAAAAGCACATGTGCAACCCTGTGCCTGCTGCCAAGAGGGAATGCCTATTAAACGTGTGCGAGAGCGTGCACAAGCCCATTTCTCCTTATGCATGCTGTTTAAAAGCTGCTCCATCACTTATTCAAGTTTACTTTCCAAAAGAACATTTGCAATTTTTCGACTGTCAGACAGCCCACTGTGTTATGCCGAGAAATACCTGCTTGCCGAGAATTACCTCCCCTCTCTCACACTGATGAGAAAACAGATTGAAATATGAATGAAAAGGGAACTTTTAAACATATTCCTAAAATTTTTATATATCTTATACATAGATGGCCTAAAATCGAGGGTTTTGGGGGACAGATATATGCCAAGAAATTCATTTCTGCTGAGAATATTCTCCCCTTTCACGCTGAGAGCGCATCGCCCTAAACTCTTGCTCATTGATGAAACCAATGAGCAAAACCAATTTAAATATTAATGAAAATGGAAACTTTTTCTTAATGTTTTGTCAGAAATGATACAGAATAGTGTTGATAGTAAAAATGGGAAATGCCATCCACATTCCATACAATTAAAAATCGTATTAATACTAATTTATCTATCCACCACAACTCAAAATTTTCAGCATCCATGAATAAAAAATATGAAAACATTAAGATTTTGTTTCAAAGTTCCCATTCTGTTCATAGTTCGTTTTCTCATTAGTGTGTGAGGGGGGAGGTAATTCTGGACATAGGGTTAGGTGAAAATGAGGACAAGCATGTAGGACGGCTTTACATAAACATACAAGAATGTTTGACAATTATTTCTTTGTGGCTGGACTCGGTGCTGCCCCAACTTGTTGTTCACTACATAATAAAATAAATAGTTTTTCAGGATGATGTAAAGTTAACTTTGACACTGTTGCCATTAATTATAAAACTAAGAAAATGAAGTCTAAGGAAGTTATCATCCAGAACTGTAGAAAAATGTTCCTTTAAGAGGGTAATGCAGCAAAGCTTTTGTGCTTAACATTTTTTCCTGCATTACTTCTACTTTTATACTTGAAGTAGTTTTAAAAAATGGTACTTTTACACTTTCACTGGTATAAAAAGCTTAAGTTGATCCTCTAACTTCTATTAAAGTTCTTTGAAACAGCAGGATTTATATTTCTTCTTTAGTAATATGGTAAATAGTAAATTGTAAAGTGTCTTGAGATGACATGTGATGTGAACTGGCGCTTTATAAATAAACTGAATTTAATTTAATTAATAAACATTAATACTTTTTACACCTCCGGTGGCTCTAAATAATTATTATTGGTTGGACTGAATCTATAAATGGCTCTTTGGATTGTAAAGGTTGCAGACCCCTGTCCTAAACCAATGATTTAGTTAATATCAGCTTAATGTCCAAAATTAATATCATGGTTTATGGACCAACTGGTTACTTCTCTCAAAAAGGTTACTGAGTGAGTGAGGCAGGTACTGGTTAATCTAAATAACTAGTTACTAGGCCAAGTATATATGCAGTTACTTTTATAATAAAATCCTGATAAATCTGGATTCAACTCCTGTTATCATCTTTAAACACAATTGGAAGTTCAATTATTAAATATAGAATGTTTTATATTAATTAATAGATCCAAAGGTTAACTAAACAAAAATAACTACATATAAAAAACTGCAAATTAGTGCCTTTTATTTTGAACTTTGAAGATCAGGCTCTCAGTATTTGCACACATTAACAAGCTACAAATGAATTTAAAATAGAAACAACACTGAGGAATAATGCTTTACAGGCAATTTGACAAAATGAATTATAGTTGGTGATAAAAATTAAACAGTAGTCAATATTGTAAAAAAAACAAAAAAACAAAAAAACAGTCATCCAGTTTGTCTGTGTGAAAAATTAACAGTAGCCTAATCCATGCAGCTGAATTAAGACTAACAGTGAAAAAGTTAAGAGCATCATACTGATGAGCTAAAGCAGCCAGTAGTAATCAGTGTTGCTGATAGTGAGACGATACATCGTGCTTCATTAGATCAAAGCTTCTTTTTACCAACATGGATAAAGTCTTCGTTCTCCGAATTAATGAGCATATCACAGGAAAATTGAGACTTTGGTTTCAGAGAACATTTCCAGTTTAGAAAAGCTGTCCTTAAATCTACAGATCTCTCCATCATCGCCTCACGTCGCTCCTCTGTCTGTTAGAAACCGTTGCATGCTGAGCACCCGCCCACATTACCTCCCCTCAGCCAATCAGCATCAGTTATGAGCCTCAGTCCTCCTGCTCCATCTCTGCAATAAAAATCTCTCCCTGCAGCCGAATGAGTGCACTGATGAAAACCCACTCTGATTGACCAAGGTCTAGTAACTGTGTTGAATTGTGAGTAACAAAGCGGAGTTACAAATATGTTAAAAATTCAACTTGATTACTTTTTTTGACATTTAAACAAACGCAGTGACTCCTAACACTGATAGCTGCAACTTTAACCCTCTCAGGCTCAAATTAAGTTGTAGTTGCAGGAAAAATGAGATATTTAGAGAAAATGATCATATGGGGTAGTAATATACAATTCAGACTTTTTTTTTGAGAGAGACCTTCACATGCAATGAATTCTGGAATGTTGCAGATTTGCAACAGTGGCCCGGAGTGGTAAATTAACACTGAAGACTGAATCTGATATGAACGTTAACTTTATTTGAATGTCACAAACAAAAAATTAACAAAACAAAATAAAAATAAAAAGCATCCATTGTAGCATCCATTGGTACCTGTTTGGGCACACATTGCAAATAGATAAAAATCTACTAATTGGCATGTGTCATATCTATACACATTCATGATTCATCTTATGTAGTATTGATTTCAAAATAATGGAAATTGGTAGTGATACTTATATGAAATTGGTGCTTAGAAAATCTGTTTTAGTGACACCAAGGACACAGCCATGTTGAAAGTGAGTCAGCAGTGCCATATGGTGAGCTGGATAGAAACTGTTGCAAATGCACAACTTAGTCCTTCTGTTTTACTTCTGAGTAACAAAAGCTCTTAAAATATTGATGTTAACTCCTCCTGGGCAGTCGGGGTCGCACTCTTGCTCTCCTTCTGTACTGTTTGCCTAATATTAAAGCTATCTGTTTAGAAGAAACGCTGCGTGCTCTGCAATCCAAATGAGCTTCTTTGCTTCCTCTAAATTTCGGCAAACGTTCTCCCTCATTTTGTGTCTTTTTGGGGTATTCCGTCTCGAATCTGAGAAACAGCGCAGAGATGAAGCTGTTTCTCTGCTCTGTCACTGAGATAATATTGATAAACACCTGAACTCCGTCTGATGTGATTCAACCTGCTATTCCTATTGAGTCCTTTAGTGTCTATGTCGGCATCGTAACCACAAGGAAATATCTATATATTTTGAACCTGTGGAAATCTATAAAACATTTATTTATATATGTTTTGTCAATAAAATGATTACTAGACATTATGTAGATTTATTATTGGTGAAAAATTAATTGTTTTGATAAAAAACTTTGACCTTTGAATTCCCTGTTTTTACCAATTATTTATCAAAAATTTATAAATTTTAAAGATATTTTCAGTTGCATTGATCGTAGGAAGGAAGAAGCCTTGTATACAGCTCTGTGTCTTATCTTCTACCTTCAACTTCCACTTACCTGACAGTATTATTATCCCATACTTACCTTTTCTTGCTTTAAAACATCCACCCCAGGTAGCAATGTCCACCTTTGATAATCTACAATGACTTTACAATGATTTGTCTCCTGACAGCCAGCTGCTGCAATGATTCCCATGTTTGTCTGTTTGCCAGGTGATTCCTAAACCCTACTGGTGCATAAAGGATAACAAGAGCCACCCCGACACATGACCCCCCCACCTACATCCCCTCCAAAGGCTGGCTTTTTAGAAGTGACGCCTTCCTCGTCATCTGTCCAGACACAAGCCAATAAGCCAACAAGTGCTCATTTGGGGTTAGAAACTGTCACACTAACAGAGGCCAATGACACAGCTGGACTTCTGTTTGTGGCTGGAAAAGCAAGAATCGCCTCTTGTAGTGCCTTAAGGAGCATTTGGGCGTCATGGCAACGCGGATCCAACTAAATTCACTTGAAAACAAGGAACAAAATGGGGAGAAATGGCCTCAGATGCCACCTGGATGGACAGGTTGTAATTATTACTGTTTTATATTTTGAAGAAGAGAAATAAAAAAAGAAAAAAGAAAAAAAAGCCATGGTTTGCAAAGAAATTCCTTAAGTCCTTTAAAGACTTATTTTTGTGGTGAAACCTTACATAGGATAAATGTTTTGTTTAGTGAGGTACAGTCATTTTCTTGTGTTACTATAAGAATATTTTCAGTGTCAGAACATTTAGGACAAGCATCAGTAACAATAATAAGGTTAAGGATCAAGAACTGCAGCGTTTTTTTTTACTCCATGCTTGTGTGCATCTGAAACAGCTGAACTGGTTTGATTTCTCAGACCTTCAACCCACCCTGTATTTACTTGGATGCTTGTTTTAAATTTAGTACTTTGTTTAAAACGGCCAATTTTGGAAGAAGACATTTCTACTGAAGAGGTCCGCTTCTTTATTTCCACTTAGTGCCATGTTACCTATATCAAAATAATCCCCAATATTTTCGAATCAATGGGACGAACCTGTTTTCTGGAAGATTAAGGAAGAGTTTTAAAGAGCTCCTGGTTTACACTTTGTACAAACTTTTTCAGCACCGTCCTTGCTCATCTAAGTGAAGATTGATGGGACGGTTTTGATAAACGACGTCTGAGGCTGGAAGGAGATTCCTGTGTCTATGCATTTTGCAGAAGGTGAGCTCTACACCGAGGAGAGGCCAAACAAATCCAACTACTCTCTGCCAGTAGGGAGAGGCTGACATTAGGAACCATTGTTTATATTTTTTCATGAACTGCATGTGAATTTGATGGAAGTTTAATTAAAAGCTAACTGCAAACGGAGCCCGGTTCAGTCGAATCTAAAAACAACTTTCATTTAATTTCGGTTTGATTTCTTTTTTTTTGCTGGAGGTGGGGGGGGGGGGTTATTTTATTGATACCTCAAACCGAGAGACTTGCATGTATGGACACAATAAGCCTCTGTGTGGAGGTCCTGTACAAAGGATTTTATTACATTTCCTTAATAAAAGAAGATTTTTATTCAACTCTGGATCCAGACTTTTATTCCTAAAACTGTTAAGAAGTCATCAACTGGAAGTTCTTGTTTAACTTTTTAGTTAAGAGTCCAGGAAATGATGTTAAACCAACCATGGCTGCGGTGAAATGCAAATTGCTGAAAATTAAAAGAATCACTTTAAAACATTTACTTGCAAATATAAACATGAATATTTAATGTAATGATAATGTAAATGCAAATTAAGTTCTCAGCTCATAATTTTAAAAACGGATTAAAATGTAAAATGTATCCCGATAATAGAAAATGTTGAGGTATTTTTAATTCTATACATTTTATAATGCAACACTTAAAAACTATGTTTTCCTCTCATAAATACTAGTTATAAAATTGAGGAAGATTAAAGACGATTAAGGCAGTAAAAAGTTGGAGTAGTCCTTTAGCAGGTGACCAAAGAATTTAAGAAACCAACTTCAGCTTCATGTTCAGCGGCTCTTTCCACCACAGCGTCATTGATGTTAACATCACGAAGAGTAATTATCCCAAACATTTAAGAAATGCAATCATAAACACTTAAAATAGCTTCTACTGACACAAATCAACCCAATGTTTGGTTTCTTTTCATACAACCCAACCAAGCTAGTGCTAGCTGAACAAGCACTATATATACATATACAGACGTAGATTCTTCTTTGGGCGCAGGTTGGCCCGTCAATGTTACCACCATATTGTATGTGGCAGAAAGCAGTTGACAAACTGGACAACCTAAAGCTGCAGAGTGGCAAAACTAGGGAAAAACCTGATTAAGACCATTCTTTTTCAAGGTTTTTAACTTGCATACAATACAGACTGTTGTTTTTAGATATAGATGTGCATATATAAAAGTATATGTCAAGATTATAGACGCGTCTATACATGTATATTAGTCATATATATAGATTCCAGTATTGAATCACATAAATTGAGTTTAATAATACTGGAACAAACTTCCCCCTATAGTGAAGCCACTTCAAATGAAGCCCTAAAAGTGCAATTATTGGAGGAAAAAAACAAAAAAAAAAACCCATCTAGTTTTTCCAAAAATCTAGTCTTTGTAAAGAAAGAAAAAGTATTCGTTCAGCCATAATATAAACCTAACCCTCCAAAAAAGAGACAAAAAAAAAAATGATTATGAAGTAGGCTTTAATTTATATTCAAACAAGTGCAACCCACAACTTTACCCTCATGCTGAAATTGTGCCTTATTCATTTGTACACAAGTCAGACGCAAAGCGCATCAGCCAATCACGGTGCAGTATTATGGTTTAAGGCAGGAGATACAGCTGAGGCATAAGCCAGGTGCTGTAGAGCTGAACCAAAATTAATATGGCAGGACAGGAAAACGTAGCTGCCTGCTTTCTAATGGCACCTGCTGCTATTTGATTTGTTACTGTGATTGGCTAAAACCAAACATGGTAAGTGGACACCGAGCGTCGCCTCCCAATCCGAGCAGTCCCAGATTGTGTCTGGATTAACTGGTGTGAAATAGAAATAATTCCTGCATGCAAGGCTCCAAAGGAAGGCCAGGAGAGATAAAAGATAAGTGGTTGTAGCTCACTGGAAGACGGCTGTTGTGAAATGTTTCATCTGGCCAGTGGAAGATAGATTAACCTAACAGGAAATCTCCTTGGTGGGGTGGGGCTGTGTATTGGTAGTTTTTGTATAAATGTATGTACTGAGCTTGCCCCAGTCAGAGCTTTTTCTCTCCGTCTGCAGACGTAAAAATATATTTGAGCCTTCCTTACAAGAACTGCCTGAGTCTCTGTTTTCTACAACTGGTTTTAAAACAAAAACACTTCTGAAAAAATTGCAAAATAGAACAAAGACCCTAAACTTTATCACATTAAAGTTCCCACAAGAACTGAATAGAGCTTTTCATTTTTATGGAGGAACAACAAAAGACAGACACAATGTTAAAGTGACACTAAGAAAACTATTATTTATTGAGTTTATTTTTTTTTCCTTAAAAAACAAAACATACACTCATTGAGTACAGCAGATAAAATCTCCAAAGGTCATTTTTGAAACGGATGCATTTGGAGAAAAGAGCATCAGAATTTTTCTTTACAATAATCTGATCAAAGCTCAACGGACAATTTATTTTTTTTTTTTATAAATTATGTAAAAACCTGATTAACACAAATTCACAGGAGAACTTGTATGGGACATGGGAAAAAAATGAAATAACATGATGTGAATTTCATGTCACGCTTTTTATTATTGTACACAATATACAAACTGGTCCTAAGTATTTTTTCCTCACTTATGCTCGCCGTCCTATCTAGATTAAAAGGAGATAAATAAATAAAAAGGATCCAAGTATCTCAAAAGGATATGAGGTGAGCGGGCATGGAAAAGCAGGTTCTATTCAATAAAACAAGCAAGAAGAAAAGGAAGGCCTTACAATGTACAAAAAAAACAAACAAAAATACATGAGACTAATGAATCCATGACCGTTTGGTACCAAAGGATCATTTCAAACTGGAACCACATTCCTGGTAAGAGTAACACTGTGATTACAGCAGCACCTGGTGCCCATACTGAACTATTTAATATCTCTAAAAAATGAGGACCAATATTTTATCCAGCTGGTTTACATCGCAAACAGGAAGAAATAATCAGGAGATAAATTACATAGTCGTGGAAAAGAAAAAAAACAACAACATTGGAAACAAGAATGAAAGTCGACATGGTACAGATGGAGGTGTGGAGGTCTTGCAGATAAAAGCAAAGCTTATCCTTTTCTGCTGCAGCACAGGAGGGAACAAAAAAAAAAAAAAAAAAGGTCAGGAAACTCCAAGATGGCCGATTTAGTGGCTGGAAAGAGAAAGCTGAACGTTTCTTACCTTCACTGATTAGTGCAAATTATCTGTGCTTGTCAGCCGATTTATGGGTGTGATCGTTAAGGGAAACCAAACACTAAAGAAACGCTCCTGCTCAGCCCATTGTCACTAAGGAAGTCAGAGTCCAGAGGGGGAAAAACAAAACAAAAAAAGCTCAGGAGGGAAAACTTTCCACCTGTGAGGAATCAGGGGGAACCAGAGGCTCATTGTCGGTCAAAAATCACAAAACGTTTCAAACCGTTAAAAGACCAAGAAGCTTTAAGAAACTTCTGGTTTGTGGCTGAGCCACACTAGTTGGACCTGAAAGTCGTAAAACAGCAAAAACACCATAAACCTTAAAACAGAAAGAAAAGAAAAAAACATGCTTAGGATTAGCGAGGCGAGCCAAGAGCCGCGTAGAAAACTATGGCTGCCTGCATCAGGATGCAGGAGGACAGAAACGATAAGCGTCCAAAGAGGAAGCGTTAAGGATATTGTTTTTTCTCCTCCTTCCCTGCGCCGCTCTCCCTCTTCTCCTTCTTCTCTTTATCATGTCTGGACTCCTGCAGAAGAACAGAAACCATCAGCTGGAGATTTTATGCTACGCATCAACATCATGATGGTCTGAGCCCCTGTCATGGTCAGCCCCCTTTTACTCTGATCACCCTAAATAAAACCCTAAGAAGCCCTGACTGTTGGTAAATAGAGTCCATCTGAGTGAAGCTCGGTAGATTCCAGCTTTTCTGAGAACCTCAGAGGCTCAGAAAGATGATTCCTTATATTTGTAACCTGATGAATCCACTGGTTTTAATGTAATGGTTTGATTCTGGTCTCCATTAACTGATTCTAAATGTTCTGATCCTAATTGCTCTTAGAAGCAAACAGGCAGCAGAGGATTTTTCCTGACAGTTAGAGGATGAGCTGACCTTCTTTCCTCCAGAGGTTCTCTCTTGTTTCACAGACTCCGCCTTCTCCTTGCTGGAGGATTTGGATCTTTTGCTCTTCTCTTTCTCTGGGGACAGAGAAGAGTCACAGGAAGGACTCTGGCTGTTTCTGGCGGAATCTGGAAGGAGAACAATCCGTTATGCTTACGCCACAAGCTTTTACTAGCGGATGTTGGTGGGGAAGATAAAGCCTTACTGGTGCCGTTCTCGTCCTTTCTCCGTTTGGACTCTTGGCTCGCCTCGCGGTCGTTGATGTTGTGATCCTACAGGAGAGGCAGCAATCATGGGTTAGTGTGCATGTTAAGATAGCGGAGCTGAACATCCAAAGGTTCTGCAGAACACTAACATGTCCCAAAGTAAACCTCAGATTTTGGATTTATTAAAAGCTGCTTTTATTTGATTTTAATGGTCTGAAGTTTTTCTTGTATTGAACAGTTGCTGTTTAATGACGGTGCTACTAAAACCTTGGTCCAGATTTAGACTCTGCCCTCTAACTGTAGATGAGCTGGTTGATAACTTCCATTCTAAGATCTCCCATCAGCGATTCGATCACTCCTAATAAAGCAAAGGTTGTTTTGGGAAGAAACAGTTGCATGCAGGTTAAGTCTGGACTCCAGCTTAACTTAAATATCTAGAAGTTAATCCCATGCTGATCTTTCTTTTTTAGTTACTTTGAAAAAAAAGCTGCAGTCATTTAGCTTGGCCCATCATTTCCCCATTGTGGGCCAATACAGGGATTTTCTATGCTATAGAGCGATTTTACAGATATAAATTAGAACAGAAAAAAAAAAAGCTAAAATATTAACAATGCTTTGGTCTTATTTGTCACTGTCAAGGTATCAGACCCTCCACTCCATCAAAACCTGCAATGAATCTGCTAATTTCTTCCTTGAAGAACCCAAAGATCAGAGTCTCTACATCCATATAAAGCCCAGTAACAAAGTTTTCTCCAAATAGAATATCACCAATTCCCATCCAATACTGATAAAGCTTCCTCCATGCTGCCTCCGTGTTTTACCCACACCTTTCCCCAAGAAAGCTCTGCCCATCATCATGTAAAGTACCATATTTTCACGACTATAAGGCGCACTTAAACGTCTTTTTTCCCCCTCAAAATGTGCGGTGCGCCCTATGGTGCGGTGCGCCCTATGTGTGTTGTAACTGCGACTTTTGAGACCACCTCATTGAGGAGATGATGAAAGAGTGGCTGAATGTAAGGAGACCAGGTGTTTTTTTTCCACTCATCACCATTAATCTGTAACTCCATGCGTGCCCATCTCACAGCTGATGTGAAAAACATGGGGAAACAAATTAACCCTGTGCTCGCTGTTCAACCGCTCGACATCGGTGTGAACCGGACCCAGCAGGTGCAGCAGAAGCAGCCAGTTTACATGCAAAGTCAATGGTTGACGCGCGTATAGGTGCAGCAAAAGGTCCCGCAGCGCGTTTTGAGCCGCAGGTGCAGCACGTCGGGATCGTTTAAGCATCTGACGCACCGCCAACGCGCTGCTGCTGCTCGAGATGGAAAAATTGAAGTTTTGCTGCTGGACGCGCCGCATCAACCAATCAGAGAAGCTGATCTGGGAGCTGACAGCGAGACAGACACAGCGCTCTGATGACATATGATATGAACGCAAATGAAAAAGGCTGGATGGATGAGGAGATGATGAAAGCGTGGCTGAGGCAGGTGTATGTGAGGAGACCAGGTGGTTTTTTTCCACGCATCACCATCGCTGCGTGCCCATCTCACAGCTGATGTGAAAAAAAAGGTGAATCAATGAACGCTGTGCTCGCCGTTATCCCGGGGGGTCTGACAAAGGAACTTCAACCGCCCAACATCGGTGTGAAGCGGCCGTTCAAAGTAAGGCTGCAAGCGGCGTGGGAGCGATGGATGACAGACGGAGACCACAGTTTCAGGATAAGTGGAAGGCAGCGCCGGGCAAGTTACGCCACCGTTTGCGGATGGATTGTAGATGCTTGGACTAACATGTGTGCTGGCTCTGTTCTTCAAGCTTTTGCAAAAGCCGGCATTATTTCTGAGGAGCCGCGCTGCACGGAAAGTGACTGACAGCGAAGAAGGGGAAACTGGCATGTCTGATTTAGCGCAGCTGTTTAATTCAGAAACAGAGGATGATAACTTTGATGTGTTTGATTAATACTTTGTAATAAATACATGAATAAAGCACAATCATACTCAGCTTTGCTCCCGCTCTATTTTTCTACCTGAAAACTTAATTCAACAGCAGCCTCTGGTCTCCTCCTCCTCTTCACAGCGGCGGCTGGCAGGTGCTTTTTCATCTAAATAATCTTAATCTTGCAGCTATATTTGCTGTGATCAGTGGGAATAAAGTAGTTTTAATATGTTTTTAAGTGAGAAAGTCCACCTGAAAACTTCATAATTGCAGTCAGTTCATCCAGATTATCTATTTCTGTCGGAGGCGCTCAGACCCCCACATACCAGCGGTGCACCGACAGTAGAAATCCTTTCGTTCACCGCGGCTGCTGGCAGGTGTTTTTCATCTAAATAATTTAAACTGCAGGCACCAGGATGCCGGTAATAAAAGCAAACATATTCTGTTGGCAGGTTTCAGGATTTTAAGTTAATTTAGGAGTGACCACAGCGCTGTGTCATCTGCGATGTGTCTGTCTCACAGCCAGCTGCCAGGTTTGATTAATACTTTGTAATAAATACATGAATAAAGCACAGTCATACTCAGTTTTGCCCCCGCTGTATTTTTAATAGGGCTGCAACTAACGATTATTTTAAAAATCGATGAATCGGACGAATATTTTTTCGATTAATCGATGAATCGGACAAAAAATATTTTTTATATTAACCTCTTTATTCCAAAATAAACATTTTAGACAGAACAAACAAGCACACAAGTACAGGTTGCTCATTAACTGTACTGGTGCAATATGAAAAATACATTTTTGTGTTAAAACTACGCAAACTTACATGAGAAATGTAGCTGTACATCCACAAAATATAGGCTACTTTGTTTCATAAAGCGTAAAAAAAGACATTTTTGTTTTTAAAAGCCTCTAAGGGGTTCAAACAATAGGCCCCCCCATTTCAACAAATAAGTTTTTTTTAGACTAGAAGAGTTCTGCCTTTTAAGACAGGAAAGTGTAGCAGTTAAAGTTGCTACTTGAGAAAATACTGAACCATAGAGATAAAAATAGCCCTGTGATTCAAATTATAAATTGTATTTGGAATAAAAATGAGAGAACTAGGGGTGCTAAAAAAAACACATCCTCCAAAGACAGATATTTACATGGGAATGTGGCAGATAATTAATTGACATATTACTGATCTTGCTGGATTTTATTCTGCTTTACTTCCATAAATTGCAGGATCTTCTTTACTTTATCTTTGCCAGAAGATTTAAACTTTAAAAGCCTTGCCCTCATAATTTGCAAGTTAATTTATTTATAAAGTAAATGTAAACGCTGCTTAAGCTAATTCAAATGAAATTAAAAGTAAAATAAGTAGCCAACCTTATCACTGTCTGTAACCTACTAACACGGTAAGGAAAGCATCAGATGAGCTACCTGAGAAACTAACGTTACGTTTCCCCACTCTAAAACCAAACAAACATGGTGGTTCCGTGCCATGTTAATTTCTTTTGAAAAAAGTTGCATGTTATCACTTTTTTCGCTTTACAAAGCGCAGGCTATTTTTATTATTGTGATCAATTTGCGCCGTCAATCCCGGTGCATGCGCGCTTCATTTGCAGTCTGGACGCTGAGGCTCTGAATGCAGCTGAGAGGGACTCCTGCGGGAGCGGGAGAACGTGGTTGGGATGGGGGAGGCGCCCCACGGCAGAGTAGGAACGATACATGCTTTCACGTAAGAGTCTCCAAAAGCCGCCAGTGAAACCGAAAAAAGTCGCCAGATTTGTCGCTAGTCGCTTTTTTGAAAAATAGTCGCTGGAAGGGTCTGAAAAGTCGCTGAGTTGGCAACACTGCTCCTGCGGCGCTGACTCGCTCTGCCATATTTTTTTTTCTTCCTCTTTCAGTCAAGAGGCAGTGATGACGGCGCGGCGGATGACGCAATAATCGCGCGACACAACTAATCGATGATGAAATTCGTTGCCAACGCTTTTAAAAGTCGATTTTTATCGATTTTATCGATTCGTTGTTGCAGCCCTAATTTTTAAATACGCAGTAGAGGTATTTAAAGGTAGTAGAGGACATGTACCTGTATATAAAAAACGCGCCCTATAGTCCGGTGCGCCTTATGTGTGTGTTAAATACAGAAATGGCACACATAACTGAGAGTGCGCCTTTTAGTACGGTGCGCCTTATGGTCGTGAAAATACGGTAACTAATAATTAACATATTCCTTCTGTCAGGTGATTTCCCCCAGGCCCTAAAAACAGCAACTATCAAACCGCTGCTGAAAAAGAGGAACTTGAACAAGCTTCTACTGCAGAACTAGAGGCCCATCTCAAATCAGTTAGATTATAGGAAAAGCTCTGCTTTAGCAGCTAAACACCTTCTAAACAAAGACCAGCTGCTTGAACTTATTCTAGTCAGGCTTCCCATCTCACCACAGAACAGAGACCGTCTCTATAAAGTTAATTCAGGTCGAATGAATCTGACCTGACCGTTCAGACACAGGTCGCATTTGAAAAGATCAGATTCTTATTGGATTCAGGGCCAAGTGGCCTGCGTCACACTGGAAAAAATCAGATCTGTGTTGTTCAGACAGCCATGAAAAGATCAGATGCAACAAAACCATCGGATTTGGGTCACTCCAGGCTGCGGTTAGAATGTAGCCTTAGACTTCTCATTTTTTAGCCATGAGGAACTAAATTAACTAGAAGAACTAAATTAACTAGCAGCTGCTCTATGAGGTAATGGATGTGATGCTTCTATGCACAGTTAGCCTGGTTTAAAGGGATTCAAGGGGCATTAGGTGTTAAGATAATCTTTGACTTTTTACAATGCTGATCAGAAAGTCCTCTGATGATGCGTTAGAAAAGATTAAAATTAAATCAATCTGTAGTGAATAACTGAGTTAGTTTTAGAAACCAGCAATCAGGCTCTAAATCTGGCTGTAGCGATGGACTTGGACCTTCAGAGGCTCATAAAGACAGGAACGAAGTTGTCCTTCAATTACCTGAAGAATCTCCAGGATTAATCTTTCTGCAGGACCATGATAAACCAATTCCTGCTTCGTTCATCTTTAGTAGAATTGATCCCTGCAGCCGTGTCTCCCCAGGTCTGCCTAAATAGATCTGAATTGCATCTGCTCCACATGTTGCTGCCTGTGTTCTCACTAGAACTAAAAAAGTAGAACACATCAGCCTGGTTCTGAAGACCCTCCTCTGGCTCCCGTATCTCAGAGAAGACTCTAAAATCCTTCTTTTAAGTCTATAAATCACAGAACAGCTTAGCTCCAAAATACATTACAGATTTGTTGGCAGTGGATCAACAGCCAGACCTTTCAGGTCTTCTGGATCAGAACAAATAAGAATAAGCAGCTTTTAGCTCCTCTGCTCCACTAATCTTGAATAAACTCCCAGAAAACTGTAAAAGCTCTGAAACCCTTAGATGCTTTAAATCCAGATTAAAAATGTCATTGTTCCGAGCGACCTTTGAACTGAAGATCTAAGCATTTTGAGTTATGGTTTTTTGTTTAATTTTTCTTATCAATTGTTTCATCATTTTTTTATAATCACCTTACTTTAATTATTCATAGTTATTACCATTATCTTGAAGCCACTGCAATGTACGAACCGGTCCTGTTGTATAAATTCTATGATGTTTTCCTGTCTGTGAATAATCAAACCAGACTCCAAACGTCTGGTGGTTCCGTCAGAAATGGAAAGCTGAAAGCACTCACTCGTTTCCTTTCCTTCCGCTCCTTTTCCTCCTTCTTCTCTTTGGATCGGCCTTGTGAGTTCTCTGTGTCGTTCTTCTCCACTTCCCTCTCTCTGCTCTTGGACCGGGCAACTGAATTAAAGTTGATGTGGTGCTGCTGCAAACAATCCCACATGAAGAGAAGACAGGTTGAAGCCTTTTTTCCAACTAGTTCAGCCTTTCATCAGTCTAAATGAAATTAACAGAGGTTGGTGTCCCTTGTTAAACAGATGCTGTATTTGGACTCCTGCTGCTATCAATCATTGAGCTTCTTCAGACAGAAACTGAAGCTAAAGTCAAATAATCAGACCTGCTGTTCCATTTCAAACATCCCAAAATATCAAACAGTTGCCTTTCTGGCCTTCAGGAACCAGATTCTCTAGAATCAGTTCAAAAGGTCCAAACAGCTGCTGCTGGATACAGTGTGGCGGAGCTCGTCTTCAACCCAACGCTTCTGTCTTATTCTGAAACTTGATGTGAAATCAGCACTTCGTGGTTTTAAACAGAGCTTTCTCAACCTCTTACCACTTTAATTTTGGTGAAACAGATTCTATCAAGAACAGGAGGAAGAATACCAGAACCGTGTTTCTAGGAGCAACAGAACATTTTTGTTAGCCTAGTAAACTAGCCCCACCCGCCAGCGGCCAAAATAATTTTTGTCTGCGAGTTGGTGCTAGCCTCGATCAATGCCCCAGGCCCTAGAACTGCCGGGCCAATCACAACGCAGAGAAGAGTTTGGAATTTTTGGATGGAAAGCGAGCTGGGTTTTGGGGGCGTGGCGACAAAGCTGTGCAACGCTGGAGGAAGCACAACAAGATGGCAACAACTATTGAACAGAATCAGTTTTGGAAAGATTAGATTTGGGGTTTTCGTTGAAACGGGAGCAGGAAGAGGCTCTACGCTCATTAATTTTTGTTCTCATCAACAATCTTCCGATGTCTCATTCATCGGGACCAGACTAAATTACACTTTTAATCTTACAGTTAGTCTGGTTTCTCAGGCTACATTTTTGTGCCATTAAAGCGACATGAGGAGAAACTGATCCGATTCGCCTCCCGATGGCACTCCTAACTATCCAATGTTTGACTGGAGGTGAACCGACTGCAGGTTTCTGGCCAAAGTAAAAATTTACATTTTTCCAATTGTTAAAAAGACACAATAAAACTTCAACAAACCATTCCTACTTTGTCAAATAACCAGATAATAACAACAAAACAATAAAACTGGTGTTAGCAACACTTGAGGCAAAGCTCTCAAATATGTACAAAAAGTTCAGAGCTGATGGGCTGATGTTCAGATCTTTGCATCAGTCAATTTGTTTACACATGAGGAACACCCAAAATAAAGGATAATCGGCACACAGCTGTTGAATTTTTTTTATTAAATCTGATTTGCAGATTTAGATAAAGCAAAGACATCAATACATTAGGACTGCAGCTAACGATTATATTGCAAATCAATTAATCTGTCGATTATTTTTTTGATTAATAATCAGATAGCCAAAGGTTTTACAAAGAATACTTTTTATAAAAATAAAACCAGATGAAAGAAACTTTTTCACTTGAGCAGGTTGGATAGAGCAGTTTGATGGACAAAAAAGTTTTTATCTTAAAGTTAATTAATTTTAGTATAATATAATATATATCTATATTTTTTAGAATTTTAGTATAGTTAAGTAGATTTCTCTGTCAGCTAAAGGAATGTGTTAGTCTCTATACTCCAGTTAACGATTCATTGATTATTAAATTAGTTGACGATTATTTCAATAATCGATTAATCACGATTAATTGCTTCAGCCCTACCACATAAGATCCATTTAAGTGTCGTTTCCAGCGTGACAAGAGCCATGCTTTTTAAATAAGATAAATCGGTCTTAGAGGGATCAGTAGATGAGCCCAGATGTAAAAGTTAATTTATTTAATACAATAAAAATAGTTCCATCATCATTTTCAGCATAGCTAAAACCGCCTCTCTTTCACTGGGTTCTAGAACCCAGGTGCAAACTGGGCAGATTTTTCATCAAATCACAGTCATCTTAATAAAAAATAAATAAATAAAAAAATAAAATAAAAAAAAAAACTGGTCAGCACAGTCAAGAGTACATTTATTTGATTTTTACTCAAAAGTGAAAAACAATAAAGCCTAAATGCTTCTGATCTCAGTACTTTCACAGGTATGGAGGGTCAGCTAGAGATGATGGGAAAGATCTCCCCGCTACTAAAGTTTATTGGATATGGAGTTATAAACTGGTGAAGACGACTAACGACAGCTAAACTCAGGTCATGAGTTTAACAGTATCTGTGTCCTCGAAAAACATAGTTTTCATCATCAAAATTTAATGAATCGTTTGTTGCCATGAGTCACAACTCCAGTAAAAAAAAAAAAACAAAAAAAAAAAAAACACACACAAAAAATTCCTTAAAATTTTTTCACAAGGTCTTCGATTGATCCTGCTAACAAACCAACAATGTTCCTTTGTCTTGTGTTTTTATCCTCAGGGAAATACCTCTGGACTCTGAGTCCAATGCTGAGGCTGTAATCGGTTACTGCTGCCCCCTCTGGTTTAGTGGGGAACTGCTTATACCACCAAATATCCCCATTACACAATGATAGAGAATCTTTTCCAGGTCATGATCTGGATATTTACCACAATGTAATGGATTCTTCATTGGCATTAGGCGCATCTCTGAATAAAAAATTATTGAAATCCATCCATAAGCTTTTTTTGTTGAAAACAGACAAACCAACACAGATGGAAACACAATCTCCTTGGCGGGAATAATAAAAAATACCATAAAAATCAAGGTAAAATCTTGTTTAGGGAGAGCTAAGAAAGCTACTAACATATCTGGGGATTGGTGGCCTAGTGGTTAGGGTTTAGAGCTTGAAATCCAGAGGTTTTGAGTTCAAGCCCCAATCCCAGACTGCCACTCTGAGGTCACTGAGCGAAGACCCTTAATCCCACACCCAGGCGCCGCACAATGGCAGCCCACTGCTCCTCAATGGGATGGGTTAAATGCAGAGGTAATTTATCCAATGTGAGATCAATAAAGTTAAATTATTATTATTCATCATTATTACTTTAGTATCTAAAGCAAAAAACTAACTTCTAACAAACTGAAAGTACAGTTAGAGGAACAATAGCCATAGCTGAAAAGGTGCAAAGATCGGAATTAGACTAAGACATTCCCTCTACTCGGAACCTATATCAATACTGTCCAAAAATTAGAGCATTATCAGAGCTTCTCCAAACTATTAGCATTGACCTTTACGTGCAGGGAATAAACACAAAACGTTGTAAAATTGAGAACATTGGCAAGTTTAGAAAGCACCTGCAAAACCTCTGAACAGACCGCATCACATCACAGAAAAATAAAACTCAGTGAAACAGACGCAGTTGGCTTAATGTCGTCATATGAAATTGTGTCTGAGGGTTGCGATAGAGTCATTTTAACTATTGTGTAGGGGGGGAACTAGAGATAGAGAGGGGAGAGTTAGAGAAAAAGAGGCAGGCTTATGATCATCTTGCCCAGGAGGACAGAGTTCAGTGCTTTTACGTCGAGAAAGTCTTCATTAACACAGAATAAAAGTCACTAGAATTGGCGCAAGGCACTTTTTTGAAATAAGGTGCTAGGGTGGGGTCTAAAAAGGCGCTCAAATTTAGCCATAAATGCGCAAAGTTGGCAACACTGACAAATGCCCACACTTTGTGCTCTGCCCACTCTGAGGACATTGTCACGTTTTTGCAGCTGTATTTTTTTATTTGCACGTTTCCGCCGTTGAATATTTACAGAAGAAATTTTTTCTTGTGAATCTAAAGTGAAAAAAAAACTGAAGTACATAATTGCAGCGTTATAAATTCAATGTCCAAAAAAACATCTGATTCTAACTAGAACACATTTCTTCTGTCGCTGACCTCCTACACAGGTCGCATCCTATGAAACACCTGCATACAAGTCAGAAACTGACCGATTAGAAGAAGAAGTAACAGAACCAGTTCAAACCTTGGATGCAGACTCCTTGAGTTCGTTGCTACTGTCCTGTAGGGATGAACGGAGATGACAGATGAGCTGGGAGGGGGTGGGGGTTTGGGAGGAGGTTGTCAGACAGCAGTAGAAAGTTGGTAGAAGAGGAATGGGTGAGGAGAGGAGGGGGCCGGTCCAACAGAAGGCTCCTCCCTTGAACTCCGACCTTCAAGAACTCAGGCTTTGACAGAGTTATTACATAGGAGAGTTCATTGGCTCAACACCTGGAATGTCAACACTTAGAAAATAGATGAGATCTAATAGAAAATTCCCTGAGCATGTGTTCAGTATCCACTAGGCTTAATGCTAAAAACTCGTCTGCTGTCAGTGCAGCTGGTACTTCAGTAAGTCTAAAGTGCGAGTGCTTGTGAATAGTGGGGGTGTCTGTGGGTGCATGCTATCATGTGCCTGTGTGTTGCTGGGCTGCATCCCTTCAAAGGTAACTGCTGTTGTCACTTACAGTTCAGGAATGGACAAACATGGAGCCTATTTCTCTCGTAGAAGGATAAAATAAAGAACTAGCACAAGTTTCCGGTGGTTAGGGCTCTGGACGACTCAGGTCTCACCCACTCTCTCTCTCTCTGTAGGGGCAGGCTTTATTTTGCAGAGGCTTTTTTTTAAAGGGGGGTGGATTCGTAATGGCGACATTCATTCTTGTTTGATCCCAGGAAGCTGGTTGCTCGCTCTCTTCTACGTAACGATTGCCAGGAAGGTAGAGGGGGCAGAAGACGGCGACGGCTGGAAGCTGTGGAGACTTGGCGCTGCTGGGGTGAAGGTCTGGAGGTCCTTCTCTGTGGGTGGGGGACGAGGAAGGGGCTCAGATGTAGGGGCAGAGGGGGTTGCTGGACACCCGTCCGTCTTTGAGGTACTTCACATCGCTTTAAAGAAGGAAGAGCTCAAAAAAATGGAGGAAAAAAAATCTCAGGGCCTATTTGGACTGGAGGAACTTTGCCCTCTGTAGTGGGAGAAAAATACTGCTCCTTTGGAGACTTCTTGACAGGGGTGGGAATAACATTTTTTTTAAAAATAAAAACTCCACAGGAATATAGAAGAGTGAAAAAAAAATCTTCAAGGCACGACTGCTTTCACTTTTATGAAAATAGGCATTTTTTTCAATATGAAAATATATAATTTTATACATAATATTCTCTTGACTAAGTCCTTCAGGATTTCTCCCAATTCTGCAACATTTTCTGCTCATGTCCATGGAAATGCTTTCCACCTCCCATGGGTCAGGGTTGAGATTTCCAGATGCTGTGCCTGCTATTGCGACAACTCTCCCGGATGATCCTCAGGGCTGCTGGAATGTGCAAGGCAGCGAATGCTCCGGCAGACAGAGAAGAAACGGGCACAGCCTTCCTCAGGCCATACTAACCTTAACAGATGAGGAGTGGGACGGGGATGAGTGACTGTCGAGCTTTCGCCTTTTGTGATCTGCAGAGACCAAAGAGGGGAAAGTTTTGGATTTCTTCACTTTGTTTTTTACTAAAAGTGTGCATTAAAATTTGAGCTTTGGCCAGGATATAAAGAGCAGCTTCTTACCCCTCTCAGATTCAGCCGACTCCGATCTCGGGTTTGGTGACTTAAGGGTCGTGGTCGCAGTGATCCTGTCTCCTTTCTCCTTGCTTTTGGACTCCTTGACGGCGTCGCGCTCTCTGGCTGGTTCCAGGGACTCCCCGTTTCCGGCCTTGGCCTTGTCGTCTTTCATGACCTTCTCCTCCGGCTTGATTTTCTCCCTGTCTGCTTTCGGGGTCTTCTCCTTACCCTCGCGTGCCACTCGCTCCTCCTTTCCTGCTCTTTCGTCTCTCTGCTTTTCTCTGCGGTTCTCTGGAGTGCTACCTGGTGTCTTTTCCTTCTTCTCTTTTTTCTCCTTCACGCTACGCTCTTTGTCATCTTTGACAACTTTGGTGCTGCACACAGATAAAGAAAAACTTTCAGTCAAAAAAAAAAAAAAGGTTCATAATCACATGAAACGGCAGTTTTCAAAGTGTGAGGCGCGCCTCACCTGTTGAGAGCACCGTTTCCGTTGCTGGTGGTCACTTTGCCTGCTGTACTGTTGGCTTTGTTCACCGGCTTCGTGGTACCCTGAGATTTATCTTTGCCCCGATCTGGAGAACAGAGAGATGCTTTTATTACCTCTAAACAGACATGTTTAGAGAAGCCAGCATTAGGAGCTGAACAGGTCTCCTCATGTGTGAATATTCAGAGAATAAATCTTTTTATTAGAAGTTTAATGTTAATCAGACATTGAATCATATATAAAAACGTAACAGCCACACAACAAAACTAATTTTTCACTAAAGATAAAACTAGAGGGGTGAAGCTGGGTTGTGTTTCTGCTTTATTGGCTCACCCCCATCCTCTGACAACCCCTCCTCAGTCTTGCTGGCGTTGGCGGCGGGTTTGCCGGTGCTTCCAGGCCCGTTCTGCTGACTCGCCGGTGTGGCGCTGCGGGCTGGCTGGTCCTTGTGGTGGAACTCGTTCTCTGGGACCATGTGCACCTTCTGGCTTTTCAACCGACCTGAGTAACTGTAAGATATGCAGAGAGTTTGCACAAAGGAACAAGAAACCCCAAAAGAACTTCAGAATCTCACAGAATGTGAAAAATTTCCTTTTCTGGGCACAAACGGCTAATCTTTACTCAAAATGTACTTGGTTTTTTCATTAATTTTGTTCAGGCCTCATCCAAAGAGGACTTCCCTGCTCTGAGGTTTATGCTCACACCAGTTTATTTTCTAGCTGAGTTGATTTCTTGCTTCCTTGTATAGCAAAATACCTTCAGAGCTTCAGAAGAGTAGAAATACTAGATGCCAAAAGTTTATCACTATCATTCATAGTACTATCATGATAATAAAAAAACAACTCTGCAGTATTTGGTAGTACATTTATGACTAACTACATAACACAACAATCAGACCACACTGCTCTAGAGAAACAATCATTCTTCTTCAGTTACATGAGAAACTGTGGTTTTTAGATCACTGAATCGCAAACAATAACTGCCTTTAAGCTTTTAAAATTAATTAATTTATTAATTTATTTATTTAATTTATTTATATATATATATATATATATATATATATATATATATATATATATATATATATATATATATATATATATATATATATATATATATATATATATATATATATAAAATGATGGGGAAATTGGTTTAAATTATTTGAAAATTAAGCCATTTTCTGGGAACTTTCAAACAATTCTAATCCATTTTGACTATAAATATGAAAAATTCTTCATGACAAAAAATCTGTCACTTTAACGATTTGAACAAACCAGGTTTGGATTTAATGTCCACTCTTTTAGACAGTTGCTTTGTTAAAAGCAAATTTATAAACCAATTCACTTCACTAAGGTCGTTGCCCCTTTCTGTCGTTTCTCAATGACTTAAGAAAATGTGGCTAGCTAGAGGCTCTGCGGCAAACAATGCAGTTACCCCATCGCTAAGGCATAGAGGTCTGGCCTCTTGTCCTTCTCTTCCAGGCAGATCTTGTGGACGCGGGCCTCCAGCGCTTGGCCCAGGTTCAGGACCTTTGGGTAGCAGGGTAGGATCTTGGTCAGCACGATCAGAATGTTTCGGATGTGGGTGTAATCCCCTGTTTCCAGGCAGTGGACCGATGCCTACACAAACAGGAAACGAGAAGGAATGGTAATGAAAGTTTGGCATCATTTAGAGCTCTGACTGCCAATAAGAGAACTAAATAATAATCAAAAACCTTCATCTGTGTGGAATAGAGCTAACTGGAAGAGGTTTATTTGTGTATGTTTAGATATAAGTAGCAGTGTGTGTATTAGGGATAAAAGTTATCAAAGAACTTGATCTGAATTTTAAATGTGGGAATAATTTTTTTTCTTACAATATGCTCAGCAAAAAAAAAAAAAAAAATTTTCTACATCATTGCATTTTAACCAGTAATGTAACTGCATTAAATATAAGAGGGGTCTGGCTGCAGACCTGCACACTGGGGTCTCTTGCACTGTCAGGAACAGATGTTAGAATAGAAAATCCCTTTATTGTCCCACAATGGGGAAATTCTGGTGTTTACAGCAGCAAAAAGATTATAGAAAAAATGGTCACACAAATGTGTACCTTAGAATAAATGTATTGGAATAGCAATAGTTTATTGTGGACGTTTTATTCGAAGAGGAAATGTTTTTTTGTGAGGTGTGAGCTCACTTGAATCCACCTTTTGCCCACTTAAAGATTTGTGTAAAGACTCAAAATCGTGTTTTGTCATAATTTTTGGAGGTTTTCTTTTGCTTATTCCAACATTAAGTCTTTCTTACAGACGTATGTTTCAATGTGACTCCTGCTGGAACTTCGCCTTAAGTTAAACTCTCTGTCATGCTTTGGAATCTGCTGTTTACACAATAAAAACACTTCCAAGAAAATCTAGTAAGATCTTTTCTGTTTTCTCTGGTGTCGTGGGGAAAAAAAGAGAAGTTATTTTCTAATTTGGTCATTTTAAGTTGATATGAAATCAACACAACCTCCAATGGAAAATCTATGTGGTCCAACAGCAAAGGGAAGAACAGCACAATCAATAATAAAACAATATTTGCAAACACACTTTTTGACAAAAGAACTGAGTTAACTTTGTTATTTTAATATTTTCTTGGATTTGGTTAATTTTATTCAGGTGAACTGGAAAGAGATATATATATAGTTAAACACATGAATAGACAAAAATGTTTCTATTATAAGACCCAGGAAATAAACACGGGAATGTAAAATATGTCCAGTATACTAGCTTTTATTTTACTTTGCTTTTACTTTGAAAGGCTCTAAACGTACGGTTCTGACAGCGCAGGTCTGCAGCTAGTGTCTCTTGTTTAACACTGACTGAAAAATGAGTAAAATCTATGAAACATAATTTACATTGAGATGTAAAACTTTCATTATCAGACAGGATATGAAGCTCTGACATACTGTCAGGGTTATCTGACGCTTTATTTCATGAAGTGGATGCAAACTGTGATATAGCTCTCTGTTTATAGAATAATTACATCAGTCAACTTAGGGAGCTACTTTGTGCTGTTAGCAGCACGATTAAACAGGTGCTTAAATGGGTCTATCTAGGTAATATTTCAAGTAGTTTATCTAGTGTTTATCTTAGGGATAGAAAATCCCTCGAATACCCCATAATGAGGAAATTATGGTGTGACAGCAGCAAAGCGAAAGGCCTTATAAAAGAGTCACACATGTATACACATAAAAAATAACAGGACCAAAAAAAAAAAAAAAAAAAAAAAGAACCACATAAAGTTAATTCTGCATCCTTGTCTCCATTTAACAGTGGAAATAATTCGGACTGCTAAGAATCGGTTGCAGCGTCCTCAAGTGGACGGTGGTGACAGTGACTATTATCATTGAATCTGATAAAAACTAATTCTAATCTAATAAACCGTTAATCGTCAATAGCAAATCGATTATTTACATACATCTGTAGTGTGTATATATTTAGATATGCATGTTTAAGTAGTTATATAAATACTCAATCGCTATCTTGATTTCCCTGGAAACTTAGGCAAGAGACTGGAGAAGCTGTTGCTTCTTCCCTATTTAAAAACCTTTACACATATATATATATATATATATATATATATATATATATATATATATATATATATATATATATATATATATACACACATATATATACATATATATACATATACACATATATATACATATACACATATATATACATATACACATATATATACATATACATATATATATATACATATACATATACACACATATATATACATACATATACATATACACACACACATATATATATATATATATATATATACATATATATATATATATATATATATATATATAAAAAAATATATAAAAAGTCCAACTTACTTTAGTCAGCATGTAGTGCCATTTATGGACCACATGTCTGAAGTTCTCGTAATCCAGCTGATCTGCTTTGTTCCCTCCGTCAATGCCTGCTGCTCTGAAGATGGTCAGGAAGCCGGGGTAATTCACACACTCCTGAAAGTCCCAGAATAAGAAATGATGAAGCGGACACCTGCTCGCTGTGAGTGACTAAACACTGCTAACGCATGTGGTTATGGAGGAGTGAAAACCAGAAGAGCTGGAGACCTTCTCATAGATGGCGCGGTCGCTGTGCCATCGGGTCACTGTTTCCAACATGCAGCAGAGGAAGCGCCCGTAGCGGTGGGACTCGTTCTCCGTGCAGCTGGCCACGGTGTAAATGATGGCAGAGAACACCTGCAACACAACACGCCGAAGAAGAAGAAAACCTCAATGCTTAAAAAGCTTCATAAAATTCCTCGGATCCAACTTTCCAGGTGGATCCAGCCAAACTTTTAACTGACAGGTAATTTGTCCCAATCAACTGTTGCTACCCTGACTAGGACAATTCCAATTTCTTTCAAGACAAGAAGAAAAAAAAGTTTTATTATATGAACTCATATAATTACTTGTGTAATTACTATAATTCAAGGGCTGCAGTTATCAGTTATTTTAACCAGTATTTTCACATCTTGGTTTGGATCATTAGGGTTCCTAAAAGTTTCCAAAAGTTACATTTAAGATTTTTAAGCCCAATTAAAATACAATTTAACATTCATTCCCACGTTCAAAGACTTTTGAGGACGAGTGTCTTTTTAAGAATGTTCTCAAAAACTTTCAAGGCCTTGACATATTTTTTGACATCGAAAAAACTTTTCTTAAAGTACCATAGCAAATTTCAAAACTTAAAATTCAAGAAATATTAAGGAGGGGTGCCATATTAACTCTCCATTAAATACATGTTTCCCATTAACATTCTCTTTCAAGGATTTCTTTTTTTTTTTTATCTTATCTTTACTGATTCTCAAGAAAGTATCATTCGAAAAAACTTAGTTCACTATATCACAAGATTAATTATATTTGAAATAAGGTGGACAAGTAGGTTATTGTATCATATCAGTCTAAACAAAAATACAACCTCACTTCCCCAAAGAAACATTATAAAGCAAGTCTACCCCAATCTGCCACCACTGACAGAATAGTTTCGTCTTGTGAGTGAGAGAGGTCGTTGTTCTTTCCATTTTATAAATGTTATTTGGATCCAGTCGTCTAAAGTTGGTTTGTCTTGTGATAACAATTTTCTTGTAATGTTTTTCTTACTTGCTGTTCATAAAATAATCAAACATTTATTTCTTTTTGAAGCTTGAATCTTCCCAGATTTTTCCATCCAAATTCTTGCCATTGTAGAGATTTAGTATTTTTCCTTTGGTATCTCCAGATTATTGTCCATTCCTCCTGTTATTGTTAAATTGCCCTCTCTCCCATCTTGCTTTGATATGTTTGGTTGAATCTTACAAGGACTATAACAACCATGTTTAGGATACTTATTTTTCAATTGCTTAATTAGTCAAAGATATAGTTTAAGTAATCCTTTTTTTAAGCATTTTAAATAAATTCTAAATAGCAAAAAAGGAGTAATAACTATCCATACATAGACGTGTACACATTGAGAAGATATTTTTTCTATCATAAATGGAAAAGGTCTGTTCCATTAGTCTAGTAATTATTCCAGTACTAATTATTAATCGATGCTTATTTATTATTATTTCTGTGTTTGCTAAATTGTGTCATTTTTCTCTTATTTTAGTTTCATCAGTCTCAGCTGTAGATTAGAACTTGACCCTTAATAAAGTTCCTTGTATCGACTGAGGGTCTATTTCAGGGTTCCTACAGCATGAGGGAAGTTCAATTCAAGACTTTTTAAGGATCCATGGGAAACCTGGATTTGTCCTTTCGCTAATAAAAAAATGCTGATGGCATATTAAACATGAACTCCAAATTCCTTTTTGCTATTTAAATCCTACCAACACTATTTTGTTGCTCATCCTCTATGCGAATCAATGAGATCATCCCCATGTAAATAACCCATCAGTGCATGTCTGGCTGAAGGACTGATAGAACCTGTACTGGTGGAGATGAAGCATCTCAAACTGTTTAATAAACCTCTTACCCGGTCATAGCAGAGGAGAGTGCAGAAGTTTGGTGTTTTCTGCTGGTGGACCAGCTCGACAAAGCGGGCACAGTACACGGCGTCGATGGAGGAGAAGATGCAGCGAGGGAACAGGCAGAGTTGCAGGAACTTGGTTATGGTCTCGTTCTTTGTGGATTCTGCATAAAAAAGGGTTAAAAGTTGCAACGGTCCTATGAGAAGTGTCCTAAAAATAATAAAGTTGCTCTTAGATCTGTTGAGGGACAACACTTACTGGTCATCAACCAGCTGTCCTTTTCAAGTTTCAGACGGTGCAGAACTCTTTGGACGTGTTCCATCTGCTTCTTCTCTTCCTCCTGTAGCTTTTCCTGCAGCGCAGTGCAGCGTTCCTTCTCCTTCTTCTTCTTGTTCATCGGCTTAAAACACACAGAAAAAAGATGAGCTGACTGCTCTGGTTTGGGTTTCCGATCGTGAACTAAAGCCTGCAGTGATTACGGCTCCATCACTACTCACTATCTCAGGGTTGTCCTCGATGGCTGTGATCTGCACCTTCAGCTTGTTCACCTCCCGGTCATAGGCAGCGTGCGGCACGGCCAGATCGTACATGGTGAGGGACCAGAAGGTAGCGTAGAACTGAGGCCGCAGGTCATCCCACACCCTGGCCGGATGGAGGGAGACCACAGCCTCGTGCACCGGCGCCATCACCTGCTCACACGCTGCCACGTACTTGTGGACCTTCTGCTGCTGCCGGTTTCCTTTTTCGGCTTTCTTTAGCTCGTCGTATTTCGACTGCAGTTTGAGAAGACAGAAAGTTTTACCAAAGAAAGCGAGTACGGGTCTCAGGAGGGGATGGAGCAAGTTTGACGGCCGATGACCCACTCACCAAAATCTGATGTGCGTACATGGGGCGGGACAGGAGGAAGGCGGCGTCATGTGGGGTGTGGAACTGGTTGCACAGGATGTCGATGGAGGGAACTCGCTTGATGTAGTCTTCTGTGCTGAGGTTGGAGGCCAAAAAGCCGCCAAACTGCAGCAGCGTGTCGTGACACTGCAAAGACAGAAAAGTTAGTTAGGAAAAAAAAAGGTTATAAACATTTTATGTTCAACAAAACATTTCAGAAGGGGCAAACCTGGTCATAGAGATGCCCCACGAGTTTCAGATGCTTCTCTCCGCCCTCCAGGAAAACGACTCCGTTTCGCTGTTGGGCCATGAGTAAACACAGCGGCAGCGCCAGCTCATGATCTAGCAGGGCGTCCTTCAGGCGCTGGGAGGATTTTTTCGTGTTCCTGATCTGGCCGAAGTATCCACCCTGTGAACGGCGACACATTGATAAACGCTGCTGTTCATCTGACGTCACAAACACACCAGGAGCTGCGTGTTTGTACCTCAGCTTTTAGCTGCTCCCCTCCCGTCATGGCCTCCAACTGCTCTGAGGTCATCTCGTCTGTGATCTCGATGCCAGCCATTTTCTGCAGCACCTCCTTCAGGATCAGCAGGTCAAAACTGCAGAAAACAAAGCAAACATGGAAGCTGAGCAGCAGCCATGGAGTCTGACCCATCGGAGCAGCGGTTCCCAAAGAGGGGCTCAAAATAAATATACCAGGAAATAAGCAGATTTAAAATGTATTCATTTATCAAATAGATGATAGAAATAATAAATAAAAATGTAAAACGTCCCATTAAACATAAAAAACAAAAACATTTACAACCATTAAAGAATAGATGTCACTTTGGAAAAGAAAGTATTAAATATGAAGATTTATGTTTATAAAATATAAGCTGAAATTTTGGTGAGCTCCAGAACCAGAGGACCCTGCAACTTTTTTTTTTTTTTTTTTTTTTTTTAGAAAAAAAACACAATCTCTCTCTCTCTAAAAGAAAAAATACAAATTTTGCATTTAAGAAAAAAAAATGTCTCTCACTATGCTATACTTTTAAAACCCACAGTGGGCTGCCTTAGGGTTGGGAGATAACGATTGAATCTTTTGAACCTCCTTACCTTTTCCCAGCCTTTAGCTGGTTGGTGACGTACTGCAGGAGGCCGGCCAACTCAATCGGGTATTTTCTGAACACGGCTCCACACAGACTCGCCAAACCTTGGATAACAAAACAAACAAATGTAGAGTTGTAAATCTTCATTATCTGAAAAAGATTCCCTCATTGCTGAGAAAACACGTACTCTGGAGCCATGAGGAGATAGTAGTGTCGTCATGTTTCATCTTCTCCTTCTCCGGATTGGCCAGAGCTTCGATAATGCAATCTGAAGCCAGATGTAAGGAAAACAACAGAAAAATGACGCTTCTATGTGTGCAGCTAACCGCATGCACCAACACAAACATTTTAGATCACAGGATACAGGCCAGGACGTCGTAGTTGAGAGACGTGAGGAATTTTAACGAGTCCACCACTGGAACGATCAGGTTGTCATACCACTGGATCTGAGACAACATCTGATTCAAAAGGAGACAGTGGAGAGGATGGATCAATAACAGAGGTCATGCTTCCATGATGTCAATCCCAGTCTGATATGGCAGTCAGAATATTCAGATTTTATTCTGATTGCTTCGCCTTTTAACAGTTCATTATCCTGCATGCTTTTAGGTGGGTGGATTTTAAAGCTCAGGCCTAATGCTGTGTTCCCACCAAAGGAGCTATGAGCTTGAAAAACACTTAAACGCAGAAATTTTTATGCTGGACCAGACGCTGGTCAAGTTACTTTGCAGCTTTGACGCTCTTGCTGCTCTGCGTTCCGGTTGTTTATCAATTCTGTTCTGTGGCTTTAAGCTAGAGAGCAGCTTGGCTTTATTTACTTTATGATCTAGGAAAATAGTTTTAACACATTTTTAAGCAAGAAAGTCCACTTCCAAACATCCTCTAAAACATGTTTTTATGGTTACACTCCCATGAGGAGCCACTTCCAGGAAAAGACAATTTAATATAGTTTTTATAAAGATAATCACATAAAAGAGCCTCAATTGGACAACTGTGGGACTTCTGTGAAACCAACTCCATTAGAAAAGGAAAATGTTTTCATATGATCATCATCACAAAAACATACATCTTTATGATAGTAGGGCGGCATCATTTGACTGGTATGATGATTTACTTAAGACAAAAAAGGAAGTTCAGGAAGCTGGTAGTGAGTGAAAAGCAACCAACAAAGAAAAGGATATAGGATATGCCGGCGCTATAGAGAGGCGAATGGTTAAAGACTTACCGTCTTTAAGAGACAAACGGATCCACTTTGCTTATGCTGACTCTAGCGTAACAGATCTTGAAAACTTGGTTTATGAAAGCAGATTTCATTCTGACTAATGGAAGCATCATTTGCTGACAGGCCACAAATTTACAGCTCTGGACTACTGCCACAAAATTAATGCTATCAGCCCACATGCATCCAGTAAGATGTGTCACATGCTAAAGCTCATTCATTTCAATGGAAATATGGGCTCTGCTTGTCTTTTAAAGCTCATCCAAAAGACTGAAATCCAATTTATAGAAACTTACATAATCGAAGACGATGGTGGGATTGCTGTGGCTCAGTTTGCCAATCTGCCTCCCAGACTGTTTTACGTTCTCTTTGGTCAAGCGTCTGAAGAGGAGACAGGAAGAAAACAACAAATGTGGGATAAATGGGGTGATTTTTGTTCCTTGATTGTTGTAAGCAAATAACAAGCTTATTCATATTAGCGCTGAAACAATCAGATTAATCTTTTATTTAAACAATCAATAAATTATTAATCGTTAACCGAAGTATAGAGACTGTAAGACATGCCTTTAGCTGATGTAGCAGCCCACTTAGAGCAGCAATTATATCTAAATAGTAAAAACAAATAAACATTTTTGATTCCAAAGAGGTTAAAAACCAACCCACTGGACTTGGTTTCCAAGTTTGAAGACGTTTCACTTCCCACCCAGGAAGCTTTTTCAATTCAAAATATCAGAATTACCATTGATTTTGAATTGAAAAAGCTTCCAGGATGGGAAGTGAAACGTCTTCAAACTTAGTAAAAAAGTCCAGTGGATTGTTTTAACTTTTTTTGGAGTGACTGTGACCTGAATGACTGACAATCTTAACCAGCAAACATTTTTGAATTTCAATCTGCCCTTCCTCAAGTGGAAAAGTTTTGTTTCACTTGGTTTATTTTTATAAAGTCTTCTTTAAGGAAACTTTGGCTATCCAATTATTAATCGAAAAAAATTATTGGCATATTAATTGGTTTGCAAGATTATTGTTAATCACAGCCCTAATTTAAAAGAAAATTTTAAAAAAATTTAATCCAATACTCAGATTTTGTTTGTTCAAATTTTTTTCTTTATCTTTTTTAACATTGTTAAACTCTTACAAACTTTATATACTATATTTCTCCACTCTTTTCTAAATTTTTAAAACAAATTTCATATTATTTTTTTTATTCTGTTTTTCAGATTGATTTTTAAAAATGTCATTCTTTTTTTTCCAATCAGTTCGTCCTCTTTTCTGTGGGCGGGCCTTCCTCTGGAGCGACGACACATTTCAATAGGGGGTTTTCAGTGACGTCACTGGCCAGCTTCCGGCCCGCCATCTTGGGTGGCATATTATCGTATATCATATATATCATGTCGCGAATGGATAAGTACACCAGCACGCTAGAGCCACCAGATCATGGAACATATCTGAGGAAATGTTCCGTGATCGACCATATGGACCCCTATGCCCTCCACGGCGCCTTGTTTAGCACTAATCCAGATGATTGGCCAAATGTAGAGCATGGTGACATAGTTCATTACCCGGTGTTCAGTGAAAACCCTCTGCACACTCTTGAGGAAATGAGAGCGTGCAAGGGTCTAGAGGCTCACAACCAGTTCACATCTGGTTGGGTACGAGATCTCGAAGTGATGTACATGAAGGAAATCGCCATCATACGTGGACGGGTGAGTTTTAATAAGATGGTAAAAATGTAAACAATCCGACGCAGGGCTCGCTATGCTAGGTGGCTAACGGCCGGCGGTGCGCGAACAGTTCCAAAGCTACAAGTCCTTGGAGTCTCATGTGCAGTTTACGAATGGATGGGTTCAGGAGCTGCAGCTCATAAAGCCAGCAAACAGTGCTAACCGTTAGTGCTAACAACCACTCAGGCCTGTAATGTACTTTTAACTAGCTGCTATGTGTTTCAAAGGTTTGGTTAGTAACGTTAACTGCCAAACCTCCCTAAACCCTCCGGGTTTCTCACATATTTGAGCCTTTTCCCGCTGGTTGAAATCAAGTTAAGGTGAAATTAATCAAATTAAAACATGGCTGAGAGAGGGAGTCCAGTACGCAGTAGTCATAAGCAGTAGTCTGAGTAGCGGCACGGTGGAGGCAGTCAACATTGCGGCCACGGAAAGTAATACGTCATGACGCCCAAGCCCTATTATTAATATATTCTTACATGTTTTAAATGCTTGACAGTTAATTACCTGTGACAAAGTGAGCACTGCAGACTCTGGCGTATTCCAGCTTTACACCGTCCAAATCGGACCTGGATATCCGTGTCAGCCATAGGTGACGGCGTTGTTCAGATAGCTGTTTTGTTTTTTCACATTGATTCACGATTACGGCTGGTATGCGCTAGAAAGAGCGTTGATCTCCACCTCCACGGGCCGTGCAACCAACAATTACACGTTTTCACCATTTTTCACTGTCAATACTGCCTAAGGCTGCCACCCAATATGGCGGACGCGTTGAGTAGTCACGTGAACGTGACGTCACCTGAAAACCCCCTATTGGTCTACACCAATGTTTTTATTGGTCAAGAATACAGCCAGAGACTTTTTTCTATAATAGATAAAAAATAAAAAATAAAGTATACCATTTGAAAGCAGGCAAAGCTAAAACTAAACCACTGAACAAAGGGATACAGATAGAAAACATTACAGTTAAAGAAGATTTTTCATTCTCAATGTTTTCTATTTTTTGTAGTTTTAGTTGAATTATTGCTTTGAGCTTTTGTTTCAGCAAATGTTTTAATGTCTGTATCCTCAGTTTGATAATCAAATGAGTTAAAAACTGCTACAGTAATTCAATCATTTTACCCCTATTTAATGTAAAAAAGAGTTTTTCAAGTTTAAAAGATGATAATTGAATCTGTCCCTAAACTGATAATGGCCTGAAACATTAAAGATGACAACTGAAAAACAAACTCAACATCTTGATTAAACCAAAAAAGAAAGGAAAAAGAGGGAAAAGGGGTTTCTTACTTCATAATGTATTTGGCTCTTTCCACAGTCTGGGCTTTCACTTTAACCAACAGTGGATGTCCAGAATACGTCTCATTCTTCCACTGTCCATAGAGCCGGTACCTTGGAGCACAAAAAAGATTAGAAGGATAAAACAACCACTGCGCATCTACAAGAGCTGCAGAAAAAAAAAGAAGACATTTTGCAACAAAAATCAATTAATATACACACTGGTGAGAGGTAGAAGCTTTCTAGATGTTCACAGGAATGTGAATGTTGCCAATTATCGGTGGAATTACCATCCCTGGTTATGGCAAGTGTTTCAATGTTTAATCTGTAAAATAACCTATGCAGCATGACCATTACAGACTAGAGATGACCTGACATGAAAACCTAGGCCGATATCAATATCGTTTTTTTTCTCCACAGCTTTTATTGTCATTACACTGTTACAGAGTAACAAAAGGAACTCTCTGCATTTAACCTATTGCCTTGGGGAGCAGTGCGCTGCCATTGTGCGCTTAAGGGTCTTGCTCAGGAACACAGAGTCTGTGGGAAATTTACCCAAGTTTTATTTTGTTTTTATAAAGAGGTGAGAGAGATACGCTGTGCTCACCTGTTCTTTATGCCCCTCGATATTTCTGGTATTTGTGAGGCCCAAAGAGGATCAATAATTTATCAGTTTTCTGTCCTCCTGAACTCCTATCTGGGTAAAGCTTTCTATTTTTAATGTTTCATTCATTGCTTTTGCAAAAGCCTGTCCTGCTTACTATATTTGCGATGTGTGACTCCCAACTGTTGTGCAATTAACAGATTTTATTTTGCATTTTCCCCCAAAGTGGTTAGTTTTACTTTGTAACCGCATCTCTTTTCCTGACAGACCCATGAAATTGCTGCAGAATTGTTGCGTAGTCCGACTAAAATAAACCTGGGCTCTATCTCAGTCAGAGCTATGCAGCGCCCTGCAGGAAATCGCGTCTGGTGTGATCATCCCCATTGACTTTCAATGAGCGCTAAACTCTGCGACCTCGTCTGACACGTTTTTCTGTTGGATTGGATGCAAAATCTGATTTGGTGTGCGCTGCGATGATAAAACATGCTAATTTTTACCTGTGCTGGTAGGGAAAGAGTTTAAACAGTCCCCAGAGCTCCTCAGACATGCAGGCGTTGCACTCCATTACAGAAAGAGAGGGCAGCAGCACCTGATCGGCGATGCTTAGGAAACAGCTCAACAACACATCCTGTTATATACAAACATGATTCATTTAGAGCAGGTTAAAGTGGACAGTGTTAACAGCTCATGTTTCAGCAGTTTTTAAACTTACCATCTTATCTTTCACTTCAGTTCTGCTATCAGTTTGATACTGTGAAGAAAAACAGCAAACATGGCTGAAAATGAGACCAGCAAAGCGTTGCAGCTGGAATTAAACGGAAGGATGGTGGTTTCTACCTCTTTCATAAAGGCTTTGCCCAAACGAATGATCTTGGCAAAGAGGATGGGATCGTGGGAGAGGTGAGGGCCCAGGTAGCAGAGCATGCTGAACGTGTCTCTACGAAGATCCTCGAAGGTCTCTGTGGGCTGAGGAGCCCGCGTGTTGTTCAGGGGTTGCATCGCACAGCCCTTTGCTCCTTTTGGGACGCCAGCTCTTTAATAAACAGAGCGTCATGTCAGGCTTGTTGGTATTGGAGTTCTCAAACTGTACGTTTTAGGTACGGTCGACACAAACACACGAGGAATGCTGTCAAATGGAATCAATACCTTCTATAAAGAGGCTCTACAGTCAGGTGTACAAGTCGGCAAAGCGGCAGCGCTATGGTCTTGTGAGAAGCAGCGTAAAAAGAAGGCATCTGGTCCATAATACTCTGGGCGTGGTGCCAATCTCCAATCCTGAGTAGTGCCTCCAAAAGGCCGAGCTTCTGGTTATCAGGTGGCTGTAGAAAAAAATGAGCATTAAGGTAATGGTTCGCAGTAGAAGGTGTCACACTGACTGGATACTAAGGACAGAAACATAATAGATTTTATAATTTTCCCTTTTATCAGTTTAATTAATAACTTCTGCTAGAAGAAAGTTTGATCGCTGTTGCGATGTTACCACGAGAGGGAGCTGCTCATCATTAAGCAGACCCTTACTGGTATCGCTAATAAAAATGTGATGATAGAACGGTGAAGGGCTTTACGAAAAACATTTCTAACACGACGGAGACATGCTAGCAGTTAGCATGGTGGAGCAAGGAGGCATTAGTGAGGTACTGAACTTCATGGAGCAAAGTTCTAACAGTCCTCTGAGAGGAACCAGAACCACCTGGTTAACAGAGCAGCTAGCAGCACAGAGTCAATCCCAGCTCTGATTGTCGGATTAGATAAAAATAAACAGAGCTAGATCACAATGGCTGTCAATTTCATTGAAACAGCGACATACCCTGTCTATCAATGACAGCTCTAGATCAGTTGGATCAGTTTCCAATATTTGACTTTTTAATCAAGTAGCCTAATGGGTTCCTGTTTTGTTATATCTGAGAAATACATAAAATGTAAGAAAACATTTTTGTTTATTCAGTCAGTATTCATACTGTTGGACTGTAAACAGGAATCTGCATCATACGTGCACAGATCTGAACTACATGGATTGTAGAAATAACTTTTCGGGGGCGTGCAGGTGGCGCAGTGGTTAGCGCGACACATGTACGGAGGCCTTGATCCTCGACGTGGCCCACCTGGGTTAGAATCTAGTCTATGGTCCTTTGCCGCATGTCTCTCCCTCCCTCTGATACCGAGTGTTGTGCCTGAACGCGTTCATTGAACGAAAGTTCATGAACTCGTTCATATTTTGGGCGAACGTGAACTGAACGTACTGCATTACTCCCTGATGAACGTTATTGTGAACTCGTTCATTCTGGTGTCTGTGAACGGCACGCTCTCTCAGTTCAGCTCCGTTCAATAGGTTGCCAGATTTCTATAGAGTCCTCCAGACGAAACCCCGGCTAAATCACACCGTAAACAGTCCTTAATACGTAGCAGGAAAAACACCCAATCTGGCAACACCAGCTACCAGTGTCGTAGCCTACAGCCGCGTGCGTCATCAAAACAAAATGCAGCGTGGAAGCCACAGCAGCATGGAGGCGACTTAAAACAGGTTTATGACCAGGTGGTCGGTGAGGATGATGGCAACAAGTTTGCCCGCCGGCTTTCAGTAAAAAAATCCGCACTTCAGTAACCTTAAATGCCTACCCCAGCCTGGTCCCTCAGTTTGTGTTAGTAAAATCTTCTTGAGCGGAGGTCTTCACCAGGGGATCCGCGACCCCTAGGGGGTCTACGGAGGTACTGCATGAGGGTCTGCATGGTTAGTTGATATTTTTATATTCCCCCCCCCCTGCAATTTTTTCCCCCACTAATTGAAATGTCTTTAAATACTCATTAACATGAAATCAACACACTGTAGTAAACAGATAAATGGAGGCAGAAGATGTCTTTCAGTCATCAATGCACACATTCAGCGACACACAGGAGCTCTTTCAAGCTGGGCACCATTTCCTTCACAACAACCAGGAATCAGAATCAGAAAAACTTTATTAATCCCAGGGAGAAATTAATTTCTTTGCATTACTCCATCTGTAATAGAGTGACTATAGGACACAATTTCATACAATATATATAGTTAGGGGGTCCCCGCTCCATCTCGCCATCAGTTTGGGGGTCCTTGGTCTGGAAAACATAGAAGACCCCTGTTCTTGAGGGTTTTACTATCCATGTAACTTGTTTGTTAAACCTGCCTGGTATAACTTTCCAGGATTCTAGTATTCCTTTTTAGTATGTATTGAAATGGAATTTCAAATGGAAAAAATTATAAAAAAAAAAAAAAAACATTTGCACCTTAAAGACTACTTTCCTATTTTTCTTTTAATAATTCCTCATAAAAAAGACCATTCAAGCAGCACATTTTTCCTGATGTTTTTGAGAATATACTGTAGGGGTGAAAGCTGCAGCTGCTACTAGTGTGAAGTGAATGGACAGCAACAAAGCGTTAAAGCAACAATGGGGAAATGCTGTCCCCTCAATGCTAATGTAAACCCTGGTTGGATAAGGATTCAAAACTGGATATGAAGATGAAATCTGACGCACAGTTTCAGAGTTACAACTGATAAAATAATTGCTGTCTGTGGTTCTACAGTAGGCTATGGTGTAATTGAGCAATATATGAAAAAAAAAAAAAGAACTATGAACTAGTTCATTTTTTGGTTTTGAATTATGAACTATGAACTGAACTAGTTCATTTTAAAATGTGTGAACTGAACTTTGAACTAGTTCACGTAGAAAGAGAACTTTCCCAACACTGCTGATACCCCCTTTCCTTTCAGCCTGTCGCAAAATGAGCCACTAGTGCCGTAAAAACTAAAAAAAAAATTAAAATTAATGCCTTTTGTGCAGCATTATTTTTACACTATAAACATGGTTGAACATTCTCCTGCGTGTTTTTTTTTTTTTTACTGTTGCATTCTTATGACGGCTGCTTTTATATTATATTGCTTATTTAATTCAATTGCAACCCCATTACAATGTCGTGAGATAAGTTTGTCTAAGTCTAATTTAAAACAGCTGGAACCATGAATTATTACATATTTTAAAACTCAGCATATCAAAGTAGGTTTGAAACTAATGATTCTTTTTTCAATTAATCGATTAATAATCAAAAAGCCAAAAGACTTTCTACGAACTCGAACCAAGTGAAACCAAAATTTTCCACTTAAGGAGAGCATATTGACAGACGAAAATATTTTTTCTTATTTTTTTTTTTTTTTATCTTAAATGCAAAATATTTATATATTTTACAATCTTGGTATAATTCCTGCTCTAAGTGGGTCGCTCTGTCAGCTAAAGGCATGTTTTAGAGTCTCTATACTCCAGTTAACAATTAATCAGTTACTTAATTAGTTGATGATTATTTCAATAAATCAAACAATCATTATTAATCTGATTAATTATTTCAGCCAAAATTCTAAAGAATATGTTTAAATCTTTTCCCTTTATGTTACGAAAAGGTCCTCTTGAAGGAAACGGCCACTTATCAACCAATCACTAGTTAATCAATAAAATCAATCAACTTATTTCATTCATTTGAAATGCGTCCCTCCCAGACACATTTTTGAAACCGTTTTGGTCATTCAATCATAAAGTTCTAGAGTGTAGCAGAAGGACGAACAGAGCACCGTGTAATGGAAGCAGATTTATCCAACTTGACTGACGGCATTTCCCTGAAACCAGTTAGACATCATCTGCAATGAACAGCAAAACTAAAGACCTTGTCATTCTTCTCCTCTTCCTTTTCTTTATCCTTCTCCTTGTCTTCAGTTTTCTCCGACGGCAGAACCACCGTAACCAGCTTGCGTGCGACTTGCTTGGCTTCTGAAATCTCTCGTTTGTGTTCCTCCACTATGGTGGAGTCTACTGGCATGAGCTGAAATGGAGAGAAGATAGATAACCTTAAAAAAAATACAGCAAAAGCCTTTTAAGGGTTGTCAGAAATTTGAAATGTTCAGTGCAGGAGGTGGGAAACAGTGAAGAATGGAAATGGTAATGAATCTGTGGAGAGGTTTGGAGCTTACATGCACATAGAGATCCTCCAGCTCTATAAGGTTATGGTGCAGGAGAGCAGCAGCAATGTGATAAAGTGACTTTGGGGTTTCCTCATTGGGCTCCTGAAAATAAAACCACACAATATGTTAACACGTTATTAATTGACAGAAGGTCAAAAACAAAGTCAGTTCCTAAATCTGGTGGTTTTACTGAATCCAAGCTAAAACCTTTCAGGCTCTCAAGTTTAACAACAAATCCCAGCGACATTTATTTCTATTTATTCTAAATATCAAAGAAAAATCAGTGAAAGAACATCAACATTTATTTAAAAGGAGTCGAAGGGACATGTCTGAGTGTAACATGGGAAAGTTAAATGGAAGGAAAAGAAGTGGCAGCCCCAGAAATAAAAGTTTGGGAACCTCTACATCATTGGAGCATTTTATTACAGTTGATTTTATAATTTGATGGTATATTTAACATTCTAACCATCGATTTCTTATCTTATTTCTTCATGGTAAACTGTTTTATTACATTACACATCTCTGACCTTCATACACAAAGTGATTGTGAAAATCATTTCACGGCCCCTACTAGCAAAGGAGATAGGAAAAAAATCCCTTTTGCATTTTCAATGTCCTAATCTATTAATTTTGTTGGGTTGTTGGTTTTAAGCCATAATCAAAATGAAAAAGAATAATCAGATTTAATACTTATTCTGTGTTCTAACAATAAAGGAATGTTTAAGAGTCACTATACTCCAGTTAACAATAAATTGATCGCTAAATTAGTTGCAGTTATTTCAATAATCGATTGTTTCATCCCTGACGTGGTTGCTATGGTATTTTTTTTTTCTGTTAACAATAACCATCCATTCCTCGCTGTGAAAAACATGACGCTCCATTCCAGCTAATGAGCCATTCATTCCATCTTTAATGATTAAAAAAAAAGTTGTTTTTTAAATAGAATTTCTGAAATCAAATAATCTTTCACTATATTCAGTTTTCCTCTCAACTGTAGTGAAATCCTGGACCTCTGATCTTCTCACCTGGTAGAACTTGAACTTAAAGCCCAGAATGTGGCATAGGGTGACTGGCTCACACATGTAGGACTTGATGAGGGACAGAAAGAACTCATCCTGGTCAGAGCGGCTCTCGTACACCTCCAAGATGATGTCCAAAACACGATTGGGGTCTAGGTTGAAGCAGCCTATGTCCAAAATTAAGGGATAGACGAAAAGACTCATCAGACACTCAAACAAAGTTGGAAAAAAATTGGATAAAAGACAAAAAAAGGTTCATATTAAGTTTGGTAAAAAAAAAAAAAAAAAAAAGGTTTCCTTCAACATTTGAAATCAGGCTACTGAATAAGACTCTAGGAACACATGAGGCAGGTCTACATTAGTACCTATGAGGGACTTTATACTCTCAAGGACAAGGTTGCTGGTGATATTCCCCGACAGGTCCTGGCCGAGCTCGCTGATCAGCTTGGCGTAGCCCTCGTTCTCCTCCCTCAGCAGGTTAAACTTCTGCTGTTTGTAACTGGAAGAGAGTGTGAAATGTTACGTTCTGGACATGAGTCATGCAGCAGAGGCAGGTTCTTACTTACAAAAGCTTAGTCTTGATTTTTACAATCTTCTGATTAAACTGATGAGCTTGTTTTATCAGCCCGAGTGATTCCAGGGTTTCTGGGTCCAGACGTTCCTTCAGGATGGCCTCTGGTACATAAGACTGACATAACAAAACAAAGCATGCAAGTTAAAGTTTGAACACTAAACAGACAGAAAAACTGTTGTATGAAGCCTAAGATAATAGAAACTGCACCAAAATTTGACCCATAATTCATAAAAGTTGCCTCTGAGTGTGAGAAGAAACCAAAATTTGATTTTAGTCCCCAATCAATGGGAGAAAGCCCAGTTTGAGGTTCTAGCACTGGCGGCTGCTATTAGCTCCAACTCTGGAACCCTTCAGGTTTATGAAGGGAATTTTGTTTCATTATTTTTTCAAGCAAAGAACAGACTTTAAATGGAAATTTGAAGAAAATGTAATCCAAATGAAAATACGTTTTAATCCAGTAAGGTTTTGACAAAAGCTTTGCTGCTCAGATTTTCAAAACTTTGCGCTCCGTTATCTTTTTCTTTACAGATTTCATATGGTCTAATTTTATTTCAAATTTCTTTTTCAAATAAAGTTTTATGAACTCTATTGTTTTTAAAATTGCGTTTCACATTCTCTTCACTCCCATCCCAATTCAAGCGCTCCCTCTTGAAGCAGCCATTGACCAATAAAATGCTGTTGCTAATGTTCCTGCAGAGCAATAGATATAAGTCTTCATTCTTCCCTCCAGAGAAAAGCCCGCCCCCAGAAGGGAAGAGAATGTGTTCTGAAAAATTTGCAATTTAAAAAAGAAACAGCAAATTTACTATCCAACCCTTGTTTTGATTAAATACTTTTCAAAGTTTGACTTCCAGATTACGCTTTTTTTTTTTTATTTCAGTTCACAAAATGGATTATATTCTCGCAACAACCGTGAAACGAAATTCACTCCATACTATGTCGCTGCTGAGTACTCCTCTCTTTTTTCCCCCTACAGCACTTTGGATTCTCTTCCCACTGAGATGTGCAACAGGAATAAACTTGCCTTGTTAAAAACAACCCAGTTTGTTTCAAAGCATCGTCAGAGGGACGCTCCGACATGTTTTATGCAAAACTGTTTACTCTTATTAGTCAAAAATCTTAATTATTGAAGGTAAAAAGCTCTTACCAAACAGGCTCCTACTAAATGAGTATATTGGTCCCGTTTGTTCTTCTCTTCTAGTGCACCAGTTTCTAAATCTGATGAAAAGGAATCATCATCATCATCATCAATCGTTGCAGCATCAGAAACTATAACTAGTGTCCCAGATTGTGAAACATACCTAGTATACAGAACACATCTGCTAAAATTGATGGCAAATCCTCTCGGAGTTCCTGAAAAATGAAATAAATGTTGAAGATTAGATATGAAATATAAACCAACATAAACTGTGAATAATTATCTTCAAATGAACTTCAGTAGTTGAAGCGAGAAAAGCTTCAGTATAACTGGGATTAGTTCATTAAATTGATTAGATGACAAACAGTTGAGCAGCACAGCTGATGGGCTGAACATTACTTACCATCATTTCCCCGAGGACAGTAGAGACCAGATCAATCTTCAGGTTACCCTGGACAACCTGTGAACAGATCTCATAGAGAGCAGCCTGAAAATCTGAAGGACAAAAGGAAACAGGTATGAGCTCCAATGCAGAACAGGGAGCGACCCCAAAATCAACAACCCCCACAGCCGGCTTATTTCTTCAAAATGTCCCTTTAATGGTGCATTCAGATCGGACGCGGTGTCTGTGGCAAACACAGTGGATTCTCATAGAACACTGAATGCTGAGCACGAACATGTCCCTCTTAAAAAGAGGGATGGGGCTGCCCTGATCCAGGGTTCTGAAATGGCACCAGCGCATGTCACGGATTGGAACCTGTGGACTGGCTTTCAGCGTAGCGGCGGATAAGCTGCACTAACCAGCATCTTTTGAAGCAGTTCAGTTTATTGAAACAAGACGGTGAGGATAAAAAAACAGTAGGTGGTCTGTGCAGCTGGAAAAGAGGGAAAAAACCCACATATCTACGGCTGCTATACTAAAAAAGATACAAATCAGATCTAATCGCTGTAAAGGTTAACTATAGGGCTGCAACTGAAGATTATTTTGCGAATTGATTAATCTACAGATTATTTTTCGATTAGCTGATTAATAATCATATAGCCAAAGGTTCCTTAAATACCTTTCACTTGAGGAGTTCTGGATAGAGCAGATTAACCAACAAAACTTTTCTTTTTTATCTTAAATGCTGCATGTTTACATTTTTTCCACCAATATTTATATAATTTCAGCTCTAAGTGGGTCGCTCTGTCAGCTAAAGACATGTTTTAGAGTTTCTATATACCAGTTAACGATTAATCGATTACTAAATTAGTCGATTATTTCAATAACCGATTAATCATGATTAGTGGTTTGAGCCCTAGTTCAGGAGTTTTATCTTAAATTGGGTGCCACGGTAACAGGGCGATCACTGACCATATAATTTCATCTTTCTGTCGAGCTGCTAATGAATAAAGGCCACGAAATCTTAAATACCAAAATTGAAGCAGGTTAAAACTGAAGTCCTGCAAACTCGAATTTACTAAATGTAGAGAGTTTGACGGGCCGCAGATGTAGAGATAAACAATTTCCACCAGTTAAACACAGGAACCCTGTGAGGTAACTGCCACACATTTCCAGCACAGTACTGCTGGACTCATAAGAAAAGACAAATCCAGTTGATTTTAATGACAGATTGGAAAGGAAGGCAGAAAACTACAAGGGCTCTTAGCAAACCGTCTAAAAAGCAACTTTTCTTTTTTTCAAAAGATGAGGTTTTCTGTATGCAGACAAGCCAACACTGACCATTAAATTATCAACCTGCTTACCTTTAACATCTTTTCCATGATCTGTTTTCTCTATTAGCTCTTTGCAGAGTTGCACACTGGGAAATGAAACAGAAATATGACCTTAGTTAACTTTAAAATGACAAAGGATCATTTTCTGCAGCTCGATAAATAGATAAAGTGCAAACAAATCAATTTAACACAAGTCAGTTCTGTTAAGGTTACATCACAGCCTCATTTTTAAGGCCAACACTAACCAAACCAAAATGCATGTTTATGGCTGCCTCTCTGATCCAACAGTATGGAGGGAAGTTTGTTCCATTATTGTTGCAAACACATTTGGTAAATGGAAACTTTAAAGAAACAAAACTTAAAAAACATTGTAATTAAAAAATGGTTTTGAGAGCTCTTTAGCTGTTTTCACAGATTGTATTATTTACCTTTTTTATAATTTTTTATATATTATTTTCTAAATGTAAGAATTAATATGTTCTAATTTTTCTTCAAGATTAAACTGTGGCGAAGAATAGAGCCAGTCAGGAGGAGAGGAAACATTAGTGCAAGCTGCAAAAAGTAATTCGTAATCACAATCATTATTGCGATATCAGGCCGTGCATTTGCAAAGGATGTTGGGATTCTATGTTGGGTAGAAGTATCAGACATTTACTTGCTGTTCCTATCCAAGGATGGAGATTATATCAACATTTTATAACATCAATCGTTATATTCAAAAGATGAGTTTATATAGTTTAAAACAAGCTGGTCTAAATTTTAATATAATCATATTTTTATAAATACTAGTAGGTTATTTGTCGGCAATTTCAGACACAAACACATGTTTATTTACAGATGTTTTTTAGAAAATGTGTCTGCATTGAAAGTTAAAAGTTCTCTTTTCTGTTGCTGTTGTTCAATAAAAGTACATTTTAAGATCATTTGAGGCAAGAATATTATACTTTAAAGCATCCGTATATGGTCAATTTACCAACCAAAGTTGAGAGCACCGCGGCAACCAGCGAACCTTCAACCACACTATGCAGTATGATCTTTTGAGAGTCACATTTCTGGTATGGATATGAAGTTTTATAAACAAATAATCACAAACAGTAGGTTGTTAAAGGTTTACAGACACAAACCTATCTGGCAGGCTGTTTTAAACCTTTCAGCAGATTCATTAAGAGAAAATCTGTTTCACATAAGCTTAGAAAACCAATGTGAGCATAGATTTACATGTTGTTTAGACAGGAGGTAATGTAGAAAAACCATCTGAAGCTTTAATGGTGACTAAAGGAAACAAATGCAAATCATAATCATAAATTTTGGAGCGAAATAATCATTTGCATGCTCTTCACAGATTTTCAAAGCGAAAGGCTTCTTGTTTATGTTATATTCTCTCTGTTATCATTAAATCATGCCCTAGACTTTAATCTCAATATTTTGCTCAATATTTTTGCAACAGTAAAAGAGTATTTGGCCATGGGACATTTTAGCAAAAACTTTTTATCAATATGAATTCAATGGTGGTAGTTTCATAACTCCTCTGATTGCCAAGATAATTTTTTTTCTCTTTTTGTCCGGTCGTGGAGCAGTTTTGCTGGAATGCTTCTGCACCGTCAGTCTGGAATTTCTAGGGACGCACAGCAGTTTCTGGCCAAAGCGCAAGGGGGAGCCTATTCGAGAACCCGGGAGAACTTGGACGGATTGCACTTCCGAACCTCCTTGGTTAACCCTTCGTCTTAGTTGTCCATTGTAGTTGTTCCTCTGTTTTTTAAAAATGACGTGCCCAGGCACCGAATCGAGAAGGACGACCACACAGACAATCAGAAAGGCATACCAAGGACCAATCACAGCTACTTTTTGTCTGCGCACTTCCGCTTGAGGTCTCCGCGGATTTGCGACCGTCCGACGTGTAGTCAGGATTATTTTGAGATGCGCGACGACGGTTGCATGACTTCTGCGCGGGGGGCGTGGTTGCTCACAGTGACAGATTTAACGGTTGTTCCCACAGCATGCAATTTTAAAGCGGCTTGCTTGCCAAGTCATTTGACTGTGATAGACATGCATCAGGGAGCTGTTCCCACTGCCACTAAAAGCCCATTTTTCCTGAGTTTAAACTGGGAAACTTATGAGAGTTATAAGTGACGTGCCCTGTCAGCTAAGGGTCTGATTTAGAGTCTCTATACTACACCTAACCATTAATCGATTACTAAATCATTTGACGACTCATCCATCATTTTCTCCCACTTATTCAGTCAGGGTTGTGGTGGGGGCGGTTCCCATCTTCAGCAATCTAACGGCGAGAGGCGAGGTTCCCCCTGGACTGGTAGCCAGTGTGTCAAAGGGCAACAAAGAGACACACAACCATGCACACACATACGGACAATTTATAGAAGCCAATTAATCTAACAGTCCTGTTTTTATACTGTGGGAGGAAGCCGGAGTACCCGGAGAGAACCGACACATGCGCAGGGAGAACATGCAAACTCCAAGCAGAGGCCGGGAATTTAACCCAGAAACTTCTTGTTGCAAGGAAACAGTGCTACAAAAGGTGGCAACATGCAACCATTTTTTTTTTGTTTATCCGATTGTTTCGGTCTAATAAGATAAAGACGTCGGTAACAATTGGCAAAAAATGCTAAATGGACCCTTATCCAAACACTTAATGTTTATTTAAAAATAAAATGAGCTGAGAAAAAACTTCATCTACCTGCATAACGCATTATATAGGTCAATTATTTGCTAATTGTATTTGTTTACTTCAGACAAATCTCACGTTTTTATGGATTCAAAATGGCATTTAAAGCCTTTATATTAGCTCACAGTGGCTAACATGACATTTAATTTTCTCATTGATTAAAGAGAAGTGATATTAGCAGTTTATTTTTAAGGTAATGTTGTAATGTGGTCGATGTGTTAGAATTATGCAACTCGGTTTTCTGTAAGTACCTTATCAGCCACGTACAGAAGCGTTTAACTTTTAGCTTTAGCATTGCTACTACAGGCCTTTCTGAGGTATGCAAGGCCCACTGTCACTAATTCCAGCCAGAACTGAGTGTAACGCCACATTTATGATAAACAAACTCTTAGAAATGGGGGAAATCTCCGTTTATGCAAACACTTCCATTATTTGGGCAATGCAAACGTGTATCCAGCTTAGATTTCCCACTGTTTACAGGTACTCAACTCTAACGGATAACTAGTAGAATACTGGAAAGTTTAATCTAATTTAATATCCAGTCGGTTGAAATCGACGATCAATACCAAATGCCATCCTCCACGGTTTATCAGCTAGTTGTAAAAATCCGTTTAATTTGTTATGCTAATAAAGAACAACGGTAGCGCTTCCAACTAAAACGTTATCACCTCCTTATCACACAATATGCATCTCTTCGGAAAGTCAGCACACAGCCAACACTATTTTAGCATTTATAATTCATACATTCCTTTTAATTTAACACACATGCAAGTAAACTTTAAATATAGCGCTTCGCATCGCCTTTAATAAAGCTAGCGAAACTGCTAACTAGCTCCGTTGTTTCCCTCCACACAGTTTATCAAGTTTCATGTTTTAAAAATGTTGCCTGAAAAGAATTTTTCCTCAAACTGTTTACTACTAATCTGTAAGGCGTTCTCTGAGATCTTTGGCTATCTTTCTCTTTAAAAAGCAACTAGTAATCAGATAAGGTAAGCATTTTGTTAGCTAGGTGGTTTCTAACTAGCTTAGGTGCGTGTTTACAAATTTAGCTAGCCTGCTAGCAGCCAGATTTTGTAAGCTAGCTGACGAGATTTAAAAACATTTTTTTATAAAGCTGACGGGTACCCGGCAGGCGGGTATCCTTTATATGAAACCTATATATAATATATACACCCCATTTTGCTTTCAGTGATACATGTTAGTGCACTTTAACTGTTTGCCAACGGTATTCGACTGCTAGCTTAGCTCAGACATTAGCCCTTGGGGCGGTTAAATGCTAGCGACCTTATTTCTGTTTTAGGGACCAAATGACCCTCTGTAGTAGATGGATATTTAGGGGGCTCAAAAGTACTCACAACTCGTGTTTTCCTGATTTTTCCCAGTTTTTGATCCATTCGCCAGGGAGGATGAGTGTCGCCATCTTCCATATACACTGCCCGGATGTCTAGTTAAGCATCATGGCACACTACAGGGTCAAATGTGGTGGTTAGCCGCCGCTGCTAGCCCCCTGCTGTACGGCGGGACTATGAAGCGAGAGTCAACGTAAAACTTAATGTACAAAAAACATATTTTATTTTAAGCGCTTAAATAACGCAAGCTGGAAGATTTAATTTAGTTATCAAAGAAATAAAAAACGATTTAAAAAAAACAGCTTCAAATACTTTTTTTGGGTAGTGATATACAGATATGCTGACATTTATCACCTTTTTCTGCATATTTGAATTCACAAAGTTAATATTATTTAATCCTAAACTAATTCTAGTGTTTGATTTTCCTTGGGGAAAATAAAAGGTAGATGTATAGGTGAGATATTAATCTGTATAATATTATAATTTATTAGTTAAACCCAGTGGAAACAGTATTCAAATTCTGCATTGTTTAGTTTAAAATAGAATCATTCAAACATTTAGGAGCAGAATAAGTGTTAAGTAATTTGTTAGGTACCAGCACGTTAAAGAAAATGTGATGACAAATTTAAAATTAAATTAGATTCACAGTAAAACCAAGCAACTCTGGGGCAGAGAGTCTCATCAAACACTGATGAAAGAAGAGTACAGGTGCTGGTCATAAAATTAGAATATCATGAAAAAGTAGATTGATTTCAGTAATTCCATTTAAAAAGTGAAACTTGTATATTATATTCATACATTACATACAAACTCATATATTTCAGATGTTTATTTTGTTTAATTTTGATGATTACAAATGACAACAAATGAAAATCTGAAATTCATCATATCAGAAAATTAGAATATTACTGAAGACCAATAAAAACAAAGGATTTATAGAAATGTTGGCCAACTGAAAAGTATGAAAATGAAAAGTATGAGCATGTACAGCACTCAGTATTTAGTTGGGCCTCCTTTGGCCTGTATTACTGCAGCAATGCGGCGTGGCATGGAGTCGATCAGTCTGTGGCACTGCTCAGGTGTTATGATAGCCTAGGTTGCTCTAATAGTGGCTTTTAGCTCTTCTGAATTGTTGGGTCTGGTGTATTGCATCTTCTTCTTCACAATACCCCATAGATTTTCTATGGGGTTAAGGTCAGGAGAGTTTGCTGGCCAATTAAGAACAGGGATACCATGGTCCTTCAACCAGGTACTGGTAGCTTTGGCACTGTGTGCAGGTGCCAAGTCCTGTTGGAAAATGAAATCTGCATCTCCAAAAAGTTGGTCACCTGCAGGAAGCATGAAGTGCTCTAAAACTTCCTGGTATGTGGCTGCGTTGACCCTGGACCTCAGAAAACACAATGGACCAACACCAGCAGATGACATGGCACCCCAAACCATCACTGACTGTGGAAACTTTACACTGGACTTCAAGCAACGTGGATGAAGTGCCTCTCTTCTTTTCCTCCAGACTCTGGGACCTTGATTTCCAAAGGAAATGCAAAATTTACTTTCATCAGAGAACATGACTTTGGTCCTGTTTCTCTTTAGCCCAGGCAAGACGCTTCTGACGCTGTCTGTGGTTCAAGAGTGGCTTGACACAAGGAATGCGACAGCAGAAACCCATGTCTTTCATACGTCTGTGTGTGGTGGTTCTTGAAGCACTCACTCCAGCTGCAGTCCACTCTTTGTGAATCTCCCCCACATTTTTGAATGGGTTTTGTTTCACAATCCTCTCCAGGGTGCGGTTATCTCTCTTGCTTGTACACTTTTTTCGACCACATCTTTTCCTTCCCTTCGCCTCTCTATTAATGTGCTTGGACACTGAGCTCTGTGAACAGCCAGCCTCTTTAGCGATGACCTTTTGTGTCTTGCCCTCCTTGTGCAAGGTGTCGATGGTCGTCTTTTGGACAACTGTCAAGTCAGCAGTCTTCCCCATGATTGTGTAGCCTATAGAACTAGACTGAAAGACCATTTAAAGGCTTTTGCAGGTGGTTTGAGTTAATTAGCTGATTAGAGTGTGGCACCAGGGGCCATCAATTTTGAACCTTTTCACAATATTCTAATTTTCTGATATGATGAATTTGAGATTTTCATTTGTTGTCATTTGTAATCATCAAAATTAAACAAAATAAACATCTGAAATATATGAGTTTGTATGTAATGTATGAATATAATATACAAGTTTCACTTTTTAAATGGAATTACTGAAATCAATCTACTTTTTCATGATATTCTAATTTTATGACCAGCACCTGTAGAAGGAAGAAAAGGAAGATACTTTAATAAAATTCAAAAGATAGTGGGAGAAATAAGAGCTGGTAGAAGTAGAAATGAAATAAAATAACAGCAAGAAAAATATTTTGGGCAGACAGGACTTATTTTTCAACTTTTTAAAATACAGGAGCATAATATTGGTAAAGGTGACCAGTGTGAGAAACATAAAATAATAGAGCTTGTTATATCTGAGTGTTGTTAATATGAAAAAGAGAGAAGAGTTATGTGAGGAATATTTTCAAAATATTTAAGAAAATGTTATTTTGGTATATAGAATAAAATAGAACTAGCAAGCATATTAATTGTTCAATTTTTAAAGGAAACTATATTATTTAATAGAATTTGGTCATATATATATATATGTGTGTGTGTGTATTGGGGCTCAAGCAATCTGGTTAATCAATTAATTAAATAATGGTCAACTAAATTGGTAATCAAATTGTTAACTGGAGTGAATTGAGCAATTATTTATCATTCAAGATTAAAAAATGTTTGTATCTGTCAAAATGCTCTATCCAGAATGTATTAACTGGGAGAGTTTTAGCTTTACCTGGTTTAAATTCTGCATAGAACTATATAAGGATTTTTTTTTCTGTCTAATATAAATCAATTGATTAAAAAAAATCCACAAATGCATTAATTTGCTAAATTCCACTCCTTATCGGTAGGTGGCAAAAATGCTAATCAAAAGGGTTTTTTTCACCAACTGCCAATTGAAATCAATAAAAAGAACGAAACATTAAACTTTTCTCATCAGCTCCTGTAGGACATATAGTGTCTTAATTCCCCTTTTCCACCAGCTCTACCTGGCCTGGCTATATAAAATATACATTAGCAAAATAAGATAGTTTGGAGCTCACTAAACCAGAGCTCATTACAAGGAATTACCATTAGCACCATTAGAACCAAAGCAATGAGCAAATTGGTCCCATTAGTTGTCTGCCTTATAAACAAAATATTCTGCATCAAAGAGAAATCACACGCAGTGTGATTGGTATAGCTTCAAATACGGCTAACCTGTCCTGAGAACAAAAGTATAGAGAATAAAAAAAAAAAAAAAAAATGTAATGAATCTAAATAAAAATGATGATTCAAGTTTTAAATGATTTATTGGGTTGTGTTACATTTCAGGACATAAATACAAATATTAAAAGATGCAATGGGCACTTTGTAAATAGAATAAAAATCACAAATTTAATATATGAAAATATTTAAATATGTATAAACAAACAGATGTATCCAGGAATTCAATGTAAAAACCTAAACAATGCAAACTGAAATGCTCTAAATAATCATGTACCATTCCTATTTCCGCCGACACAAAAGCTTATTTTAATGTGGTTATCTAAATACTCAGGTTATCCCTCTCTAGTTTACAGAGAAAATTTTGTTGTTTTTTTTCCTAGCTACAATATGCACTTATACTGTCTTCTATAAAGGTAGCATCTGCAAACTGGGCCAGTATAGAGAAGAAAACTGTGAGAAACGAGGTAAAAACTGTAGAGCCGTACCTAAAAATGGCTGGGTTAATGTCAGAGTAGCATAGTTTTTCTTTAACCGCAACCTAGTTTCACACGTGAAGAAAGTGCACCTATAAACGCACACACTCACAATATATTACACCTTTTTAACCGTATAATATACAAGTCAGATACTATCATAATTTTTCTAAAGTATTCTGTGCCTTAGCAATTGAGAATATTTTCTTAATAACAGTGGAAAACCAAAACGTATAAAAAAATCCTCTGCACAGCTGTATACTGGGATTAAAAAAATAACAAACAAAACTTTCTTCAGAGTTTTTCCAAGTCCTTTTTTTGTTTTTAACAAAAATGTTGAGGAATATTAGATATTAGTTACAATACAATGTAAAAACAGGCTATAGGAAAGATTAAAGGTTTATGGGTGGGTCAGGATTGTACAGGTGGGACCGTAAATATGTCCAGGAACTGTTAGAATCAACCGTCTATTTTTATAGAACCACATTAAAGCCTTAATCATAGAGAGAAAAGAAACAACTGGCCATACCTAAAGTAACACTGTTCCATTTTAGTTCAAAAGCATTATTAGCGTGATTATAAACCTTTCATTTACATTTGATTGTCAATACAAAATACCTATAAATCAAAGTTATCTATAGGGTATAAAAGCAGAACAAATGTTTCTTAAAAATACCATCACAAAGAAATGTGAGGATGCTGTACACCACTGAGGGCAAGGCCTTTTAAACAGCATAACAAGCTAGTTCACATCAGGATTCACTGCGTATAGATCTCCATATATGGCTACATACCATGCCAAAAATCTACGGCTCGCCACGACAAGAAGTGAACACAATAACACTAACCGCCTTATTTCATGTAGTTGCCATGTAGAGGGCGCTGCTGTTCTGGAAATACTCTACGATCGCATATTTGGTTCGTTGGTATTACAGTAACCCAACGTTATTTTTTAGAAGTAACAGCAATAGTAAAGTGGTTCATTATCAGACGGCTGAAAATCATTGGTAATGAAATTGTGTTCACCTGTCCTGAACGTTGGCCTCTATGTATTTACATCAGACAACTGTTTATATAACAAATGAAAAAAGGAAGAAAAGAAAAAAAAGATATAGGCCATTTCTCAATCTGTGTACTTGTGCGTCCTTGTGTGCTCGTGAAACTTCATCAGCCAAGCACTGTTCTGATTGCCAAGAACTCAAGACAGAGAACGGACAGTATCTGGATGTTGTTTTCACCCCTCTCTCTTTACCCAGCATGCATCAGAGAGGACTTGTCGACAGCTGTCCCAGCATGCACCACGGCAGCAGCAGCTTCCAGGTTAGCGCTCACAGAGCTCAGAGTGCTAAGTTAAAAGTTCTATTTTCTGTTGCCGTTGTTCCACAAAATTTTACTTTAATATCATTTGAGGCGAAAAACATTATACTTTAAGCATTACTATATGGCCTTTTGACTGATTTAGTGGGTAATTTAAAAAAGTTCTGATGTTGAGAGGACTGTGGCAATCAGCTCTGAGGCTAGCCAGGGCTAACGTTAGCCGTCTACAGCAGACGTAGGTTTGATTGTTTTATTTAATTAATTTATAATGAATTTAACTTATTTCTATCTAGAGGCTATAAATAATAGGAGTTGAAAGCTGCTCCAGACTAGCTTTGAATGTGATGACGTCACGAGTACGCTTCTGTTCCAATTTACCCATATTTATGCTGCCTGCTCCCGTTCTCCCTGAGTCCACACTTTCCTGTGTTCTTGTCAAAAACATACTTGGTGATAGTACAAGTACTTACTCGCATTGTAGTGAATTGAGAAATGGCCATAGTCTGAATTTAGCTTTCACACCCAGACTGATTATTCTGTATTTCCTCCAGGAATCAGGAAGTGAACCAGAACCCTGGTTCTCTTGCGGTTGGACCAATCAAAAAGCGTTAAAACTCAGGATTAAATTCTAATTCAACTGAAGGCTCCACCTCCAAGTCTTTAAGTGTTAAAGAGGCAAATAAATGAGTCTTCAAAAGACCATTGTAATAGTTCATTTTAACCTTTTCCTTTCAAAGATTTCACAGAGAGCGGTCATTTCTTCTTCCAAGAAGAGGATCTGGATTATGCATTGTCCTCCGTCCACTTCGTGTTAGAACATTGGAACATTAAGAACCTAAAAAAAGAGACAAAATTAGAGTCAAATTCCCAACAAACGGAACAGTAAAAGTAAGTAACAGTTCACTGAGCTTTTTTTTAGTAAGCAGCTTGGTGGTACGTAGAGTGGAAGAGCTAGACCATGTTCAGAGGGGCGTTCATGCAAGTAGCGATGACTGAGGGCTGGTCAGAAACAGACCAGTTCTGCATGGGATCAACTGGAAAATAAATGCAGCGCGACATCCTGATTTTCCCAATTAGTCCAAAAGTCCTTGGTAATAAATATAAAAACACGTTTACAAGTCCATGCTGGCTAAATTAAAGATATATATGACAATCTTCTTGCTGCGGCCTTCTAGTGTTTGTGTATCCAGTTAGCTTGGGTTTGTGCTCCATGGAAATTACCTTATCTGTGAAAAAAAAGCTCAGTCACAAGAAGTAAACCGTCTTAGAAGTTTATGAGAGGGAGAAGAGCTCAGAATTCACACGATGGTGGAAGAGCTGGGAGGATGGTCTTCCACATGTGCAGGTATTCAAGAGTAAGTTGGCTGTTTCTTACCTAGTTTCTGGAATAATTGTCCACCATACCTTTATCAATTATGATTCTGCATAATATCAGTTCCTACATCAAATGGGTATGTTATAGGGCTGAAAACAATTAATCAGATTAATTTATTATTGAAATAATTGTTAGCTACTTTAGTGATCGATTCATCATCAACTGCTGCCTTAATCTGTTCAAACTAAGCCAGATTCAGGCCTAAATAAAACACTATACAGATATTAAAGATTAATAGTAATTCCAACTCTGATATGTGAAACATTGGGGCATGAATCAGAACACTTATGCTACTCAAATCTTCCCAATAATAAACTTAGTTTATCTCCTGCTATAGTATGCAGAAGTTTCTCCAACAGGCGGGCAATCAGACTCATGTTCTGAATAAAGTAGAAAATAATATCTGACCACTAGGGGGTGTATTGAGCGCTAGACTTTCAAAAGTGAGTATGCAATACGGGACAGGGAACACCTTTATAGATCTGACCAGACCTGAAGATTCAGAGAAGGGCCACGTTTCTTCAGACTTGGACCCAGGAAAAACTCCCATTTTAAGAAACGTTAAAATAAACGTGGAGACGTCTTTTTTCGTTCAGTAGGCAGCAGTAATGGGGGGGAAAAAAACGTGAGTGACAGGAATCCTCTTACCGAATCATCCATGATGGAAGATGGATCAAAATAATCTGGCTTTAGTTCGTTCCTTTCTCTCCGATTCTTAGAAGCAGGCTGAAAAGTGACAGCTCAGTTAGAACATAAACAGAGATCACAGAGGGAAAAAAATGCTTTTTAAACTAAAGATAATAGAGTTAGAAATTAGATCATCCCTAATAGACAAAAAGGGCATCATTTAATATTTGGAATCCCACCAATATTGAACAATTATGCTGCGTTCACACCAAATACGTTATCAGCATCAAATACACGTAAAAGCAGAAATCTAAATGCTAGATTAAACTATGGTCCATTTGTTTTGCTGCTTCGATGCTGTGGTTGTTTATCTATTGTGTTTTTTAGATTCAAGCTAGAGAGCAGCTTGGCTTTATTTACCTGAGTTGGAAAAATTGTTTTAGCACGTTTTTAAGCGAGAAAGTCCCCGTTCAAACATCCTCCGTTTATCAGTTCATCTGGATTATAATCCCACTAAAATATGCAGTCCTTTCTCAGAGCGTCAGACCTCCTTTTCTAACCACATTACAAAATAATAAAAGTATAAATAATTCATGCTGATACATTGGTTAGTAACGGCACTGATCAATACTCAAAGCTGCCATCTCAGTATATCTCGCAAATGGAAAAGTTTCCATCTCTACGTTTTTCTTCACTCATATAAAAAAAATCAAAGTCACGCCCTTGATTGTTTCTGGCATTCTATGTGAGAGCCAGGACAAGGAAAAGAGAAGAGCAGCTCCTCCCAGAGCGCGACAGAGGAGTCTGTGCAAACTTTGCCAGATACGTGTCTAATTGTCCAAGTTAAGGCGCTGGGCGCCTTCTTGATGTTCCTGTTGACACTGTGGAGGAGTATTAGTACCTGTGAGTGTACTTTAACCAAAAGGTTGGACTAGAAACACCGAGGTGGTCTACAAAAAGGGCCAAAGCCGACTATTCTTCCTGAGGAGGCTGAAGTCCTTTCCACGCTCTTCTTTGCTGTCACATGCTGGGGCAGTGGGCTGAGGGTCGCTGAAAACAACAGACTGAACAAACTGATCAAGAGAGTTGGTGATGTTGTGGGGGAGCAGCTGGACACCCTGACCACCGTGGCAGAGAGGAGGATGCTGTCCAGGTTTCGGTCCATAATAGACAATGACTCACATCCTCTCCATGACACACTAGTCCAGCAGACGAGCTCCTACAGCAGAAAACTCCTCTTACCCAGATGCACCACAGAGCGCTACAGGAAATCATTCCTACCTGTGGTCATCAACCTATATAACGCCTCCCTCAAGTGATTCAGCATCCCCCCCCCGTAATTTACATTTATGCACTATTTTTGCACGCCACGTTTCACTTTACTTGGATTTATAACTTACTTGGATTTTCACTTTATTTGGATTTAGTTTTTTACATATGCATAGATATACGTACACATAAATATATATATATATATATATTATCTCTTTTTATTCTTATTTTTTATCTTTATTATATTGTGTAGATAGATGTGTGTATATGCTATATAAAACTGTAACTGGAGCGTGTAACAAAAGAAATTTCCCTCTGGGATTATTAAAGTATTTCTGATTCTGATGCTCAAAACGCATTTGTTGTGAATGCAGCACTTTAGACCTTAGACCATGGACCGAATCTAACTATAAATTCATAATATTTGATGCATTACCAAATCAATTTCCATTGTATTGAAATCCATGCCCTCGTTGATGTCCTCCAGGCGATCCTCTGATGACATCATCACATCCTCCACTATTGGTTCCTCATCATCCTCCATTAATCCAGACCCTCGGCGACTATGGGCAGCAAAGAAGTGAGATTTTTGTTTGATTTGTTTCAGAGTAAATAAGAAGAAAAGAGAAGGAGGGGCTGCCTTACATTGCTTGCTGCATGTGGTTCCTCATCTTGGCGTAATGCATGCTAACCCTCTCCTGGTGCTGACGGGCTTCAGCTTGTTGCCTCTGTGTCAACATCCAGGTGACCTGCGTGCTAAGAGGCAACAAAATATTATTTCATAATTAACTTTATTAAAGTTCAGGTTGAACAGAAACCACTGCAGGTCTTCATCAAAAGCCATTAAGGTAAGGTTGAGTACTTGTAATCCATGGCAGCCTGGTGCTGGGGATGAGGCAGCTGTTGTTGTGGGGGAAGCGCTTGATGAAGGTGCTGCTCTGCAGGCGTGGAGAAGGTGGCTGCGTAGCTTTCCTCTGGCCTCATCCTCTTAGGGTCCCTCAACACGGTGGAAGTGATGTGCGGTGAATGCATCATAACCGGCGTCGGCACGCTCTGCTCACGACTCATCCAGGCTCCATCAAAGCTGCTGCTGCTGTTCTCCTCTGCAAAAATAAACATGATAGATTATAATTTGTGAACTTCATAGACAAACAAAGCAAATTTAACTAAAGCTGCTCGATGTGACATATCAACCAATCAGAGAAGCTTATCTAGGAGCTGGCAGTCAGACAGACACTGTACTGCTGATGCAAAGCGCTATGATCGATCCAATGAAAGTGTTTAATAACGCCTAAATTAACTTAATTGTTGAAACCTGCCAGCAAAATATGTTGGCTTATATTTTTATTTTAGTGCCTGCAGTTTTTACCACATACCTGAAAAACACAAACATATACTTCCAGACGCCACCAACAGTAAGGGAAAACCCGCAAGAGGTGACCGGGCCTGAGGCAGCTGCTGCTGGGGATTCCCAGTGACAGCGCACCGCAGGTATGTGGGGGTCTGAGCGACTCAGACAGATAAATAATATTTGAAGGCAGGATGGTGATCTGGATTAACTGACTGCACAGACGATGTTTTCAGGTGGACTTTCTCCATTAAAAAAATATGGAAACTACTTTTTACCCACCGATCACAGGAAATATAGCAAAGCTAGGGTGACCATATTTTCATTTGGGAAAACCAGGACACCTTGGAGCTAGGGGGCGGCGGCGGGGGGATCTTTGTTCCCATGCATAGAGATGTCTGTGGTATGCACTCACTTAACATAGGCCTACGTAATCCTACAAAAAGATGATATTTAAAGTTGGTTTATTAAAAATGCTTTTCAGTAAAAGTCAACAGTAATAAATACAATAACAAATTATAATTTTATTCAAAATGTATTTATTAAAAAATGCTTAACAATTCCTGTAATGAATGAATAGCACAATGAAAGAAAAATGTCTCATCTAAACATCCCTTACTTAACAAAAAAAGTTAACAATAACTCTCAACTCCCAATATACATGATACTCAGACTCAGTAATGAACGAAATAATATCTGTTCTGTAGGCTATTGGTAAAAATAAATGAACAAATGAGCTAATTAACAAAAAATACCTCTTGTGTAGCAAAAATAAATCAAAATGTACCAAAAACGAACAAACATATCAATAGACTATCTTTACTTTTGGTGTCCAGGTGGCTTTTCAGATTCCTTGCACCTCCATTGGACACCGAGACATATGTGCCTGCTTTGCACGCTGTTCACAAGGCCTCGCATTTGTCTTGACCCGGTCTGAAAGCGGGGAAACTCTTTTGTAAATCGTCGGTATACATACATTTGCGGCTTTGCATGTTGTTGGCGTACTGACAGCCACGCTATCTATATTCTGATTAAGAACAGGGCTGCCCGCACTAGCGCGGCTCAGGGGTTACGTCACACGCAGTACCCTAGTGCCTGTAAATTTAATGGTCCAATGAAGGTAATTTAAAAAAACAGGACATTTCCTCACTTTCTAAAAAAAACCCGGGACGCCCAGGACAGGACGTGAAATACGAACATGTCCTGGGAAATACGGACGTTTGGTCACCCTAGCAAAGCTGCTCTCTGCCATTAAACACAGGAGCAGCAGAAGCATCAGACGCATCTGGACACACTTTACTGGACGTTTGACAACGTGAACAAGCATCAGAAATTATGCATCAGAATCTTTTTTCCTGCTCAAAGCGTGTACGGTGTGAACATAGCGTTAGCCCTACGCGCCTCAGCATCCACTGCCCCCTCCTTCCACTTTGTTCTGACACCACTGATTTAGGAGCAAAGTCATTTTATGACTGGATGGCATCCAATCAGAGAACCAAGCTAAAGTTTCTCTGAGCTTCTGAGAGCAACCCATTCATTCACAAATGTATTGAGCAGGCTGATCTTTTACACATGCAGCAATCGGAGAGACTGGAACACTGGATTTCAATCATTTGAATTGGTGAGCGAATGCTTTTAGCACTATAGTGTACAGATCCCAAAAGATGACCTTCTGAGATAAACTAGAGATAAGAAGTTTGTCTTGTTGACAAACAAAAGGCAGCGCTGAGCTTTTTTTTAACAGTGTATGAATAATCTCACCTTCAGGCAGTTTTCTCTTGCTTGCAGCGGCTGGTTTGGACTTCTTACTCCGAACAGTTGACCCTCGACTGCTGATCCCACTGATGACAGACATGGTGTCATCGTCCATCCCGGCCTGCAGAGAGTTCCGGTAGGAGATGAGGGGCAGCCAGCAGTCATCTCTCTGAAGGGCCATTTGAAATGTCATAAATCGCTCCAGATACATGTGACTGCAGAGTGCAAAAGGACAATCAGGATTAAAGCTCCTCTCAGGGTTAATCACAAATGTATATCCGGCAGCAAACTTACACCGTCCTCTTGTCCTGTCGGATGAGTTTGCTGGAAAACTCGCTTAGGATATCCAAAAATGGCAGATTAAGTGGCGGACCCCCTTCGCCTTGTGGACTCGGTTCTTTAAAAGCAAACTCTATCCCGTCTCTGAAAGAAGATTTTTCACCCATTGAAAGACAAACTGTGTAAAGCCTAAATGTTGTTTAGGACTAGGATTCTCACAATGCTAGTATTTCAAACACGGTATCGACACTCAGGGAAAATATCCGACACTTCATGCCCTTTATTAATTACTGACATAATTATAGGCTTGAAGAAAAACCCTGTAAAACTTCACTTTTTCATTGTAACATGGAACATGTTTTCCCTACAGAACCACAGTTTAATAAATAACCCAAATATAACATTATGTGACAATATTTTAAGGTTGTCAGAGCCCTTCTTCTTTTAAAGGAAAAGTCCGGTCATATTCAGAATTCAACCTTCTGACAGTACTTAAAATATTAAAGTATTACATACTGTTCAATAAATGATAAGTGTTTTAATTAAGTATATTATTAGCTGTTTAGCAAGTCCCAGTGCTGTATCTGGTGTTTGTTACAACCCGCTATTATCCAAGGCCTCTTGATAACAATCTTCTTCTTCTACATATTGTGTTTGTTTTTTTTTTCTCTGGCCAGATGTTCAATGGCAAATCCTCCCTCTTCAAGTTGGCAATCCAACGACAAACCCGTGGTGGATCATGAATCGGAAAGGTGAAATAACACATTTTTTCTTCACTTTTATCTGATGTATTTAAACATCCAACTGCCATGCACGTGGGCATTGTCACATTAACTATAGCTCTCTCGAATTTCTCTCAAAGTCCTCTCGAAATTTAAAATAATTGTTGTTGATTGCAGATGTGTCTAGTAGTTCCCATTGATTTTACTTGTAAAGCGGGGAGAATGACGCTAGGCTTACCGCACCGTGACATCACTGCTGGAAGATGTCAGGAGTGAGGTGTTACTATATTTGGGCAAAAATGGCCGGTCCCGGATCAGTGATCGCAGCGAAAATTATTGCTTTTATTTTCTTACTGCTAAATTTATTAAATTACCACGAATGTATTAGTTTAAGCTATAGATAATTATGCATTGGTTATTCTTTGCTGACCAGACTTTTCCTTTAATGTGCAACTAATACAGAAATCAAAAAATTTACAAGCAAAATGTAACTTTAATATTGATAGGATGCCAAATTTGTATTTTATCCTCATTAAGTCTTTGCGTATCCGTATTTACATATTTTTGACAACCCTAGTCAGGACAGGCACTCACTTGTGTAACATGGCGATTGCCTCCCTGGTTTTTAACTGATCCAAACCGAAGGTGAGGGAGAAGCGTCGAGCCAGTTCCTTTATACCACAGAAAGCTGATGACGAGCGGTCAAAGTTAAAACCCAGTTCTGACATCATCTCATTGAATAACTGCAGCAAAAAAAAAAAAAAAAAGACAAAATAACAGATTAATTATATTTTAGTTAGGGCACCTCAGATGTGTTAAAAAAAACAGAAATCCATCAGTCAGTGGTATAAAACATGGCACATCTTACTTGCATAAATAAAGATAGAAATTTGTTTTCACACTGCTTGAAAAGTTTCTACTCGTGTTTTCCTGGTTAAAAAGTATAAACTCTAGATCCTGAACTGTGCTGTTATCAAAAACCCAGCAAACTCTTATTTGTGTAATTGTATGATTACACTGTATGATGACTGTATGATCTGGTTGAACTGCAAAGTGCCTTGAGATGACTTGTGTTGTGAATTTGGCGCTATATAAATAAACTGAATTTAATTGAATTGAAATTAATTCCTTAAATTGCTTCAACTTTATATTTACTAGAGAAAATTGCTAAATAAGTACTGTATTTTCCAGACTATAGAGCACACCTCACTATAAGCCGCGGCCTCAAAATGTTTTGAAAAAACTGGAAACATATAAGAAGCAGCGGGCTATAAGCTGCTGATTTTTACTGAACTGTCTCCCTCCAAACCTGTAGGGGGAGCTCTACATATAGCCCCTGGAGTAGGGAAGAAAAAGAATATTAGCTCCCAATAACTTGTGGGCTCGCAGCAGGAAGAGCTTCTAATGAAAGATGGGGTTATGTCTGCTCTTTATTTCAGCTCTGCAGGAGTCTCTTCATTGGTTTGGCACCTTTAATGCGGCAAATAAATGTCGAAATGTGTGAATTTGGGACATTTGTTCTCCGTCTTGCCTACTGCTAATATGTTCTTGTGATAAATCATTATAAATAGAAATAGAATTATAATAGAATCACTATAAATAGAAATTGAACTTATTGGGGAAATTCACTCTGCTTTAACCCATCCATGCAGTGACATGGAGGAGCAGCAGAACTTCTCTGCTGGGATCAGAAGGACAAGGTGATAGAAAAGTGGAGGGCATTCAGTGTTGCCAACTTAGCACATTTGTCACTATATCTATCACCTTTTTCAGTGCCTATATTTAACAAAATTGCACTATTTTTTTTCTGTGTAAATTGACTTTGGTGACATATGCACCATTTACACTACCTTTTTGAAACCGTGCCGAGATCGGTCCGAGCACGGTAACCGAGATAACTGTTGAGTGTAAATGGCACGAACAACTGAACCAGACTGTGCCAGACACAACCGAACCGTGCTAAAATGGTACAAGTTCATCAGTAGGGCTCGGCGTGGTTCAGTTAAGGCTCAGTTTTTAGATAACAAAGGGCGGATGAGCATCTCCTTACAATCAGCCTCCGTAATCATGAAGTTTCAGACATTCATAAAAACAATAGCTTGGCAACCGTGCCACACGTTTTCCAGTGATGATTCGACTTAGCAGTGTGATGACCCTCAACATCTTTTGTCTATTGTTTTGTGTATCCACTTCCCAAAAGCCGACTGTCAAGTAAATTTACCAAAGGTTGTCTTCTTTGCCCAACTCTCCACAAACAATGAAATTATCACAATTATATCCACACTTCCTGAATGTTACGCGCGCCGCCATGTTGGTTTTCTTGTTTACCTCTAGAGAGCAGTAGCACTGTAGAACACCACTAGGAGGCGCGGAACCATGCTAACGTGGTGTGTAAACAGCCGTAAGGTACAGAGCTCAGCATGCTTAACTGATCCAAGCTCGGCACCGATAGGTTTTCAGAGGGTAGAGTAAATGGGGCTTCTGCCTCTCGTCCTCTCTCCCTCACCCTCTCTTTCTTCAACCTCTTTCTCTGTCTCTCACTCTTCCTCACCCTGTCTCTCTCCCTCACCCTCTCTCTCTAATTCAATGTGCCTATGCTAAGCTGCTCCTAATCCCGACCTAGACTGCCAAATTGAATCATCATCATCAAAATAATTTCTAACTGACACTGACAATAACTGCATTTTCATTCCACAGCCTCATTCATGACATTAGTTATGCAAATTAGGCAATAATGTCATCTAGTGCCTTATAGCTCCCTTTAGGACAGCAAATAGCAACTTTTCTTGCTGAGGAGTTGACAAACACTGAGGACTACGCTAAATGTTCTGAACATGACAGAAGAAGACATGCTAGCAATTAGCACGGCTGATGGGTAGAATTTATGAGTTAATGCTCCTCATGGAGCGTCTGCTCTGCCGATAATGCAAGCATAGAAGAAGAAATGCGCTGTTTACCTGTGCAAAGACAGAAACAACGAAAGAAAAATGTCTGAGGACTTCAGTGTTGAGGAAGAGCATGAGTTCTTTGCCGAGCTGAATGCGCACTTTCATCTGGTTTGGTCTGCCGCGGTTTCCGTAGACTCGTGAACGTGCTTTTAGGAAATCCTATACACTACTGTTTATGCTCTAAAAACATTCTAAATGACTTCGTTTCGAGTAAATTCTGGATGCTACCCACTCAGGACACTTGGAATACATTGGACGAGCAGTATGGAGGAATATTGACACGTTTTTTTTGGACTTTTATGGACCTTTCTGCCTCGGGCACCATAGACCTCCATTATTTGAATGTCAGCAGACAGCAAGAAGCCTCCCAGATCTCCAGATGCATTTGAGAAATAAAAAACTACTCCAGAGTGTTGTTCAGCATGGGGGTGAGTAGAAAATGAAGGCTAATCATGTTTTGGGTGTACTATTCCTTTAAGCTTTTATTTATTCAATAACCTGTTTTGTCATACGATAAAAATGATTCATAATGTATGAGAAACCCTTTGGTAGTTTATTCAATCTCTATTTAATACAGCTGGGGCAATAAATTATCATAAAGTAATTAGGTACTAATAACTCAGCACATTGTACAAACAATATTTAGCCTTTAATCTTATGTAAAAGTCATCTTGATACAAGAGAAAATTTAGGTTAAGAAAATAGCTGCTCATAAATGAAAAGTAAAATAATGTTAATAACCAACTGAATTGTATTAAATGAATTAAATTAATTAATTATCAATTACCTTGCCATCCTAATTTAGAGAAATGTTTGCTGGACAACAAGCTTCATGCTAACTTGAGCTATAAGATGTAGAACAGGGAGGCTTTGGAGAGAATCTCTCTCAGGATGTTTACCTTTTGCAGGCTCAATATGAGCGTCTTTGCACACTGTATTTTGTCAATTTGTCTTGTTTTACTCATCGTTTCTTTGATGATGTCACCATAATCATTGTAATACTGAGGGAAAAGAACAAAAAGGATCATTATAAAACAGCAAAAGATATTACCAACTGTACAATGTTTAGATTTCTTTACTCACTCTCATGTACTGCTTAAATATATCTGCTCCAGTGTTCATTTCAACCACATTGTAAATGATTAATTTGCAATAAGCAGCAAGAAGGTTTCTCCTCTTGTGAAGAGCCTCGATTTTACTGGCCTCATCATCCTGTTGTCCATCTAATATAAAAATAAACATGCATGAAGCTGTTGAAATAATTTATGAAAAATGTGTAAAACAAGCTATCAGTGGAGTAGGTTCAAACCTGCACTGTTGCTGTCATCATCCTGGTCAATAAAAACCTGATCCAAGATGAAGTTGAGCAGTTCTGCTTGCAGGGAAGAATCTGGCGCATAGACCAGATTCTCCAGGTGTTCCCGGCCTGACGACATGATTTGGTGACTGAAGATCAGCAGCATATCACACAGTATAGTGAATGCCTAGAATGGACACAGCAATAAATTATAAATGCAGATCGATCGCATTCAGAGGTGCAGGAAATAAGGATGGAATAATCACTGTCCCACCTGCTCCTTCACTGCTGTGCTGATGCTGTTCAGGTAGCGCTGACATATTAAGCAGAAAGCTCTCATCTCTTTCCTCAAAGTCACCAAATCCCCCTAGAAGAAGCAGAAGAATGATTAGCACCTCTGGTCCACCACACATACTGTTGAATTGTAAAGTGCCTTGAAATGACATGTGTTGCGAATCAGTGTTGTGAATATAAATAAACTGAATTGAAATTGAATTGGTGAAAACACAAAGTAAAAACAAATAATTTCCTTTAATTTTTTTTAGAAACATTTTTATGTACAGTTTTGAGGGAGGCCTGGCTGCAGACCTGCACAATGGGGTCTCCTGCATCGTCAGTAGCCTTTAGGAATAGCGCATAGAATGTATGAGAGGCTCGGAATTATTAGAAGAAGAATTCAACTCAGTTCAGTTTATTTATATAGCACAAATTCAAAACACATGTGAATTGGATGAAATAAATAAAAAATGTCATTTCAGTTCACTTTACAGAGACAATTCAGCGAGATCATCCAGTAAAACTGATTCAAAGTTTTCTATCTAGGGAAAACCAGACTTAGACAAACTTTATTGTACACACAGTGTACACAAAACTCAAGAGTTGATTCCTTCCCGCTATCATCCCACCCCCATACATGGGACCAGAATGTCTCGCCTGTCAGCCAGGCCAACAATTGCCCCTAACAACCCCCCTTTCAGAGACAAAGACCAGCGTCGCACATTGCAGGTTAACAAAGAACCCAAACTGCACATTCCAAAAGTGAGGACCCGTTCATCCAGTTCAATTTGCATCTCTTCGAAGCCAAAACAAGGCGTTTTTTTCTTGGCCCACTCTATAAAGCCTCAAACTCACTGCTATTTCTGACAATTGTAATTGATTAAGCTTTTTAAAGCAGATATGGATGGGAAGCGAAACGTCTTCAAACTTGTAAACGAAAGTCCAGTGGATTGTTTTGACCTGGATATGACTTTGCTGATTGTTTCAATAATTGATCAATCATGATTAATTGTTTCAGCCCTACTCTAGATATACATTCTTTTTGTATTCTCAGTTTTCCTGCCCCTAGAGTCCTTTCCTTTCTCCTTAGCTCCTTCTAGTTACTCCTGTCCACACCTGCTCCCTATCAGTCAATTAGTCCCATTGTTTCTGTCTCCCATATATATACCTCCTGTTCATCTACTCAATGTCATTCTTTAGGTTTATTCCTCCCTAGTGTCTCCGCTTTTTTTTTATTGGTTCTTGAGTTTTCTTGTCGCTCGTTCTAGATTACGGATTCTGTATTTTTGCTCAATTATATTTTGCAAGAAATCATCCCTGCCTCTTCTACTCTGCATTATGGTCCACAAAAACATCCACCAGCATAGACAATAACATACATTTTTTTTTATTTAAACCTAGTTTAGGGTGTTTTATATCCCCCTTCTTAAGTCATTACTTTGCATTTATTAAAGGGGAGGAAAATCTGACATGTGTCATGCCAAATAGTGACCCTATTCTGTTTACCAACATATTTCATCTAGTGTTTCTCATATTCAACATTTCAGACTAAGTCACTACCTTGTAAGCATATTAAACATTTGTCATCACCTTGTTTAGCATGCCTAATAGGTTTCACTCATATTAAAAATTTATAAATGAAATATGAAGTGTTTGTGGATGAATAATAACATCTAGTAACTGTTTGTTAGTCAGTTAATAGGAATGGTATTAAAGAGAGCCTTAATGTATAGTACAGTTTTATATAATATATTTTAATCATCATTTGTTGTTTTTACCCTTTTGTTTAATAAAAAAATTTCATTGATATTGTATGAATAAATTACCTGATAGATTAGTAGTAACTGTAAGAGTAGTCGTATTAATTAATCTTTAACGACTCTTTCCCCATAAAATGGTCACTTTAACTGGAGCTGTGTGCTTTGATGAGACAAAGAGTTATGCTTTGTCAAAAGTCAGTTTGATGTGATCATGAATTAAACTAATTAAGGTTCTATGCTGTGGGCTGGATTCTCCCCTATAGACCCTGGGAAGGTTGTTGGAAGGTTGGGCATCATTAAGTCTTTGAACAACCTGGATATTTTACATGACAACCTGGTAGTCTACACCAGTAAACTGAAAAATACTTCATCACTACATGATCCGTAACCATATGCCCAGATTAACACAGAAATTGTTTACCAGATAGATAAACAACTGCTCTCCAGGTCCGTTTCAATCCCCAAACCTAAATCCAAAAAAACTGGAGAAGAGAGGACGAGGACAAGGTACAATATGCATTGCAAAAACTGTCCATCTACTCATATATTAAAGTCTTCTAGCTTCTCTTCATTGGCTTCCTGTTAAATCCAGAATAGAATTTAAAATCCTCCTTCTCACATATAAAGCATTAAATAACAAAGTTCCATCTGATACCAGATATCTGATTGTTCCTTATGTTCCTAACAGAGCACTTCGCTCTAAATCTACAGGTTTACTAGTGGTTTCTAGAATTTCTAAAAGTAGAATAGGAGGCAGATCTTTTAGTTATCAGGCTCCCTTCCTGTGGAAACCAATACTAGCTTTAGTCTGTGAGGCAGACGCCCTGTCTACTTTTGAGAGTAGGCTTAAAACTTTCCTTTTTGATAAACCTTATAGTTAGAGGCGCTCAGGTCATCCTTAGTTATCTCTATAGTTATGCTGCTATAGGCTTAGACTGCTGGAGGACATAGGGACCCCTTTTTCATCATTCTATCTCTATTCTCCCGTACTGCAGTATTGGTTAGTTCACACTAACGTTCTGCTCTCTCTGCTTTGTCTCATAACAGTAGCTTCCTCTGGTCTGTTCTTGTTTGGCTGTGACTCCATCCTGGAGAGAAATATCAGCTGTTCTTCTGCCATCAACATCTTTGTTTATAGATGTTGGCGATCTGCCTATTTTTCAGTGTAGTCCTGTTTCTCTGACTGTGAGTAACTGGATGTGCTCTCTTTCATCCTCTGACATGGGATGTGGCTCGAAGCTTGTCTGCCTGGCTGTGTGTTTCCAGGATGGGGCCTCCTGTGGAGCTGGTTGACAGTTGCCTTTTGTATCTCTGCTTCTTTTTCCAATGTCTGTTTCTGTCTCCTTGAACCCCAATCAGCCTCAGCAGATGGCCGCTCACACCGAGCCTGGTTCTACTGAAGGTTCTTCCTGTTAAAACGGAGTTTTCCTCTCTACTCTCGCTACAAAAATGCTTAGTGTGAGAGATTGCCTTCTAGTCAATGAATCAACTGGTTTTCCTTTGATAGAAAACTTTGAATCAGTTTGACTATATGATTTGGTTGAATTGTCTCTTGAAAGTTTCTTGAGGTGACATGTGTCGTGAATTGGCGTTATAGAAATAAATAAAAATAAAGATCAGATTCTGTTATATTTTATAACTTTTTAAGGAAAAATGTACTCAAAATAAGTTGCATTTGCTAAGACTTCTTAAATTAATGATATATATTCTCAAAACAAAGATAAAGCCTTCTTAAACTTCTTTACCCAGTGTGCTAACAGATTAGCATTTTGTGAAGTGTCTTATTTGCCATCCATATGCAAACAGTTTTACAGTTAAATCATCTTTTTAATGAGTTACCTAAAGTCAGCTTTAAAAATCAGTACCTTTATGGAACTGCCGTCCGAAATCTTAGCGAGATGCCAGAGGACTATGTAATGCGTGCACTGCATTGCATGAATCACAATCTGCAGGGACAAAAGTTAGCAAGACACAGTGACGCTCCCAGTTCTTCATATTTAAGTTGAAGTCAGCAGTAAAATAAAATTGTTACAGAAGATTTTTTGCTTAATAAATAAACCAAACACAAATAAGATGTGATACTAATTAATTATTTAAGGATAGTTAGTGACATTTAAGGGCTGAGATACCTGTTCTGGCATGTCCCCATTCTGCAAACCAATGCTGAGTAGTCGGTAGTTGCTGGTGAACAGGTCCCACTTGGAGAGATCATGAGCACTGGTTGGGGAAGAAGCAGACCATTGCGAAGGAGAGCATCAACACAGAGCCGTGAACTTATAACTTAAATATCAGTGAGTAAAGTTTTACTTGTGAAAAGCAGTGATCTTCTTAAGAGTTGATAGAACTTGGTAGGCATCATCCTCATCTGGCTCTTCCCCCTGAGGAACCAAAGATCAAATCTTTAAAACACTTGGAATAACTTTGCTTCAGAATTATCCTCATGGACGCATTCTAAAAGCGTAGAAACACCCGAATCAAACTACCTCCTGCAGGAAGTCCTCCAGAAGTCTGTTGAATTTGTCCACCAACTCGTCAAGGAGTTGCGAGCAGGCAATGTCCACGCGGTTGAAAATGGTGAACTCCTCGTTGCAGAGGTAGTGGTAGGTTGTAGAACAGGCCTCCAAGACTTCGGTGTCTGTGTGCTTATCCACAACCTCCCAGATTTGGCGCAGCAAGGCATCCATATGCTGAAAATATGGAGATTATTTTACTGGCACCAAATGAGATGTGCCCTTCAAATTAAAAGTCTTCAGACTACAGAAACCTCACAAACCTTTTCTAACCGGCCGGTGGTGTAGATGTCAAGATCAAAGTATTTTGGTATTTGAAGTAAATTGGTCACCTTATCAATGTCGACGCAGTACTGCGAGAAAACAACAAGAGTTTGGTTGACACCTTTCAAAGTAAGACGCACTCTGATTGGGGTAAAATGCAGAACGCGTGCGGTCACCTTCGCTAACAGTAGAGGTAACGCAACTGCAAACATTTCTGTGATCCGTGTCCGATCGTCCAGCTGAGTTTTCTTCTCTTTTGCAGTTAAGACCTGATGCACACAGAAAAAATAAAACCTTCCCAAATCACCAACACAAACCTATTTGGGTCATAGTTGTTCTTTTCTTTGTGCCTCTTACCCTCTTTCCCGTGCCTCTGCCGACCGGAGGATGACATTCACATGCCTGTCGGATGGCAGAGAGCATAATCTCAACCAAGGCCATCTCCTGTCGATCTGTGAGGGCTGCAGAATTAAAGAAAGGAAAAACCCCTTAGTTAACATCCAATTCAAGGACATTTCAAGGACATTTTCTCTCAAGTTAAAGTACACAGCAGCCTTTTCATATAGCAAAATGTTTCTAATAAACAATTTAAATATGCCCAAAATGATCAACACTTATATCCTGATATGTTTCCTAATTCTGATCGATAGGATTCAATTCCAATTTTGATAAAAATAATATAAAAGCCACAGAAAAACTGCATAGGAAGCCCAAGCCGAGTTCTGTATTAACATCTAAACATTATTATCCCAAGTCCATGAAATACTTTAATATAAAAGTTTTTAAATTATTAAAAGAAAAACAATAAACACATCTTCAACAGATGAAATGCATATTTAACTGGTGATCATCTCTCCCTCCTTATATTTCTTGCTTCTCTCAGTTTCTCCATTATCGCCTCCTCTATTTTTCTGTAGTTAACTTTCAATTGTTTTAAAGAAAACAAACTTAAGCTGAAAGACTGTCATTGGATAAAATCCCATTAAGACATTTTTTTTTTTTTCAGCGTTTTATTGTCATTACATTGTCAAAAATGCAGAGCAACGAAATGAACTCTCTGCATTTAACCCATCCCACTGGGTTAAATGCAGACATTGCTGCCATTGTGCGGTTAAGGGTCTTGCTCAGGGACCCAGAGTGGCAGTTTGTGGGAGTGGGGCTTGAAATCAGAACCTCTGGCTTCCAAGCTCTATGCCCTAACCACTAGGCCGCCATGGGACCAGGGCTGAGGACCTGTGATCCCCCAATTGCCGGTCAGCTGATAATGATAATGATTTATTATCCAGCGCTATTTGTATATGTTACAAATGAAATAAAAAGGACTGTGAGATTTACAGATTTTTTACTTTCCCCCAAAGCGGATGTGTTTTACTTTGTAACCGCATCTCTCTTCCGTTTAGACGCATGAAATTACTGCTGAATTGCTACATGGTCCGAGAAAAATAGACCTGGGCTCTATCTCAGTCGGAGCTACGCAGCGCCCTGAAGGAAATCGTGTCTGCTGTGATCATCCCCATTGACTTACAATGAGCGCTATACGCCACGACCTGTAAGGCGCAATCGGATCTGACTCAAAATTGTATTTGGTGTTCTGGCCTTTGAATAAGCTTTAAAACGTTCTGCTGCTTCAATTTTGATGCTTTTCCACATTAAGATCAGATATCCAGTAAAGTGTGTCCAAATGCGTCTGATGTTTCTGCTGCTCCTGTGTTCAATGGCAGAGAGCGGCTTTGCTAAATTTGCTGTGATCAGTTGGTAAAAAGTAGTTTTAATATATTTTTAAGTGAGAAAGTCCACCTGAAAACATCATCTGTGCAGTCAGTTCATCCAGATTACCATCCTGCCTTCAAATATAATTTCTCTGTCAGAGCCGCTCAGACCCCCACATACTGGCGGTGCGCTGTCACTGGGAAGCAGCAGCAGCTACATCAGGAACAGTCACCTCTTGTGGGTTTTCCTCTACCATTTTTCAGGTATGTGGTACAAACTGCAGGCATCAGGATAAAGTGAATATAATTTGCTGGCACGTTTGGATATTTTAAGTTATTTTAGGCGTTAATAAACTGTTTGAGGGGAGTGATCACAGCGCTCTGCATCAGCAGCGCTGTGTCTGTCTCCCAGATCAGCTTCTCTGATTGGTTGATGTGGTGCGTTGAGCAGCAAAAGTTCAATTTTTCCAACTCAAGCAGCTGCTGATTGTGGAGCACGTCATGCGCCTGAGATGCTCAAAAGCTCATGAAGCGCTGCTTCAGCTGCTCTAGGCGCGCTGCATGACCTTTAGATGCTCCTCGATGCACGTCAACCGTTGACTTTGGATGTAAACGAGCTGCTTCTGCTGCTTCAAGTGGTGTGAACCTAGCATTAAGCTGTATGAAGGCAGTTTAGTGCAAAGAATGACATACTAGGGGTGGGCGATATATCGAATATACTTGATCTAAAAAATCATTTCCAATTTTTTTTTGTAATTTAAGGTCAATTTCTTTGTCTTTATCCAGCATTTTTTATTTGATTATGTACAAAACAGCCCTTTTTTAATTGTACATTTTATTTAGTATTTATAGCATTATTGTTTTTGTTTTGTTTCCTATTTGGTTGCAGGGATCTTGTTAAAGGTCTAATACTGACACCCAAAGACATCATGTGGCAGAAAAGCTTTGAGCTGGTTAAAATAAATGTTTTAAATTTGAAACCAAAAGTTTGAATGAGGATATCAGTGCAATATTATGTACTCTATTGTTCTAAAGGTAATTTAAACATATGGAGATATATATCGTGTATCGCGATTATAGTCCAAATATATCGCGTAATTAGATTTTCTTCATATCGCCCAGCCATACACCACACTACACGAGGAAGTAAAAAACAGCCGTGTACAACTTTATCATAGTCTCTTTGTGACGTCCAGGGGCGACAGTCATTTCTTTCCATGAGTCTTTCCACAATCTGTTGATAGTGGTGTTGATATCTAAATCACAGGATCTCTAGCAGGACCCTCGCTAGCAGGATCTGTTGCTCATTTGCCATGTTTTCCGCAGGGATCTGTCTGCATGGTCACAAACTCTCAGAGCTTTGCGGTGCAGAAATTCTCACTTACGCTTTAAGGATAAACCAAACATCACTAAATATGTCCATGCAAAAATCATTTAAGGTAGGTGTGTTTCTTTATGGCTGTTTTCAAAACCTTTCCAACAGCTTTCAAAAAACTTCAAGGATTTCAAGGACTGGTGTGACAATGTTTAATTATACATTGGCTTCATGTTTGTCTGCTTACCCTCCTCTCCTGGCATGGGTTCATCCAGCAACAGGCTGATCATGGTTTCCCAGTCCTTCAGCAGCTCCGACGCACACTCCCACAGGCTGTCCACCAGATAGGCGCCGTGTTCATGGAGCTAATGGAAAATCAGTTTCCAGGTCAACACCATAAGGAAGACAAAATGACTGTAAACATGATCGTCCCTAAAAAAGTGATCAGCTGGTGCTAAAATCCAAAATCCCTCCTTTTTTGATCAGTGAACGCACCGTTCACCAACGCTTGCTGGTCTGATTGACAGCAACACTGTTCAGATTCCTCCGGTGCGTTCACACAAAGCACAATTTAGTCGCCGCCTTCAGGTGCTGCAGCATGCTTCACGTATCGGCAGCAATTTGAATATTTTTGGCCATTCTTAGCGTTTTAGTTTTTTCTGGTATCGTGTCGACCAATGCGTGCATGGGTTTGTCGTTCACCATGCCTTGAGATCTCATCAGGCTCATGCGTTGCTGCTCCCTCTATCAGCTATTGTTAATGTTTTGTTTGACCCATTAATAACGTTTCTTTTTTAATTAAGAGACCAGTGTAACATTTGTGTAATTTTAATTATGTAAGCAGACGAACAAACAGCAATACTGGCCAAAAGAATCGGCTTTTAAAAGAAATCAGCAGCACATATCGAGGCTCAGTTAGACTGATGTCAAAATAATCTGCATTTAAAAACTGTCCCACGCTGTGGGACCAATCAGCCTAGAGGCTGCAGGACACAGGAGGAGCATGGAGGGTGAGCCATTTAACAGTCCTTCTAGGGCTTAAATACAGCAGCTTTTTAAAACTCTGAGGAATATTCCTTACTTCATCCCATACCAGCATCATTTATTCTTCCATTTTGATTCTTATTCTGCAACGTTCCTTCACCCTTCATCACAATAGGGCTGCAACTAACGATTATTTTGCTTAGCAATTAATCATTCGATAATTTGTTTTACAAAATTTACAAAATACAAAATTAAACCAGGTCAAAGTAAAACTTTTCTTGATAGAGCATATTGACAGACAAATTTTTTTTTCAATCTTAAATGAAAAATGTTTATATATATTTTTAACAATCTTGGTATAATTACTGCTGTAAATGGGTCGCTCTGTCAGCTAAAGGCATGTTTTAGGTCTCTATACTCCAGGTAATGATGAATCGATTACTAAATTAGTGGATTATTATTTCAATAATCAATTGATGGTGATTTATCTGATTATTCGTTTCAGGCCTACATCACAGCCACATCCAGTCCCCATTTGGTTATCGCGATGCCGGCATTGACAGAAAAGTTAGATTATTTAACTCAGGAAAGAGTCGCTGACCCTCCATCATAGGTGTTGCTCTAATCGCTAGGAGCATGTCCGCACATGGCTTAGCATCGCTGCGCTCCTGAACGCACCTCTTCATGGGATACAGGAGTGAACACACCATTACTTAGAGAAGACAAATCAAAGCTCTGATGTCACGTCGTCTGTTCTTCAAACACGTTTCATAAATGATCACTAAGAAAATAAGAATCAGCACCTCGCTCTCCAAGAAGAAGAAGACCGTAGTCTTGATCAGGCTGCCGTTGAGGCTCTGCCTCCCTCTCCTCGGTAGACCCTCTTCTTCTGGACCTCGATGGCTGAAGAGCCTTCAGTCACAAAAGATAGCAGCTTTAAACAAGGAGTAACAGCAGCATCCATTATGTTGGAAGTAGACATGATGGATGCCCGCTGCCAGTCTATGTCCAGTGGCAGAGTGAATTTTCTTTATGTACTTGGATGATTGAGAAAAATAGATATGTGAAAAGGGATTATGGTCCTAATGTGAAATATTCTGTTTGTTTTGAGTGGCAGACCCTAAATACAGGCGGGCGCTGGGAATACACAGCAACAGCCGACCATTAGCTGGGAGATTTCCTGCTGCTATTCATGGAGGCTACAGGTAAATATATGCAGTGTTTTTGAGGTAGTAAAAGCTTTAGCTACCAGAATAAAACAAAATATTTCTCACAGTCCAGGGCTGTTTCATGAGTTTATTATCTAAAATCCTTCTGTTAAAGATTGGTTAAGCAATAATTGCAATAATAAGCAATAATTAAGGTATACTAACAATTTTATCCATGTGTGTTCGTAGATAAAACAAATACAAGTAGAATGTGAAGCCCATATGGGCCTCTTTCTTTAAAAGAGAATAACATATACAAAAAAGTTGTTGACTAAATAAAGCTTAATGCACTGTATACTATGAGTAGTATTTTCAGATTTTATTTATATTGTATGTGTTGGAAACAGAAAATAAAATCCCTGTTTTAGCACCAGCTTTGCCAATGAACTCTCTCCCATTTGCTTTTTTTAGTCATTGAATGAACAGGAATAACACTGCATTGAACCACATGATCCACTGGAACCTTCTGAACAATTTGATTTCAGTAAATGCAAAACTTGTTCACTGACAACAACTTTATATCCTGCTATTTGGAACGACACCAAGTTACAAATATCTGGAGGGGCTGCACACGCGGTCCGCGCTCAGGGGCATGGGCGGCACGATTACGTCACTATTGGCGCACGCACCCTGAAACCCTGTTGGATGTTGCAGTATAAATGAAGCTTTATGGTGGGCAGACAGATCATTACTTACTTTTTAAACAGAAATTCTCCTGCAGAAACAGCGATAGGTCGGTGTGCAGAGTAAACCAGGTGATAGACGCTCTCACAGTCCTCTGCTGTCAGAACCTCATCACTGCTCCTGTTGGAAACGGGAATATAACCAGCTTTAAATCAGAGTATTACAAAAAAAAAAAAAATGTAAGGGTTTTTAATATTAGATATTTTAACAAATTCTTAAGACAATTAGAAAAACAATGGTTAAAACCCTTTTTCAGGGACCGAGTGTCACTATGACTAGTGAGCCAGTAGCTCACTTTGGTTGCGTACAAAGACTTTCTGATTAGATTATGGCACCCTATTGACTCTGCGTACCTTATTTCTATTTTTTACACTTTGTTTCTGTTCCATCAGTTAATAAGCTTTAGCGTTTCTCTTTTTATCAGTCTACGTAACTGGAGGTTCAGTACGGTATGGCACAGACAGACACCAAGTAAACAAGGACGTAATGGAAACAAGCGGCACCCAGTGGAAGTGTGACATTTTTTATTTTTTTTTTTATTCTAAGATCAAATGTGGAAAAGTACAAACAATTATTGGCTGCTAACAGGACAACAAGACATGAGTCGTATCAGGAATTCAATTTTAACGCTGGTTGTAAAAGAAGCCGAAGCTAAAATGAAGTATGGCAAGAAATTTGTTGAAATATTATTAAAAGCAAAGAACATGTTTTTTTTTTTAAAAAGGACATTTGTAAGAAAATGTATTTCATAAATGGACCAAATATTGGTTGAACTCTTTCCTACCCTGTATGAATGAATCTCAAACACCTTTTTTAATTAAGAAGTTTTTAAAAGTTTTCATTTTTTATTTATTTTTAACAACATTGACACTTTTCCATAGTTACCCTCATCTGACTCTAACAGAGATATACACTCACCGGCCACTTTATTAGGTACACCTGTCCTACTGCTCGTTAACACTTAATTTCTAAGCAGCCAATCACATGGCGGCAACTCAGTGCATTTAGGCATGTAGACAAGGTCAAGACAATCTCCTGCAGTTCAAACCGAGCATCAGTATGGGGAAGAAAGGTGATTTGAGTGACTTTGAACGTGGCATGATTGTTGGTGCCAGAAGGGCTGGTCTGAGTATTTCAGAAACTGCTGATCTACTGGGATTTTCACGCACAACCATCTCTAGGGTTTACAGAGAATGGTCCGAAAAAGAAAAAACATCCAGTGAGCGGCAGTTCTGTGGGCGGAAATGCCTTGTTGATGCCAGAGGTCAGAGGAGAATGGCCAGACTGGTTCGAGCTGATAGAAGGGCAACAGTGACTCAAATAACCACCCGTTACAACCAAGGTGGGCAGAAGAGCATCTCTGAACGCACAGTACGTCGAACTTTGAGGCAGATGGGCTACAGCAGCAGAAGACCACACCGGGTGCCACTCCTTTCAGCTAAGAACAGGAAACTGAGGCTACATTTTGCACAAGCTCATCGAAATTGGACAATAGAAGATTGGAAAAACGTTGCCTGGTCTGATGAGTCTCGATTTCTGCTGTGACATTCGGATGGTAGGGTCAGAATTTGGCGTCTACAACATGAAAGCATGGATCCATCCTGCCTTGTATCAACGGTTAAGGCTGGTGGTGGTGGTGTCATGGTGTGGGGAATATTTTCTTGGCACTCTTTGGGCCCCTTGGTACCAATTGAGCATCGTTGCAACGCCACAGCCTACCTGAGTAATGTTGCTGACCTTGTCCATCCCTTTATGATCACAATGTACCCAACTTCTGATGCCTACTTTCAGCAGGATAATGCGCCATGTCATAAAGCTGGAATCATCTCAGACTGGATTCTTGAACATGACAATGAGTTCACTGTACTCAAATGGCCTCCACAGTCACCAGATCTCAATCTAATAAAGCATCTTTGGGATGTGGTGGAACAGAAGATTTGCATCATGGATGTGCAGCTGACAAATGTGTGATGCCATCATGTCAATATGGACCAAACTCCCTGAGGAATGCTTCCAGCACCTTGTTGAATCTATGCCACGAAGAATTGAGGCAGTTCTGAAGGCAAAAGGGTGTCCAACCCGTTACAAGCATGGGGTACCTAATAAAGTGGCCGTTGAGTGTATATTCTACACAGTGGCAGGCAGCGCCTATGGTACCAGGCCATATATAAGCCGCACCGGGCTATAAGCCACTAATATCTAGTGAACTGTCTCCCACCAAACCTGTAGGGGGAGCTCTACATATAGGCCCTGGAGAGGAGTCGAAGAAGAAGAATGCCAACTCCTGTTAGCTTGTTGGCTCACAGCAGGAAGAGCTTCTAATGAAAGATGGGGCTTCATCAGCTCTTTATTTCAGCTCTGCAGGAGTTGAGCCCAATCTCTTCATTGGTTCAGCAGCTTTAATGCAGCAAATAAATATAAAAATGTGTGAATTCAGGACATATGTTCTCTGTCGTGCCTGCTGCTAGCATGTTCTTGTGCTAAATGAAAATTAGCCCCTTATTCTTTCATGTCCAACTTTGACTTCCCCCTCTGGCTGTTAGGAAAAATCCACAAAAAGCTGCACCTTCTTATAAACCGCATGGTTCAAAGCAGGGGGAAAAAGTAACAACTTTTAGTCCAGAAAATACGTTAATAATTATTAAAATTCTGCTAAGGATTTGCTATTTTGTCTCCTGGGATTGAGTTTTATGAATCTTGTTAGAGGACTGCTGTGTCCTTTGTGTAAATGCTAATAATCTACTCGCCTTCTGTCCAAATTCATAATGTTTCTAGTTAGCGAGCCTTTATCTGACAACAGGCTGTTGTGTTGTCTGCAGGTTGTGTTTAAATCCTTCATGATGTTTGCTGATCTTGTTTGCTTAGACTCTAATTCTATTATTTCGACCTTCAAATCTGGCTGTTTAGCATTCTTCTGTTTCTTCCTTGCAAATGTGAAGAAAATGATGCGACCTTAAAGAAATGCTTTGGTCCAATCCCATATTATCAGCTGTGTTGTTTCTGCAGATATATTCGTTCCTATGTCTAACTCTTCTGTGACACATGCATGCATTAGGCTGGGATAGGTGTTGGCCTCCGACATTTTAATAAGACAGGTACTGATTAGTAATAATGGAAGGTATAATATTTCTATATATACCGTTTTCTGTAGCTCTGACTCTGGTGTAAAGAAATACTCAATCCTTGAATAGGATACATGACTGCTGGAGAAAAGTGAAGACTTGAGTTCTGGGAAATCTACTTCGTCATATATCTACTAGTTCTGTCTCTATTCTCTGAGATTTAAGCATTCTACGGACAACAGCAGCCTGGTGCAGTGCTTTAATATTACATCAAGGCGTTCTCTTCAGTTTTTAGTCAAATCAATGCAGGTTTTTTTTATGTAAATGTTGCAGATTTGCAGCTCTGAAAAAGTGTCTTGTGCCATACATTCCTCACCAGTGCCCCCAAAGTTCTAGATTTTTAAATCACATTTCTTAAAGTTTTCTCTGCTTGTCAGCTTTCAAAATTATTGGAGCTTATTTCTCTTTTTACTGAAGCTGCCAATTTAAAGGATGTGAGTTAGTCCTGCCAGCGCCCGGTGAAAAAGACGTCAGAAAGGATTGAGTTAACACTGTCAAGACAAACGCTTGGCAGATAATACTTTATTTTAAAATGACGGTTTTTATGTTTTTTTTTTATCAACTGGGCCCATGTAAAGCTTCAAAATGTAGAAATATTTATCTGTTGAATAATCATGCAGAATTAAATCTGTAGTTTAGTTAAAGAATAACCAAAGATTCTTACTGTAAAATGAGTGTCAGAAGTTTAACAGCTTGCACTGCAACATCATATTCTTTATCCAGAGTCATTGACACAATCCGGTCCTGTCAGAAAAGAAGCCATCAGAAGAATTTATGCCTTCACAAGTTAAAAGGAGGTGATCAGAATGATTAAAAATCCACATAATCAATGAATAAAAATGACGTGTGAACGATCAGCTGTGCGTCCGGTGGGCTAACCTTGAAGCGACTGGTGAAGAGCTCCAGGCGGGAGCCTAGTTCTCTGTTGTAGTACAACCCCTGCAGGGCAGTCAGGCACTTCAGCCGGACCTCACCTTGCTGGAAACACAGACAACACGATTTGAATAGTCAGTATATGTCAATAACTTGATGGACAGCAAATGACTGGAAGTTAAGAGACGATGCATTTTTTTCTGATCCAATCCGATACCAATACATGGGCGATATCTGATACCGATCTGATAGTACTGTTGAACGAATTAACCCTAAACTGCGCCATGTGAATAAAGGTATCATGACTGACAGTAACATTTTTAGGAATTAATTAGTAACAAATTACCAGATAAGTCATCACTAGCTGCTGTGCTGCTCTGTGTGATAATGTAATCAGCGGGGCGATAAAAAATTTTAGTCACTGTAACTGAATTGCTCTGTATAATATAATCAAAAATAGAATTGACTGGATCAGCGTCATTCATCCCATATCCAATCCAACTAATTGGTCAATATCAGAGCCGATACTGGCAGTAGTGCATACATCTTTGACATTCTAATGCTACATTCACATCAAGCATCAGAAACTGCAGCTTTACATGTTGAATAATGTGCATCAAGGCGCATCAGTAGGTCCTGCAGGGCGTCTCGAGGAACCGCTGCTGGAGTTGGAAAGATTACATTTTTGCTGCTTGACGTGCTACAACAACCAATCAGAGAAGCTGATCTGGGAGCTGGCAGGGAGACAAAATCAATTGTCGTAAAATAATTAAGCATACTTTGAATTATTCAAAGTATTTTTTTGTCTCCCAAATGATGAATTTTTTTTTTTTAACAAAACAAAACAACATACCATCATGTCCAAAGAAAACACCAAATTCTTAGATGCAGTTGTCAAAATAATCCAAAGCATGTTTCTTTTAGTATTTGTTGATGAACCTTTTAAAAAGTTAGCTAAACTGAAATATAATGGAAAACTTGTACAGAAGTTCTTCAGAAAAACTCCTCACCTTGTCATGCATTGTCCAGCCAACGTACTTCAAGTAGCTGTCATTGAGGAAGGCATCACTGTACAGCTTCATCCACACTCCAATCTCCTCAATGCAAATAGCCCGAATTTCAGCAATAGCATCACTAGAAAGATAAAACAGAAAACAGATCACTGTTAGGGATGTAAACAAATCGACCTTCAATTAACAGTTTGTTAGATTAACATTTTTTCCATCTGATTAACTGATAACATCCCCTTAGAAGGTGTTTCTTTCAGTGTTGCAATGTTGCCTCAGACCACTAGAGGGCTGTTATAAAGCTGAGCCTCACTGGTTAATTGCAAAAATGGTAATGCCAGAGTGGATCCATGCTAGAGCAGAACCATGAATGGATCCCGTCAGTTTTGGATTACTTTTACCGTTCAATAGATCAAAGAATTCAGACTGAACTTTCTGTGGTTCTGTTAGTAAATATAAACACTGGATACATGACTGTGAGAGTCATGTACTTTGACTTTCTCCAGTGGGTTCAAGACCAGGCCGGGTCTACTGGGGGAGAAACTGACAGCATTGCAGGTGGATGCCCCCATTGTGTCCTGGATTGTGGATTACCTGACTGGCAGACCACAATGCCTGCAGCACTGCAAGTCAGAAAAGCTGATCAGCAGCACAGGGGCCCCACAGGAGACTGTCCTCTCTCCTTTCCTCTTCACCCAGTACACCACAGACTTCAGCTACTGCACAGAGACCACTTTCAGAAGGTTTCTGGTGACTTTGCAGTAATTGGATGTATCAACGATGGCGAGGAGATGGAGTACAGGGGTGTTGATGACAACTTTAACACCTGGTGTGAGCAGAACCATCTACAGCTTAACGTGGCAAAGACCAAGGAACTGGTGGTGGATCTGAGAATGATCAAGGCCCCAGTGAGCTCCGTTTCTATTTGTGGGGTCTATGAGGGCACTGTGGAGGATTGTAAATACTTAGAGGTGCACTTGGACAATAAACTGGACAGGACTAAAAACACCAATGCCCACCAATACAGGGTCAGAGCCATCTCTATTTTCTGAGGCGGCTGAGGTTCTTTAAGATCTGCCGGGCAATGCTGCAGATGTTTTATGAGTCTGTGGTGGCCAGTGCCTTCCTTTACGCTGTTGCTTGTTGGAGCAGCAGACTGAAGATAAAGGACGCCAACAGACCTAAATTCATCCGCAAGGTCAGTCAAGTTGTTGGAGAGCAGCTGGACTCTCTGACTGCAGAATGTTGGCCAGGATAAAATCCCTGCTGGACAATTCTGCACATCCTCTTCATGATGTGCTGGTCACCAACAGTAGCACCTTCAGTCAGACTCATTTCATCACGCTGCACCACAGAGGGCCACAAGAAGTAATTCCTGCCTGTGGCCATCAAACTGTATGATTCAACTCTCTGACAGTCATTTCATTACTTATTTCATTACTTCACTATGTGCAATAACACGATCATGTGCTATAATTGTAATTTGGTAATGAGCAGCATTGTAAATACTGTTGATTTTATATAATGTGATCCTTATTTTATTTTACTCTTATATCTAATTTTACACTGTTTATATGGGAAGGGTGTAATTTTACTGTGTGGGGTGTAATTTGACTAATTTAACTTTCTTTATATTCCTATTATACTATATATTATATATTTTGTTCTATTGTACTACAATCTTATTTTCTCTCTTCTGTAAATGATTGCATTGCAAGAAAATAGTTTTCTGCAAGGGATTAATAAAATAATTTTGATTGTGATTCTGGATAAACTCCTTCCGTCTGCAGCTAAATAGGCTCATTTAGCTTTGCTGCATGGAGGAGCAGCATCAACTTCTTTGCTGACAGACTATAAATTAGGACGGTAGCAGGGAGACAAATTTTCTAATCCTCTATAAAAGCAACCAGAACTGCCTGTTTTTAACCCTGTAATGCCAAATGTATTATATTTGATACATACGGTTTCTGAAATGTTTTGCGTCTGACACCTTTTGCATAATTTAATGGTTAAAAACTTTGCTTAAAATCCTATTGTACACAATCAGATATACCTGATAACAGAGGGCAGAAGACTACACAAAAAATAATTTTGACTTATTGCATAGTAATAAATTATTAATATCAAAAATGTATTTCTGTTTTTTTACATATTTTGTTAAAAGGCCAAATAAGGACTTCAAACCAAAAAAAAGTAATTTTCTGTTTTGTTTTATTCTTGGATCGGGCTTTAAAGGGTTAAAAGCTCTGCTCCAGAACAAAGTTTCCCAGCACTGATTGTTGGTTTAGACAATAACCAGAGTTAAATCACATGCACTTCATGAAAGTGAGACAGAGTGACAAAGCTACGGCGTCTTTAAATTATAGTTTTACATCTGTGTTCATTGGAAATCAGAAAGTGTCCCAGATTTTATTAATCATTTTTTTTTCAGTAACCCAATAGGTTCCCGTCTTGTTATTTTTTTTTATTATGTCTGGTTTAATAATGTGTGAAAGCATGTCTTTGAATAGTCACTGAGTATTTAATACAGCTGGAACAATACATTTTTAAACCATAATCATGCATCTTTTTTATTCAGCATATTGCAGAAGATTCTTTTGATTCAAGAGAAACCTTAAGTTTTTAAGGAAATGGCCTTTAATCGTTTAACCGCTAGTCGATCAATAATATGAATCAACTTTACAGCCATTAATTAACTCAACTTTATAAAGCCCTTTAAAACAACCACAGCTGCCACAAAGTGCTGTACATATCAAGTTAAATTTGTATAAAAGCAACATAGAAGTTTATGGGATAAAACAAATCTAATAAAATACATTAATTAAAACCAATAAAAAAACAATAAAACAAACCATAAATGCAAAAACAGTCTTGTGCTGTGTTAAAAAAAAACAAAGAACTAAAATAGGGCTTAAGACGAGTTTGAAAAATAGAGTGAACAGGGTTGATTGATAACAACATGGAAAAACAACACATCTACTTCCTAATGATAGAGACAAAAAGAAGGAAAGAAGTAAATTTATTTTCCAGATAATATTTTGTGCTGACAGCTGTTCACCACTAGATGGTGCCAAAGGCCCTAAATCAGCAAAGAAATGTCTGAAACTGAAAACAGCTAATTGTTCTGAAATCTTACAGCCAGTTTACCTACCGATATCTGTGGACAAAGACTCCTTTGAAAATTGCATTCATCATGTTTTCAATGTCATCTTGGTTTTCCTGGAGCTGAAAAAAGAGCAAGAAACATGTTTATATATGAATCTATTTAGCTCAGCTAAGCAGGACATTTCCCTGGAAAATTAAATGCTTCTTAAAAACATTACAAATGACAAACTACAGCTTCTTTTTAAATGCAAAGTCCAGAAACATATTTAATAATTTAAACATACATTTACTTAGGCAACTAAAACCAGGTGACTAAACAGACCTTGAGAAATCTTGGAGTTTTATTTCATGAGGCAATGTCTCTAGGGCAGAAAAATGTTTCCTTCAGCTGCGTAACAAAATTAAACTCATTTATTTTCTGAAAAGGCCCTTGATCCATGCATCTGTGTCATCACGTTTGGACTACTGCAATAGCCTGTTCACTTGACCGAACATAAAATGCCTAGCTTGACTGCAGCTAGTGCAAAATTCTGCAGCGAGGATCTCGCCAGGTCAAACCAGAAGAGCCCACATAATTCCTGTTCTCAAAGCTCTACACCGGCTTCCTATTGAATACGGCACAAACTTTAAAATTCTGGTCCTGACCTTTAGAGCCCTGCATGGACAGGGCTCCTCTTACATCTGCGACTGGATTTAGCCTCACTTTTCTGCTCGCAGTTTGAGATCTGCTTAAAAGAACTGTTTAATGATGCCTTGTTTCAGGACGAGAGGTGAAAAGGTCCTTCTAAGCTGTCGCACCCAGACCTCTGCTTGGTAAACTCCATAGATCATTTTAAAAACCAACTAAAAACATTCTTTTTTAACTAAGCATTTTAGACTCTTTTTTATCAAGGGTTTCTATGATTGTATTTATGTGGTCTATATGTATTTTATATGGTGCTGTTTTGTATTTTATGGCTCATATTGTACAGCACTTTGTCACGCTTGTCTGAGCGGTGCTATATAAATAAACCTTTCTTCATTTTATACCTACAGCTACACAATGTATAACTGTTTTGTTTTGTTTTGACAGCTGGAGGAAAATCCTGGAGTCCATCTGATGTCATAACTCAGCATTACCTACAGGCTGGTTTTCATTATTCAAAGCTTATCTGACATTTTGGAAAATTAATGATCTTCCCAGTTTCATCTAATTCAAGTAGCAGATCTAAGCCTTTTTTTTTCCTGGAAAAACACAAAATTGTACAAGAGGATTGCCCGTTATGAACGCTGTGGTCGAATGTGACCATAATGAAAACACACAGATTCTCTGCTGGACTTTCAAGTTCCTTTTTCCATTTAAGAATCTAAGCGTAGATGTAAAAACCCAGATCTACAATGTACATTTACCATCACAATCTCTACTTAAATCTTCAATCATAATCTCAGTGAAACAAAGGCAGGTGTGAAGCCTCAAATGTTGAATAAAAACAGGAGCAAAGAAACAGTGACAGCAGTGTAGCAGACTGATCACAGTCATTTAAATCGAGGTTAGACTCTTGAAACATCTGTCAGGTCTTCAAACATCTGGAAAGAGCAAAACCACCATAAAGGAGCTGCAGATATCAACAGCCCAGGTGGCTGAATGTTTGGACAACTGACGATTGTTATATACAAATACCACAAACAATTAGAAATCTGTTCTGGCTCTCGTGGCAAGAACAAGAAAAACATCTGTTTTGAATCTTAGCCACTGAGGCAGGTTCTTTTATGCGACTGAAGATATGTTATTACTGACATTCCAACTAACTTGATTTGTGCTGCTGCTCAGTTGACATTTCGTCAGCGATTCATGGGGACAACGCTTCACCAAATATGAGCAGCTTCTAACTGCTGATCGCTGGTTTCAGCTCAACATTGTGGTTCTTTGCTCATGATAAAAAGCCCAACAGCGGCACCAGCTTTCCTGGGTCCACTGCATCCACCAGGGATGCTCCAGGAGCTACAGCTGGATCAAGGTTGCTTCAGTTTGGACAGGACTTGAAGCTGTCATCCCCCTCGGGGGAAGGGTGACTGGGACAGCAGAGGTGAGGTAGGGAGGCGCTCTGTAGCTCAGAGAGGAAGAGCAGCAGAGGCTGCAGAAGGACAGAACCAGCTATGGAGCTCAGAGGACAAGGAAGTGTTAAATTAAAGCGGATTATTTTTTAAAAATTCAGCTCTAAACCTTACTAAACACTGCATTATTACTTAAGTCAACTTCAACATTATTTATTCTGCCTTCATTTCGACGGAAAAAAGTATCTGCTGTGCTCCCACACCCAGTCCCTAATTGATTTATGATTTCTGATCGACAGAAAAGTTCACATACATTTGCTTTGTGTCCATCTCTGGTTCCACTTCGCTCTCGCTTTATTCGATTAACTCTTATCACAACACTCGCATTGATTCGCTCCTAATGCGCCTCTATGTGTATAAATCATTTGCTCCGGCTTGCTCAAACTATCATGTGAACCAAAGGGAAGCCTAGTGAAAAAAGCTTGGGAACCAGTTTCATTATAAAACATACTGGTGGAAGCATCATGCTATGGGGATGCCTACAATCAGTATGGACATGTTAGCTGGTCTGGGGTGATTAGAAAATGGGTGGAGCTAAAAACCTTCAGGACAAAGATTCACAAATTCTTCAAATAAGGGGCTCTGTGCCAAAGTGCCGCTTTATCTGGCGCCAGGTCGCTGAGGCAGCAATCAAAAATCAAAACTATAGATATTGCAATCAGTTAATAATCAATATAGATATCAATAGAAAAAAGTAAAAACAAACAGCCATATTTTGTTAAATCTGTAAAAAATGTAACATGACAATAAACTAAAAGAATCGACTCAATGGGGGGTCATAATGGAGGAAAAAAAGACATACAGCCCGAGACTGAAAACACAATGAGAGAAATTAACCACTCAATAGAAAGACTTACAGTATAATCTCCCTCATGCTACATTATTTAATTTACTCCTGTTTTTCATTTCCTTTTTGTCTTGAAGTATTTAAATATTTGACATAAAGAGTTAAAAATAAAAGCTTAAATCTTTCCTTTATGATCAAGCTGATAGAGTGGCTCAGGTTATCCAGTGCTATGTTTCTGCTTTTTAGCTTCATCTTCATCGTTTAGCTGTGACACCATCCTGGAGAGAAAAAAATCAGCTGTACTGCTGCCATTAACCCCTTTGTCTAGAGATGTTGGAGCTCGACCTGTTTTTCAGTGTAGTCCTGTTTCTCTGACTGTAACTAACTATTTGCGCTCTCTTTCATCCTCTGAAATGGGAGCTGGCTCGTCTGCCTGGCTGTGTGTTTCCTGCACGAGGCCCCCTGTGGAGCTGGTTGACAGTTGCCTTTTGTATCTCTGCTCCTTTTTCTATGTCCGCTTCTGTCGCCTTGAACCCCAGTCGGCCTCAGCAGATGACCGCTCACACTGAGCCTGGTTCTCGTTCTGCTGGAGTTTTCTTTCTGTTCAAAGGGGGTTTTCCTCTCCACTGTCGCTATTCAGCTGGTGCCTTGAGGTTACATGTGTCGTCAATTGCTGCTATAGAAATAAACTGAATTGAATTCAAATAACCAGCATGTACAAAGCCTGAACCTTTCAATTCCTACAAGTATAATTAAGCTGGACTATAAATATGATTAAAAAAAAGAAATATAAAATCAAAGATTCAAAATACTTTGAAGATACCTTCGAAGCCTAACCTGCATAGATTCAGGAAGTTTTTATTTGTAAACTTAGGATACAGCAGCAGAGTTTTTATTAGATTTTCTTCTTACCTCTTTCCTCTTCTGTAGCAGCAGCTCCAGCCTATCATTGGCTCTTTTTGCAATAACTTTGTTCCTTTCTGCCTCATACTGTCTCTGAGTGTTGTCCATGTTGATGCTCAGGTTCAAGGCGACGTTGACCAAGGCAGTCATCAGCTTCATGGCTGAGAAAGACAACAGTCCAAAGGCACAACACATGAAGATCTCAACGGTAGAGGCTAGCAGATAGGAGGAGAGCAGGAAGGGCTGTAAACTGACCTGCTAGTGTGCTTGTATGTCTAAACGCTCTGACCTGGGAGTCAGACAGGCCAGTGAGCAGAGAGATGACCGTATCCATCATATACTCATCGTAGATAATGCTGTACTGGCACTGACGAACCAGCACCGCAATAAAGTCACAAAAGTTTATCCTGAATCTTTTCCACTGGGGTCCTGAGAGTGTTAAAGGATAGTCGCCGCTGTCCTGTTTGGTGACCAGAGAAGATATCAGAGTGAGAGCAGGAGAAGAGGGAGGTCCTACATCAGTAGCTACAAGTGGCTTTTTGGCCCCACTTAAAAGGCTCTTAAGTTATTAAATAGCTAAATTGATAAAGAATCAACTAGGAGTTTAAAGAATTTATAATAAATGCAGCCTTTGAAGCTTTGGGATCCTTTTAAATATCAAAACAGAGTGACATAAAAATCCTACAAGAACTTATTTCAATTCCTTTTTTATATCATTAAAGCTTGGAACAGGCTTTTAGCCAGGAATATTTCACAGGGTGTTCACCTGGGTGTATCACATGTTCAGGATTTGCGCGGAGTAGGGGAAAGTTTTGAAACTCAGACTCTCTCAAATGCCATTTCCTGCATTTTGAGGTGGAATACAGCTAACATTTTGTCTTTGTTCCAACACTATTTTTGTCCCGATTATGGGAAGCATGTCTGCTTGACTAGAGGTGGAAATTTCATAAGGAAGACATGAGATCATTTTTAGGTACAACATTATATTTCCTAGGTAAATTTAAACAATAAGAAAGTCTAATGCTACGTTCACACTAAACGCCATCAACGCATCTACTGCTGCTTCATTTTTGATGTTTGTCCACATTAAGGTCAGATGTCCAGTAAAGTGTGTCCAGATACGTCTGATGTTTCTGCTGCTCCTGTGTTTAATGGCAGAGAGCGGCTTTGCTATATTTGCTGTGATCAGTGGGTAAAAAGAAGTTTGAATATATTTTGAAGTGAGAAAGTCCACCTGAAAACATCGTCTGTGCAGTCAGTTCATCCAGATTACCATCCTGCCTTCAAGTATTATTTCTCTATCGGAGCTGCTCAGACCCCCCACATACCGGCAGTGCGCTGTCACTGGGAATCCCCAGCAGCAGCTGCCTCAGGTCGCCTTTTGTGGCTTTTCCCCTTCTGTTGGTGGCGGCTTGAGGAAGGTGTTAGCATTTTTCAGGTATGTGGTACAAACGGCAGGCACCAGGATTATAAAACTGAACATATTTTGCTGGCAGCTTTCAACATTTTAAGTAATTTAGGTAGTCTGAGAAACCAGACTAAATGTGAGATTAAATGTGTAACTTAGTCTGGCCCCGATGAATGAGACATCGGAAGATTAAAAAATAAAACCATGTCTGTGCCTGTTGGCCAACGCTCTGACCAATGAGCGCAGCTGACTGTGACGTAGTTAGCTCGAACAGCCTGTCGGTAAAACGCCGAATACGTCCTTCTTAAAAATGAATGAGCGTAGAGCATCTGCCTGCTCACGTTTCAACGAAAACCCCAAGTCTAATCCTTCTAAAACTAATTCTAAAGCTGAGTCAAACGAGAACTGTTCAATAGTTGTTGCCATCTTCCTTGTTGTGCTTTCTCCAGCGTTGCGCAGCTTTGTCGTCCCGCCCTCAAAACCCTGCCCACTTTGCACCCAGAAATTCAAAACACATTTCTGCGTTGTGATTGGCCCACCAGTTCTAGGGCCTGGAGCATTGATTGAGGCTAGACCAAACTCGCAGGAAAAAATGATTTTGGCCGCTGGCGGGTGGGGCTGGTTTACCAGGCTATAATTTAGGCATTAATAAACTTTTTCAGGGGAGTGATCCTAGCGCTCTGCATTAGCAGTGCTGATGGCTGTCTCGCTGCACGCTCCAAGATCAGCTTCTCTGATTGGTTGATGTGGAGCATCTAGCAGCAAAAATTCAATATTCCAACTCCAGAAGCTGCTGTTTGTGAAATTTTGAAGATTTGAATGAGGGCCTACCAAAGCCGTACATCCTAAAAAAAGATCGTACAATTTGTCCTTTTTTTAGTAAAGGGCGATTTAAAAGCCTGGCTTGGAAAATTTTCTATATGGTTTTACAAACATATCAACATCCTATAAGATACTTCCTCTTCATGTTCTTCCTCATTATAAAATCTAAAAATACAAACAAATTGTTGATCGTTTAAAATGGAAACAGTTTTTTCTAGCTGATATTTAACAACAATAATGAATGAAAACAAATTTTATTTAAAGTGAGCAAAAGGTCAATCTGGATTTTAAAGGTTGCAGAGCTGAGATCTAGATAACCAAATGGTCCACTTCACCTCATCAAACTCCTCTGTCATTTTCCTGATGATTTCTGAGTTCTGCATATGTCTGAACATTTCTTCACTCACAGCACCTGAATGAAGAAACAAAGGATTTCACAGAAGCGTGTCAAAAAAACGCGTTCAGCAAAAACCTGCAGTCCGCCTGGACTGATTCTGACGGGTACCTTTACAGCCGGAACACTGGATGAAGAAGTTGATCAACTCTAAGAGCGCCACATCTCTGTCCTGTTTGTAGGCCTCAATCCAGTCATCCACCACAGACTAGACGTACAAAAGAAGAGCAGTTTAAACCAGCTTTATTCATAGAATAAATAATTCAATATTTATATAAGATCGTGAATTTACTTGTTTCTTATTTTAAACATAATTAATCTGATTTTTTTTTTTTATTACCTGCTCAAACTTGGTTTTAATCAGAACAGTATTTCTGCAGTGAGATAGCAGCTTCCTCACCTGTGTGGCACTCCTCCCCATTTTAACCACCTCAAACAGGCTCATGTTCTCCAACCCGTTCTCCTGACGATGGCCATTGACCCAGCCAGCACCGCTGACTCTTCCTCCTGCCCCACCTCTGGCCTTGTCTCCCAGCACCTTCCTCCCCATTTTGGCTCCCTGTCAATTAGAACAAGGTTTTAATGATCAATGAGAGCAGAACTATGAAAATTGTCTGTATAAGCAGGAAGCAGAAGGCTGAGAGGGTTAAACCTAAATATTGATATTGTGTTCAACTAAAGGACACCGAGATGAACTTATCTGTTTTTTTAAATTTTCTTTTTTTTTTTTTTTATCAATTTTCAAATTAAAAGAATCTTTTAAATACACTCTGGACTTGTTTCTTTCTGTATGTAGGATAAACAACAAATAAAATAACCCCCCTGAAAATCGAAGCAGAAAGAAGATCTCCCACTACACATTTAAATAAGGCAGCATATGTGATGTGTACGTTAATTAGCAATGACTTTAGGATTCCGGTTATATCAATATTATTAGTGTAGACTGACCCTGATCTGGGTCTGCCGTCTGTACGTTTTCAGCCAACCCTCCCTGCCTGGTCACCCCTATGAAAATTGTGTGGTTGCGCTACAGACATCCTGGGTAAACAAATCTATTTCCTTACACAGAAAATGTTCAATTTGACAGACAATGGAAACACAGCTACTGACTAACATTTTGCCAGATTAATTATACATCTTAAAGAGAACAAAGTTAACATTTGAAATCTAAATTATTTTTATAATTATTATGTACGTTTTTATAATCCTGATTTACCCTAGTTGTGTCATTCAAAATTAAAAATGTGATGTAGTAAACATCTGGTTTTATTTGTAGCGTAAATGAATGATTATACCAGGCCCCTTCCTCCCTTAGTGTTTCTTCCATCAGGATCCTCAAGGTCCGCATCTGAGGACAACTGAGATTCTGTATCTCTGTGCATAAAAAGAATGAAGACATTGGTGAATAAAACTAAACTTTCACCAGAGATTGAGGACAATGAAGCATGGCTGTGATTGACTGCTTACTGGGGAAACTGGAACTCTGCGTGCAAATCCTGTGCCGCTATCATTTCTGCACCATTTTCTGGAGCTGCAGAAGCGATCTCTTCTCACCCACCTGGAAACAGGAACAGATGCTGCTGAGAAACCACAGAGTATGCAGAGCATAAAAAAGAACAGAAGATTTAAAGTCAGATGGTCTTGATGAAGCAGTCGGCTTCCAAAGCCTCCTGGAGACCACAGAAAAATCAGGGAGGAAAAAGAGACAAGGAAAAAAAACCTTCAGCAGCAGATCAAACTTCACTAAACTGCATGTAGCTAAATACTGCTATTCATAAATTGTCAATAAATATTTCATTAAAGAAATATCCCCATAAAAAAATATTTAAAACGATTTTTTTATTATTCAAAGATTTATTAAATAATTTATTTATGTGTTTATTTATGTATTGAGTAATGAAGTGTTATTTTGAAACACTTATTTTGCTAAGCTACTTAACATATTCACTGTTTCTTATTTTTTTATTCCTTTTTTTTCATTTTAAGCTCCTTTCATTTTATGTTCTTATATTCCAATAAGGAGATGGAGTTTTATCTTTCTGGTGGCGCTGGTTGGCAGATTACATCTGCTTTGCAGAAACTAAGGTACTCCATTCATGATGACCAATCAAATCAGAGTATTCTCTCTTGCCTCGCTCTGTTTGGTCCTGTCACTATCCGATCTGTAATATTGGCTCATTTGCGCATCTGCAAAGAGATATTCATCCAGGTCGCCATAGATAATGTAATTATGGTCTTTCGGTTCTTAAATCACCAAAGAATGCTTAACTACATATTTAAAAACAACATTAAATGAGTTATCTGAGCCAATTGGATACCTTTACATTCCCTCTGTTAATCTGCTTGCCTGACATCATCATGGGGTTAGGGTAAGGTCCTCTGAGCATCTGCAATTAGGTTGTTTCTTTCTTTAGATTATGCATTATATACCATGAGTTTAAACGAAAAGAAAAAATCAAAAGACTATGCATGTATGAATCCAAAGTTGAAAACATTAGCCCCAGGAAGGAGAGTAGGATCTCATTTCTGGGACAGAAGAGTGATATTATTGTCTCAATAAGTCTGAGATTCTTCTGTTTTCAGACATTGTAATTAAGTTGAGTACATCTAGAAAGATCAGACACATTCTGCAAAATGCAGACAAAAAATCAGCATGAATTATTTTCTTCTTCTCCCGTTAAAGTCGCTGAACTCTCATCAGCGCCGTCAAACACATAAAACGCCGTCCTTTCATTGAAAGATAAGAAAATAAAAAAAAGGGGGTTAAAATAAAAAAAGATTACTAAATTATTTTCCCATTATTTTTGATAAACGGTTAATCCGATTTATTGTTTCAGCACTTAAATGCAAATAATGGGACTTGAATTTTTAAACCACGGTGCCAATCATGCATATGCTCTTGATTGTTGAAGAGGAAACCTTAAAATAGTCGCAATATTGGAGGGAAAAAAATGCTATTTAGATTGTAGTCTTCTTGTAAGAAAACTTAAGAGACTCTGCAAAGATATCAGAACAAAATAGCTGTTATTTGAGTTAAGTAGCCTTATTTCCCATTAGGTAAGCTATCAGCAGGTTAGAGTATGTTACGCATCATCATCTGTATCAAGGTAAACAGGAAATGTTCTTCAGGATTTCAAGCTTCAATGGCTTTATTTTTCTCTATAGGGCTCTCACAGCGGGATATGATCAGCAGAAATAACATGTTGGGGAATATTTCCACTATAATCTTTAACAAAAATATACATTCCCTCCTTAAACTCAGCGACCATGTTTCTCATGACTGTTTGTTTCTACTTTGTAGTACTACTTCTACAAATCTTTCTTAAAAAAGTTCAGAAGCTTTGTTTCAGCCAGAACAGCAGTGAACAGCAATAGGAAGGCGAGGGGCCACACCCCCTTATAGGATACCATATGATACCACTTTCTCCGGCATCTCAATACAGACTTTAAACTGCAGGAAAAACAGAATGGAAATAAACCTTTATTCAGAGTTCCGATACCTCGGTTTATATCACACTGCAAAAAATTTAAATCTAAGAAAGTCAATTTATTATTTTTTTGAATTAAGCAGAAAAGTGAGACTTTGCCAATTGAATAGAACAATTTATATTTAAATAAAGAAGAAACAACAGCAGTCCCTTATTTCAAGTGCATATTATGTAATTATCTTATTTTAGGGGAAAAAATACTCATTCCATTGGCAGATCATCTTATTTACCTGCTCAAATTAAGGGTAAATACGCTTATCTTAAAGGAATAGTACACCCAAAACATGATTAGCCTTCATTTTCTACTCACCCCCATGCTGAACAACACTCTGGAGTACTTTTTTGATATCTCAAATGCATCTGGAGATCTGGGAGGCTTCTTGCTGTCTGCTGACATTCAAATAATGGAGGTCTATGGTGCCTGAGACAGAAAGGTCCATAAAAGTCCACAAAAAACGTGTCAATATTCCTCCATACTGCTCGTCCAATGTATTCCAAGTGTCCTGAGTGGGTAGCATCCAGAATTTACTCGAAACGAAGTCATTTAGAATGTTTTTAGAGCATAAACAGTAGTGTATAGGATTTCCTGAAAGCGCGCACATGCACGCTCACGACGCTACGGAAGCCGGCAGACCAAGCCAGATGAAAGTGCGCATTCAGCGTCTGCTCTGCCAATAATGCAAGCGTAGAAGAAGAAATGTGCTGTTTACCTGTGCAAAGAAAGAAACAACGAAAGTAAAATGTCTGAGGACTTCAGTGTTGAGGAAGAGCATGAGTTCTTTGCCGAGCTGAATGCGCTGGTTTGGTCTGCCGGCTTCCGTAGCGTCGTGATCGCGCAGGTGCGCGCTTTCAGGAAATCCTATACACTTCTGTTTATGCTCTAAAAACATTCTAAATGACTTCGTTTCGAGTAAATTCTGGATGCTACCCACTCAGGACACTTGGAATACATTGGACGAGCAGTATGGAGGAATATTGACATGTTTTTTGTGGACTTTTATGGACCTTTCTGTCTCGGTCACCATAGACCTCCATTATTTGAATGTCAGCAGACAGCAAGAAGCCTCCCAGATCTCCAGATGCATTTGAGATATCAAAAAAGTACTCCAGAGTGTTGTTCAGCATGGGGGTGAGTAGAAAATGAAGGCTAATCATGTTTTGGGTGTAGTATTCCTTTAAGAAAATGATACTCATTTTTAGGTCGTATTTGCAGTGGATGTTTAAGGACTTTCAAGGTTTTTTCTGAACCAATTTCCTCAAATTCGACAGCCATGTGCTTCAGCATTTACCTCCTGCTACCACTTGAACTTTCACTATAGCTACGTTTAAATGGACATAAGAAATCAGAATAAACGCAGATCGGATTAAAAATCTCTGCAGCCAGCTGAAATATTCTGGTTAGATTCTGCAGGATCAGAATGAAGATGTAATCTGACGGAGAGGTTTATGCTGCCTGATAACACAATCAGCATGAATGTAAAAACACCTCCGGAGGAAGATATTCCGAAGGAGGTAAGTTGACCTGAGTGTTCATGTTTTTACCGGCTCAACATGGCGTTGTTTCTGCTGTAAATGGCTAGATGCTAATATCCAGATCAAATACATTTTATTCTGATCAGTCTATTTATTCCAGTCACTTATGTCTGGATGATAGGACCAAAACTGATATCACAATAGATTTCTTTATTTTGGTTGACATTATATCTTTTCGGTATCGATATTCAAAAGAAGCCTCAGAGAGACTGTCAAGAAGACTTATGCCTGTAAACATTTACATTTTTAAAACTCCTCTGACATAACATTTCGGAAATACTTGCTTTAAAAAAAAAAAACATAAAACCAAGGATGTCATTCAGTGACAAATGCTGTTTTAAATGTTTCTAAAATTCATATCACCAATTCTGAAATAAATTATATCAGGATATATATTGATATCAAAATATCATCCAGCCCTGGTCTATAAAAAAAAGTACGATCCAATTTTTTAAACTATTTTTTTAAGTCCGATTTTCAATCTGATTGTTTAACTGCATTTAAATGTTTCTAATAACCAATTTAAATAAAAAGCTTAAATGATATCAATGAAAATCAATAATAATAATAATCAAAGTCAACATTCATATCCACACAGCATGGACATGTTTAATGATGGTTAGATTAGGCTTTACTGGGGTCTAAGCTTGGACAGATGTGTTACAAACTTAAAGATGGCCTCCAACCTCTGACCAGGAAGCAGATCCAGGGTTTGACCAACTGATGTTCAATTCCAGCCTTTAATCCGAACATCACGGAAAAAGAAAATTCCTGTTCCTAACAAACTGGGACTGAGCATCACACCTATTGACCTATTTAAAATACCGTTAGTATGTAGCCTACAAAAGCATTGCTATCAGTAGTGTGAGGTTTTAAAGGACGTTTGCGCACAGAGCCTCAGGGTTCCTGCTAGTGTATTTTTAGCGTAGTTGGCCGCTATGCTAATACTCAGACCACTACGCTCATTTTTAATGAGCATATCAACCCTTTGACTGACGTCTGGACTCCCCCCTTCAGGACTCATTCCAGCACAAACATTGGATAGGCCGAAAGTTAAACTGAACCTAGGCCAACATGCTCCTTTTAAACAACCGTAGCAGCAGCAGAATCCGTGTTTTTAAACACATTTACCTCCTTAGTATGATGGAGTATCCAGGCTAGAGATTTATTTTTTCTAATGCGAGAATAAAGTCGCAATATTACAAGAATATAATCGTAACATTAAGGAAAATAAAGTGGCAAAATTATGAGAATAAAGTCATAATATTACGAAAATAAAGTCACAACATTACGAGAATAAAGCCACAACACGAGAAATAAATTTGAAACGTTATCAGAATAAACTCATAACATTACGTGAATAAAGTCACATTGGA